TGTAACATCTAGCCGCAACATGAAGTTAAATCTTGAGCCTACATCTCCGCAAGGCGATGTACCCCTCATCATCCCAAACAAACGGCGGCAACAGGGTGTGACGCCATCATCCTCAAGAAACAACAGAACAGTCTCCTTTTCCAGTCGCGTCAGCGTTCAGTATCACGACAGCAGCCGGCCCAGCAGCAGACCGGGCCCACCGATGCTGGCAACGCCCAAGCGAGACAGCGGCTCCGAAGGCAAGCGGCCTCGGACGTCGCCCACCAAGGATCCCACCCCCAAGCGAAGACGTACTCTCCACAAGTCCGATGTAGCCTACGGCCACGAGCAGCTCGCCGCGCTTGAAACGGTGCAGGATTCGCATTGGTACATGCAATCCATGATGGGTAAGCGCCAGGAGGTTCGTTCAGGCGGGTTCCAGCAGCTGGCCCACCCTGACGTCCTCGCCGCCCGACACATGAGCCGGCCACGTACGCCAACGCCTAGTCAGCGATCCTCAGTGCAGCGCGAAAGACACCCGAGCTCTGAGATGCAGCCTCAGGAGCAATCACAGTCGCAGTCGCAGTCGCAATATTCTCCAAAGCGCAGCTCGCAGCTGGCGAATGGCTCGATGGAACGGAATGAAAGCACTGAAACTGATCGCAAGCCATCCATCAAGACGCAGGACTTTGTCGAGCAGGCTGGTGCCATCATGGCGATGATTCGCAGCGGAATCAAACCCCCGAACGGACTTGACAGCGTGGAGGAGTCAGAAGAAGGCGACTATGCCAGCCCAAGTCCTGATATCCAGGACGTGTCGTTTGAGGAGTCAACAAGGGAGCCTCTTTCCCGGCCACCAAGCCGCGACGGCAAGCCGGTGACGAGGGTTCCGCCTCGCCAGGAGAATCCCGAGGTGCTGGATTACCTGAAGAAATATCAGGAGCTCAGTGACATGGGCGATGTCATCTCCTCGTCTTTGCGGTCTATGGGTCTGGCCCAGGATGCTATCCGTGCCGCCCAAGAAGTGGAGAAGATGGTTCAAGCGGGCCAGGACGTTTCCTATCCCGACGACCTTGATTCTTTGGAAGACATCATCAGCGACCCGCCTAACATTCGAATCAGCCGCGGACCAGCCGCGGACCAAAACGCAATCGGACCAGACTACCCATCCAATATCTCGGATGGCTCGACAAAGAGCATCCCCACCGGCTCATCACGGGGTTCTGAGTCCAAGAAGACCATTCTGCCAGCGAGCGTCGTTCATCTGCTTCCTGAGTCTGTCGCGGGCATGTATCTCGACAAACAGCAGAATATCTGGGTCAAACGCAGGGCCGAGTCTGTCCGCATCCACAACATTCTGCCTTCCGAAGACAGCGAGGATGACCCATTTGCGAGCATCCCCGACCTGACCGTTGACATGACGAGGGAGATGGAGAACCTGCGTCTGAACCCCTCGCAGCAGATCCTCAGTGGCGACGAGAACGAGTCCTCTGGAGACTATTCACGCACGCCGAGCACCCAACGCAGCAAGAGCTACGTCACCCTGTCACCGAACGGTGCGATACCTGAGGGCATGTCCCCCCAGGCGCAGGAGGAGCTCACAAAGCTCGAGAGCATGGTCAACAGCCCAACAAGCGATCGCGACGACTACGAGGAGGAGATGCGCGTCGAAGACCGCAACCGCGTGTCGCCGTCGAGGAAGAACCTGACCATTTCCTTCTCTTCGCCTATTGCATCCATCATTCACGACGTGGTTCCCGAGGACATTGACAGTCTCGAGGACGACACGGGCAGCATCTCGCACGCCGAAGGTGGATCATGGGTTGAGCAACAGGCCGATAACGAGTATCGCAGTCTCACGAAGAATGCGCGCAAGAAGTTGCTGGCTCGATCCAGAAATAGCACGCGCAGGGCCTCTCGAAACCTCGCGGTTCAAGGACAAGCCTTCACGCCGCGTCCAGTGTCTCGCATCGACGAACAGGATGAAGACAGCCAGAACGAGCGCGCACATGCCGAGAGCAGACAAATCAGCATCCTCGCTGACGCAAGTGTCGTCAGCCACCAGGATCGTCAGACGAACCTCAGCTTCGTGGTGTCAACGCCCGCCGCTCACCACGGTGCCGGAGCCATCATCAGCCAAAACGTCGGCAACCTGTCTCTCAGCCCTCTGTCCGAGTTCACAATGAACAACCAGGACCAATCATTCGGGCTGGAGGTTAGCTACCTGGTGCAGGACCGACACTTGGTCACAGGTGATGGTTCTAAGAAAGTGCTGTCCATGACGGTCCGCGACCTTGTCGACCGACTGACCGAGGTGGAGCCTTTCGAGGCCAACTGGGACGACTTTATGGTACTGGACGTCAGCGACAAACGGTTATCGAGCCTGCACATGCTGGATGAGTTTTGCGGGCGACTGGTGTCACTGGACGCCTCGACCAACGCACTGTCACATCTGGATGGCGTGCCCTCGACGGTTCGCCACCTCAAGGCGTCCAGCAACCTGTTGACGGAGCTGACTTCCTGGGACCATCTGTCAAATCTACAGTACATTGACGTGTCAAACAATGAGCTGCGCAGCCTGGCTGGCCTCAGCAACCTCGTTCACCTGCGAGGCGTCCGCGCGGATAACAATAAGCTGACATCGCTGGACGGTTTCCACTTCCACGACGGACTCCTGTCGCTGCGAGCGCGGGACAACCTGGTCGAGGAGCTCGATTTTGACGGCACCAAGCTTGACCGGTTGGCAGAGCTGGACCTGTGCGGCAACAAGATCCAGTCGATTCGCAACTTGGAACAACTCCCGTCGCTGGAGACTCTCAAGGTGCAGCGCAACCAGCTTGTGGACTTGAACAACGAAGGGCCACTGCCATGCCTTCGACACCTCGACATTGGGGACAACGATGTGGCATCGCTCGACATCAGCTCCATGCCTTGCCTGCGCGTGCTGCACGCTGATAGGAACCGCATTAGCAGAATCACTGGCTTCGCGCGTGCAAGGTATCTAGACAGCATATCGCTCAGAGAGCAGCGCGGCGACGAGCCTCTCGAGCTAGCGTTCCTGTCAGCCGCCTATGAGGTGCGCAAACTTTTCCTGTCGGGCAACTACATTGGTCAATTCGAGCCGCAGGTCGACTTCCTCAATCTGCAGCTTCTTGAGCTGGCAAACTGCGGGCTGCAGTCACTCCCGGAGAATCTTGGCCAACTGATGCCGAACTTGCGATCGCTGAACCTCAACTTCAACGCCATTGCGGATATCAGCCCGCTGCGATTCATTCCGCGGTTGAAGAAGTTGCTCATGGCCGGCAACCGACTGGCCAACTCGACGCGAGTAACGGAGGTGGTGACCGAGTTCCCGCACCTCAGCAAGCTGGATCTGCGGGACAATCCGATGACACAGGGCTTCTACGCGCCACTGCAAGGCATGGTGCCAGTGGATCGCACGGGGTATGTGGATCCTTTTATGCTGCCCGAGGCAGATGCCGAGCGGGACGCACTTTTCGCGGGCCGACTGGACCAAGCGACACGACTGCGGCGCCGTCTGTACCAGGTGGTGTTTGTCGGGTGCTGCGCTCGGCTGAAAGAGCTGGACGGGCTGCCCGTCAAGCGCAGGGAGGCGCTGGCCAGGGATGCAGCGTACGAGATGCTAGTGAAGGAGGGTCTCCTACCGGGGCAGCAGCAGCAGTCCGAAGAAACGGGGGCTTTGGGGCCGACGCGCAAGGGTGGAGAGCAGCAAGCCAAACCGCACGAGCAGGCAGAGGCTGCTAAATGCAGTGATGACAGCAGTCGATGGAATGCGGAAGACAGCTTTGCCTGAGTGGGGTATCTAGGCCTGTTCAGGGGTCGTTAGCATGATGGCGGCGCTAGGGTGGTTCTTCTTTTTTTTTCTTCCTCTTCCTCTTCCTCCCTCCCCCTTCCTCCCTCCCTGACTTTGCCTTCCGGGGACCAGGTGGACGATGAATTGTGGGACGGGTGTACAACACAGAAAATAAAGGGGCGGGATGCTCCAATTGGGGAGTCTCGGCGTGGCGTTGGAATTTTGGGCATGCCAGGATGTGGATGGCTCCGAGGAGGCGGACATGACGAGTCAGGGTTAATGAGTTCATGCATCGAATTTTCTGGTAGTGTATGAGCAGAGTCACACGTTTGTTTGCTGCAGTGTTGCTCCCTGTCGTCCTGGATTGATCTGTGTGAGAGGTCCGAGGATCAATGTGGAATGGTGTCTTCTGGTTCCCGAAGAGGACAAAGGACGGCGTGCGGGTGCAGCCGCCCCGGCCGGGCAGAAGCAGGGGATCAGCGACCTTGATAGTTTGGGCGGGCCCTCCATGTCCCAATTCCCCTATCGTCTCTTGCTGCTCGTCGAAGGGGCGGAATCCAATCTCTCGTGATGGAGATGCACGGAATGGTGATGGATGGAGTGGGGTGTGTGGTAGATGAAGTGAGGAAGGGAGGAGGAGGACGAAATATGATATGGTTGTGATCTCATCAAAGGGAAGAAGGTAGGGAGGAAGGGAAGGGACGGTCGGTGCCAGCGCCGCGAGTGTGTAGCTAGGTACCTGTTTAGCTTGCTTAGGTACCTTACATGTGGGATGAGCCCTGAACGCCTGGACCACTGTCTCTGTCGGGAAGAGGAAGTTGCGGCCGGGCAAGTGGCCCATGCTTGCCCACCGAACTGCACTGCTCTTGCCCTGGTCACGTCTTTCCTCGGTTGCTCTGTCCCCCTGTAATTTCTGCTGCAGCCTTGCTGCCATCTGCATGAACAACCTTGTCTGGATTGCCGTCCAAACCTAACCTAACCCAAGCCCCAAGCCCAATCCCAAATCCCCATCCCATTTACCCCCCAATCATCACAGGGGGAATCACCACCATCAACGCCTCCTCTTCTTGCCTTCTTGGCTGCATCACCACCAAGCACTGAACTCTCTTGACTTTTCGTTCGCTTCTTCCTTCAAGATTGCGCTTTATCAAGACTGCGCCCGTCAGATCATGAAGAACAAGGCGCTTGCCGCCGCCCGCCTCTCACAATGGACGACGACGCCTCGACCCCGACGCCAGCCCAAGCAACGCCTACAATGCCGGCAGTAGCAGTCGCAGCAGCATCACCACGAACAAGAACGCCGACACCTCCATCACTCCCTCTCGAGCGCTCCATATCCCAGCGCAGCGTCAGCGTCGCGTCAGTACGCAGCAGCAGTCGGTCCACGACCCTCCGGACCCGCTCAAAGCGCCTTCCGTCCCACGTCTCGAGCTCGGCCAGCTCCATCATCGCCGCCGACGACAAGTCTCTGACCAGCTTTCCCTCGCTTTCGCCCGAGTCGCCCAAACCAGTGCGACCTTTCGCAGACCAGGAGCCTACTGCCTATGCTGGCGCGCCGCGCACCGCATCAGGCGCCGTGTCTGTTGCCGAGTCGGATGCGCCTTTGAGCCTACCAGATGATACCTTGACAGAGGGCGACGTGACGGCGCCGCCAGCGCTGCCGACGAGGCCATCACAGTCTGCGCGCTCTGCACTCTTCGAGGACTCGCCCATCGCAACGCAGAAAATACCCGGCGCGCTCCATACGGCCGATGACGAGCACCTCGATCGTCTCGTGAAGCGACATGGTGCAAAGGAGCTGGTACGCATGATTGCCACCGACCTGGCGCACCGAGATGCGCAGATTGCCCTCCTGCGAAGAAAAGCCGACGAAAGGGAGAGAGCTCTGCGAAAGATCATATTGGAATGTGGTTTGTCGAATCTGGAGCTTGAAACGAAACTGAGAGCTGTCGAAACAGAGAACAAAACAAGCAGACCAGGCAACCACCGAGCCGAGAGCGGCTTGTCCGACCTCATGAGCGATGCCATGCAGGATACCGTGACTCAGAACGTCTATGGCCAGACCGATGCCGAAGGGACCATACGGGCAACGAGCCTCTCCCTGGCCTCAAACGCCGATCCTGGCACCAATAAGGGCACCACCCGTGGGTGGAAGGATTTCCTCTGGGGTGGTAGCAAGAGGGGCAGCGTTGCCAGCAGCATCAACGGCGACGATCCGCGATCCAAGACGATCGTTCGCACGCAGTCCCATGCTGACCGCAGGCCTGGTCTCCAGGATGATCTCTTCAACCCACCCCCGGACACGACCTCTCTCCGAAGCGCGAGCAGAGCCTCGAGCATCAGCTCCGTCGCGCCTTCGCCCCGCAAGCCGTCAGGTGTCACGGCCAGCCTCCTGCGGCTCGTCGCTGGCGGCGCCATGGCTGGGCGCGATGTCGACCCCATCAGGGGTCGTTCGAACAGCGCGACACACGCACGCCAGGCCCGGGCCTCGTCCTCTGCCAGCGGGCGCACCACCGGATCGAGCCGTGCAGTATCGAACCAGAGCAACCCTAAAGCCCTCATGGCCATGCAACGCGCCATTCCAGCGGGCTTGGGCAGTTCCGCCACCGTGAGAGCTCCTCCCCAAGAACGCTGGGACACCATGGTCGGTAGTCCACCGAACGTTACCAGTCGGCAGGAGAGCTATGGACCTGTCGAGATGGATGCCATCCTGCCCCCCGAGACGCAGCCGCCGACTCTCAACGTGCTGAACAGCAACCACCTCAATGGAGAGCTCCTGACTGACCGTTTTGGCTTCATCTACGATCAACGCAGAAAGAAGCGCCAGCGCGAGGCCAACAAGCCGCCTCGTCGCCATAGTAAGAGAGCCAGCCTTACTGAGATGCTGACCAACGGCCGCCCCATCATCTCACCACCGATGGATGAACCTAGCATCGCAGAAGAACGACCCGACAGTCCTTCGTCGACCGAGGAGCCTGCGGAGGACCGACCGAGGAAGTGGCAGGATTATTTGAAAATGGCAACCTTTCCGACCGAACTTCTATCTCACACGCCGGCCCTGAGCGCTTCATCTCTGGAGGTGCTCGAAAGCTATGACCAGCCCAAGTCTTCCCCAGGCCTCATTGCAGACGAGAGGGGCTTCGTCCCTGCTGCAGCGAGCACCACCACATCCGTGGCCGACTTGGAGGTCGTACCGCCCGAGACCGAGGGCGGAACGAGCGTGATTGAAGATGCTGAGCCCGTGAAACTACTGCTCCAGCATCAAAACGAACTTCACGATAGGTTGCAGCGCGAGCGCACGCCCCGTTGGAACGAATTTCTTCGCAAGGTCCGCGTCGAACGGCAGCGCGAAAGGGAGGCGGCCACGGCGGCAGCCAATGCGGCAGCCGAAGCCCGATATGAGCGTCCCTCCGTGATCCTGCCCGAGGCTGCTCTGGCTGACGGCGAGCTCATTGGGATTACAGGTCTCGGGACCAAAGGCAAGGTCGGCCGCGCCAAGAGGCTTGAGTTCCGTAATCTCGTCTTTGGCGGCATACCAGTAGCCATACGCCCTAAGGTTTGGTTTGAGTGCTCAGGCGCGGCACACCTTCGGGTGCCAGGTTACTACCAAGATTTGGTCGCAAGATCTGACAAGGGACTCGGCGATGACGTCGTTAGGGAGATCAAGGCCGACGTGACGAGGACCCTGACACACAACACGTTTTTCCGCAACGGAGCGCCCGGGGTACAGCGACTAGATGATATTTTGACCGCTTACGCGTGCCGCAACCCTCATATTGGCTACTGCCAGGGTATGAACCTCATCACAGCGAACCTATTGTTGGTGACTCCCTCGGCTGAGGATGCGTTCTGGATTTTGGCGCGCATCGTTGAGAGTATTTGCCCGACAGACTATTACGACAAGTCTCTCCTGACGGCGCGGGCAGACCAGCAGGTGCTGCGTCAGCTCGTGACGGAGATTCTCCCTCGACTGTCCGACCATCTCGATTACCTCGGCGTTGATCTGCAGATCATGAGCTTCCAATGGTTCCTCTCCGTTTTTACTGACTGTCTATCGGCCGAGGCCCTGTTTCGCGTCTGGGACGTGGTGCTTTGCATGGAGGAAGGCAGTCTCTTCTTATTCCAGGTGGCAGTTGCATTGCTCAAGCTCAATGAGACGCAGATCCTGCAATGCGACTCCTCGACGGCCGCGTACACCTATCTCAACCATCAGATGACCAACCATGCGATCAGCATTGACAATATGATCAAGGCGTCTGAGGCGTTGCGCCGGTATATCCAAAAGGAGGACGTGGACGCGCGGCGCAAGTCAGCCATTCAGGCCATGAAAATTGCCGCTGACGAGAGAGAGGAGGCGAATGCTGCTAGGAGGGCGCAGCGGGAGGACGCCGAGACCGCGGCTGCGTCGGTTTGAATGATGCCTTTAGACGGGACTTTTGATTTTTCCTCTCCCCCCATATGTTGAGGTTGACGGATTCTATTCAGGATAGGTACTTTTTTTGGTGTTTCTCGGGAGTCCATGATACCCCTTGGAAGATTGGGAAGACTCTGATTCATAGCGAGCGGATACACTATACAGCGGTTTTCTGAGTATTGTCTTTCGAACATGATATGTCTAGCCTCAACTGCAACGGAGTGCCTTTAAGTACCGATTTGAAGTACACGGGTACGATTCTCCTCAGCCACAGTCATCCGCAAGCAAGCCCACGAGTGTCCCTCCTGGTACCATCAGTTTCAGCTTAGCGGCACGGCAACGAAAACAAGGTCGATTCGAGGGTACCGCATCCCCGACTGGTCATTCATTGCTCGTCTTTAAGCCCTTGTCCTTAGTCGTTCTCTGTGAGATTCGAAGAACTATCTCCTGTTGACGCTCAGTGGTCCGGCATAAATCAAAGACAAACAACTTGCAGCGAAAACGTTGGAATAAAATTCTTCGACATCTTGTCATGAGAAAAACGTGCTTCCTTTTCCATTTGTCGCGCACAGAATGCCACTGGTAGCGTTTGATACGGCAGTTGTCTGACTTGTTGCAATTGGGCGACGTGGTACTAAGGAACAGCCCTTACATGAGTACCTTAGTATTGAACGGGCAATTTATGAGGTAATTGTTTCTTTCTTCACGAAGCACCATGCTATGATAATAGCTTGAGCTTCAAATTGGTTGACTTTCGTGGCACGAGCAGGGCATGGATAGCCCCTTCAGCTGCGGCTCAGGCTTGTGAATTGCATGCGAAGTCTTTCACACTTAAAAGGGACTCTCCCAACTCTGAGGAAGAACCAAATCCGAAAAAAAAAACATCATTCTCAAGCCTGCCTCGAGCTTGATGTCCTACCCGGCAGGGGACCCTGACTCGGAAAGAGACACGTTCACAGGCATCACATAGCTTTTGAAAACAATCAGATGAACAAACAGACAACGCGCCCAAAACACTTTACACTCACGATCAAAACCTGCCTGCGCCCCTCAAACACACTACATCATTGTGTTCCCGGTGAAATCCAGGTTGAGGCCCTGCCAGTGCCACATGGTTCCCAGATCTCCAAGGTTCGCCAGCTCGGCATCCGTGATCATGCCGTAGCCCATATCCTGCATCGGCATGCCCGCCGGCTGGGCTGGCAGCTCGACGTTGGGCATAGCCCACGAGTCGGCATACTGTCCTGGCACGACTTGCGGAGGTCCGACCTGCGGAAGCCCAACCTGAGGAGGTCCAGCCTGGGGATGCCCGTTCATCTGGTGAGGCTGCTGGTGGTGGTGGTGGATGTGCCCGTTGCCGTTTGCATTGGGATACACCGTGGCGAGGCCGGACCCATCCGAGCTCGAGGCCGTGGCAGGCGAGTGCGTATTGTTGGACCCGGTGCCGCCGTTGCCGATGCCTGAATCCTCCGAAGGCGGGTACATGTACCCCGGGAACTGGTTGGGGTCGGTACCGTACGTAAAGCCCGCGACGGCAGGCTGCTGCTGCTGCGCAGGCGGCACGGCCAGCGGCGCCTCGAGAACCTTGAGCTTCTTGCGCTGGTTGGTGTCCGCGCCCCGGAGGGCGCCGTGGGCGCGCGGCAGCTTGCTCGAGAGCCGGCGGAGGATGTCGTAGGGCGTCTTGGCCGTCTCGGTGGCGGTCGTGAGCCTCTTGAGCGTGTGCAGCGCCAGGTCGATGGCCTTTGTGACCTCGTCCTTGCGCGGCAGGGTGCCGGCCTCGTCGTGCAGCACGGCCGACACGAGCAGCGTCGCCGTGTCGAAGATGCAAAAGGGCACAAAGTGAAACGTCGTGTCGCGCGACCAGACGTACTCGAAGAACTCGTGCACGGCGCCCATGAGCTTGAGGGCGTACTTGACGCCGTTGCTGCGCAGCGTCAGCTCCACCTCGGGCGTGTCCTTGGTCACCGTCTTGGCCATGTGCGGCCGCAGCGGGCCGAGCGTGACGGAGAAGGCGATGGTGTGGACGTAGTGTCGATGGAGGGCAATCCAGGGGTACTTGACCTCCTGCTGGCGGTCCGTGTCGACAAAGGCGTACGACGGCGGGAATGTCTGCATCCAGCTCTCGAGGATGTCTTGGTACTCGAAAATGTCATTGGGATCCGTCAGGTACTTGGGAGGACCGAAGCGCTTGAAGATGCGGGCGACGAGCTCGGATTGCAGCTTCATGTGAAGCAGCGGCGAGGTCGGGTAATCCTCGAGCGTCAAGCTCGGGAGGCCAACGTCGCAGTCGGAGCGATCGATGAGCATGGGGCGCGCGAGCAGAGCCGAGACGAGCCTGGCAAGTCAGCGCCAAGATCCTAAAGCTTCACGGGATTTCACCACCTACCAGTCCCAGGCATCCAGGAGGCACCAGAGGCGGCGACGCATCTCGCGCTCAAAGTCAGGGATTCCTGTGGCTTCCCGATGCAGGTCTGGTCTTACTGTCAGCATGCTACGCTTCATATCGTATACCATTCGCTCATCACTCACCAAGGTTCTGTCCCTCGCGAATGGCCGCACCCAAGACGTGCCAGCACTCGACAAAGCGTGCCTCGGCCTTGAACCAGTAGCACGAATGCAAGAGGTACTGCACCGTAAACATGTGCGTGTTGCCAACGGGAATGGCGCTGTGAAGCTCACGCGCGGCGTCGTGGTAGAGATCTGTCAGTTGCTGAACGGTGCGGCCAAGGTCGGCCTCGAGACTGGCGCCCATCTCTGCGTCAGTGTGCTGGACCGAACAAGCGCAGACCATGATGAGGAGACAGGTCCATGGAAGGCCAAGCGGCCGGTTGGCGGCACGGTCGGCCCACCATTCATGGTACTCTGTGAGGAAGTTGGGCGGGTACACGATGTAGTAGTAGTAATTGACGTTGCTGAGAAAGTTCTGGATCATCGAGTCTGTGGAGAGTCAGCAATGACATGTTCTCAAATCGGAGGCAAGCCCACGACTTAAGAGACTTACCGATATATGGTCTCGGGGGGAGGGTCTGGAGAGCGCGCTGAAGCTGCGGGCTCGTTTTGGGGTCCAGGTAGTATTGCTTCGGAGTCTTGCTCTTCTTGCCCTGTGATGGTCAGCATAATGAGCTGCATGGCGAGAACCATTTGTTCTGACAAGCTCAAGACGACCAGGGGAAAAGAAAACGAAAGGCATACATCAACATCAGGACCAAGGCCCAGGTTGGCGAACAGATGCGAGGCCGTGTAACCCACGGCATCGATGCCTTCGCCGTCATCAAACTCATCGTCATTCTCCGTCTCGGCGTAGCTCTGCTCGCGCTTCCGCTTGACTTCAGTAGACGGCGTCCAGGCACTGATGGGCGGAGGATCTGGGTTGAACTGGCACTTGTCGGCCACCTTGCGCTTCTGACAGTGGTTGCATGGCCATTCCCGATTGCACTTATCGTGTGATGTTAGTACGGATTGGTCGTTGCAACAGAACGGACAATCATGCTCACCTTTTGCTTACGACGCTGGCATTCGGAGCAGGCGGACCGGCTATAGCTGCCGTCTTTTGGCTCTTCAAGAGAGATTCCTGGGGCCATAATGGAGTTTGCTTGATTCCCAATGCTTCGTTTCTCAACCAGATCCGTTCTCTCGACAACTGAAGAAGATGAACGTCCTGGACGTCGTTAGTGATGGATTAGAATTTAAGTTGATCAGCAAAGAAAAAAGACCAGACGTACGTACTAGGACCATGGGGGTCACAAAATCCAGACACGAGTAGCAAGGACGCTAGTGCCCATGGGAGGGAGCGGCAGACAGCTACGTCAAAGCACTAGGCAAGGTAACACACAAGACAAAGTGAGGGGTAGCGCTTCCGGATGACGATCGCCGCCCACACGTGATGGGCTGGAGGAATACAGCGATCGCGACCCCGGGGGCCCCTGTAAGTCTGGATCGCCCCGGGGCGGCCATGGCAGGCAGCGGGCCTGTCTCGCACGAGGGGCTACCCTGTAACGCCGTGTAACCGTTGACCCAACGCAGACGACGCTGCAGCGGATCGCCATCCGTCGGATGGATCCAGCAGGGGAGGTTTCGTTCAGGCGGTCCCAGATGTCCCATGCGACGTCAGCCACCACTCTGCCCTACCCGGTTACGATATTCCAGCCCTGTCTCAGCAGCTATTGGGGGGGCAGGCAATGCATGGTGTTTATCGTTGCGATGAGGGGGGAGGGGCCGACAGGACCTCTGGTTGGTGACGCCACCCCAGGATTTAGGGGGCTCAGTGGTAGCAAAAGCAATGTGCGAGACACTGGTCCGGGCAGACGACAAATCAGGACTGGCTAGGCGAAGCCAAGGAAAAAGCCGTTGCTAGTTCTCGAGGAAGAAGAATGAAGGGGGCGTCGTTTGGTTCGTCTGGATTTCTCAACATTTGGAATCAGGGAAGGGTACGTGCTCAGTAGTGCAGCTGGAGATGGGGATAGGGGTTCTAAAATCCGAACTGGCCATCGTCTCGCGCGCGCCCTGTGACGGCAGAACCCGTTCGCCAGCTGAGGGTTTTGCGTGTTCGCTGCTTGTCGCTGCTTGTGGACAAGCAAGCGCCAAGCTGCTTCGGTTTGGTGCGTGTTGCCACCAGCGGGATGTCCGTACTGTAGACCTTGTCTTGCGGGTCTTGGCTGCGTCCTGCTTGTTGAGCGTTTCTGGTTTGAAAGGCGAACACCAGCAGGGCGAGAACAAGGTGTGGATTTGTAAGGAAATACCCGTTTTCCGAGGCCACTTGGACTGGACCTAGGGCAAATGCGGACATGATCAAAGAGGGTGATTTGATCAAGGCCAAAAAGTCCCAACTCTGCGGATCACTACACTACTCCCGACGGTGTAGTTAGCTTCCCTGGTCCCAAAATAGGAACTCGACAGATGTTCTAGAACCCAACACGACGACCGGCGCGGATTAGGGACGAAAACTGAAGCGATCATCTGGCGAGCCTGAATGCCATCACGACTTCTCGTTCGCAAAAGTTGACAGTCTGATGGACCATTCGCCACGCACAAGTCTGCTGTTGTTCCACTCACGTCCCACACCTTGCTTGCGCCTTTTCTCATGAGAGAGGCATCACCAGGGCTGGTAAAGTCGCCAGGGAATCTTGCATATTCGGTCTGCTGCTTTCTTGTATATCGCTCTGTGAATTGGCATCTGCTGGGCCCACCGGCCGGCTGGCAGGCACATTATCCCAGGCCTGTCGTCGTGATGGCATCTTGACTGACCCTGGCACCGAGAATTTTCGGCATGCATTTCAAACCCGATTACCGGGCGACTGGGCCGCCAAGTCAAATGAATCGCGATGGCATGCAGATCAATCCTCCATGTCGTGCTCGTAGATGACAGGCGGCGCGGTAGACACTAGTGAAACCCCGGATAGTCAAAATCATCATTGCCAAAACTGCGATCTTGTCACTCAGCTTAAATGAGTCGAGAATGCACCGTTCAGAGGAATGTCGAGTTGCGCGCTATCTGTCAATTCGAGCTATCGATTACCAAATCGTCGTCAATACCACCATCTTTACAATAATGCTGTGTCGGTCACACACATCCGAGCTTTTGGAAGACGCTCCACCATGGTCTTCTTCTCTGCATAAACATGCCGATGTTACGAAGGGAGGTTCCGAATGCATACTGAAGTATTAGCTAGCGACACCTGGAAGACACACTTGAAAATTCGACGCACGCCATATTGGTGGCCAAGGTTCGACGCCGAGATGCTGTTCAAATGAGGTTCTAACTAAGGTGCCCAGAAAGACCCTACTCATGCTCATAACCCTTTCAACAGCATCGCTCGGACACGGTGCCCTGCTCAGCCGAGTGGTTCGACGAGTTTCGTCCTAGAGCTGCTCTCCCTCGTGCACTCGATTGGCTGCTCGTCAAAGTCTGCCGCGTTGCGTAAGTTACACCATCCAGACGCAACCCGGCTGTCGAAATGCTCTTCAGCCCTACAACAACCTCGTTCTGCCAAACAACCCCCATCAACATGATAGCCTGCTACGCTCGATTGGCCACAGTCCCCATGTCATCCTTAGATCGAGGGCACATCCCGGGTTTCTGAACGGCATTGGACGCCCCGTGCCGCTCGCCTCATGGTACCATTGTTGTGGCTACATGCGAGCATTCGGGAATAGGCCGAGAGCAGGTTAGCATGCACTGGGCGTTATCAGGCGACGACTCTATTGGGGTCCTCACCAGCCCCAGAGGCCGATGGTCGCCAGCAGGACAAAAAGGCACGCTGCGTCCCCTCGAGAGCATGCCTTTTTTTTTTCTTGAGAAGACGAAAACTATTTATTAGCTTGCAATTTGCGGCACAGTTTCGGTCCTCGATTGCGCCCTGGAGATTCCGACACACGCTGTGACTTCACAGTATCAGTGTTTCTTTTACAACACGCACACATCATGACTCGGGTGATGCAAAGATCGGTCCCCTCACGTCCGGTCAAGCGCCTGCGCGTACTGTCGCTTCTGTCTCTGCCACTCACCATTTCGATGGCCCAGGACGTGACGCAGGGGCCGCTCGCTCCCGTCAGCCTGGGCACGGACACGGAGCTTGCGACGGCGCGAGCCTGTGCCGCCGCATGCCTCGTCTACAACGGTATCTGGGTGTGCGGCGTCAACGCGGGCTACGATGACCTGGGCATGGCGCTCGAATGCGGGTGCGCGTCGATCAACGGCTGCTACTGCAACACCGAGCTCGCGAGCTCGGCGACGGCGTATCTCTCACGCTGCGTCAGTAGTCGATGCGCCGACTCTGTGGAAAACTGGACGCAGGAGGTGGCCGGGATGCTGGGGATCTACGAGGGGTACTGCGCGACGGCGCTCGAGGCAGGAGAAGGGACGGCAGCGGCGACGACGACGACGGCGACGATGACGACGTCGAAGGCCAAGACGACCACGGGAGGAGCGACTGTCGCGGCTGACGCGACGAGAAGTGCGCCGACGAGCGGAGGGGCGGGGGAGACTTCGGCCGCAGAGGAGGATACGACGGAGAACGGCGGGGCGAGCGAGAGCGAGACGGACGGAGGTCTCAGTAAGTCAGACATTGTGGCCCTCGCGGCGAGCCTCGGCGTCGGGATCCCGAGCCTCATCGTCGCGTTGGTGACGCTGTGTATCCAGATGAAGAAGAGGAAGAGGAACGCTGGTGTGACGGCCACCGAACAGCACCGGCAAAGCGGAGCTCACGTCGTGCCGCCCACGGAAAAGCCCGTGGAACACCCCTCTGAAAAGCCTGTCGGATACACCCCTGACGGAAAGGCTGATGGACCGCAGGCGTGGAAGGCTACCGACACGGGGTTCCATGGCGCAGAGATGCCGCAGAATAGTCTGCCGTCCGAGCTGCCAGGTAACAACAGCTGGCAGAAGGGGTGCTGAGAAGGGGTGCTGAGGGGAGAGTCGTGCTGACAGAGGGACTGATTCTCGTCGTCTCGCGAATTCGTATCCAGTGTCGCCGAATTGGAAGATGGACCAGATACTAGGTCGCTGGCGCTTGCTTGTTCCTGAGGCTGATCGTGAGACCAGGAGGGAGGGTACCGTACCTATGTATGTGGCACACCCAGAGCAACGGCACGTCCCCGCCTTGGCGGTCGAGCATGGGGTCGTGCAGCGTGTTTGGCTGCTCGTGCGTGTGTGGTTCGAGATGACTTCTTTCTTTTTTTCTTGTCCGACAGAAGCAAGAAGCATGATGCCGATGAACTGTTGGTGCGTTGTGCTGATGGTGAACAAACTGGCCACCAGCCACCATCCATGCTGTGGCGCTCAGCACGAGAAGCCATAGCCACGGTGACAGGTCCCGGTACAGCCACAGTGACAGCCACAGTGACAGGGATGCTGTCCGTGTGGCTCGCACATTGCCAACCAGAAGAAGGAGCAGCCGTCGAGCGTTCCTGCGCCAAAGTCGTCCATCGTCACAGCCGTCCGTCGTCAACCCAGCCTCGCCCCTCACTGACTGCCTTCTGTCTCTGCAAGACCGACATCACCGTCCCTGCAAGACACACATCACCGTATCTGCAAGACACACATCACCAGCCTCGAGCAGCAGCCGAAACACAATGTGCTGCCCAACGGCTCCCAACATGGCCCATGCCACAATACGATGCACAGGCCCGGGGGCAGTCTCGCACACAGACAGACACATGCACGGTCCCGCACTGTATCACAGCAACGCGGGTACCCGTGTCTTACGACCTCATTTCCAGCGCCAAAACATACATTGAGGCCAAGCCACCGTACATTTCTGCCTCGACATCCAACCGCCAGACAACGATACGGCCGGTACCATGGCGCCGTCGACGAAGCGCAGCCGACCGGAGATCGTGCCGAATCCCTCCACCGAGCGGGCTCAGCCAGTGACTGCACCTCTGCCGCCGTTGAGCTCCAAAACCGTGCCAAGCTCCAAAGCTGCCCCAGCGCCGCCAGGGGCCCCGAAGCGCCTCATCATCACTTGCGATGGCACATGGATGGACGTGAGTGCCTTTGAACTGGTGTAGCGAAGAACCAAAGAAAATAAGAAAAAATATGTACTAACTCTTCCGCAGTCGCTCGGCGAGAAAGGGTAAGTGAGGCGGCCTCGCCACCTGGACTCTTGACATGTCATAAACTCTAACATCACACCCAGCGGCGACCCCCAGTCAAACGTGACCCGGATCTCACGCGTCCTTCGCCGGACATGCCAGAATGGCATGCATCAGATCATCGCCTACAACCCAGGCGTCGGTAGTGGTAATGCGCTCGACCGTGTCACCGGTGGCATGCTAGGCGTTGGCCTTGAGCAGGCCATTCGCGAGGTCTACAATTTCATCTGCACCAACTACGTGGATGGCGATGAGATCGTTCTCGTCGGTTTCTCACGCGGCGCTTTCACGGCCCGGTCCGTGGCCGATATGGTCGCCTCGATCGGCCTGTTGACGCCTGCCGGCCTCGACTACTTTTTTGCCATTTTCGACGATTACGAGCACATGGGCAGCTCCAAGCGTGCCCCGGAGGACTTTCTCTGCGACGATCTGCCTCCTTACGCAGGACAGCTGGGCGAGGACAAGTTGCGCTGGGAAGCCCATCGTAAAGACATCTACAGGCGCTGGCTCAAGACGGTGAGTGACGACCCTGTGCCGCGCTTTGGCCGTTCAAAGACTGACCGGCTCCGAGCTTGGCTACACGCGAGACACGCATGCCGATGGCAGAACCCTCATCACGATCAAGGCCCTCGGCGTCTGGGACACTGTTGGCACTCTCGGCGTCCCTCCTGTACCCATCATTGGTGTGGCCGGATCATCTGACCAATACGTCTCCCCTCGAACGCCCCGCTCTGCCGCGCCGCACCTGCTGACCGACTAGATACGTGGAAGTTTACCAACACGGAGGTTTCAGATCGGGTCGAGAATGCCTTCCAGGCCCTCGCCCTCGACGAGCCGCGGTTTGCCTTTCGACCTGCCCTCTGGGAGCGCGTCCGCGAAAACCGCACCAATCTGAAGCAGGTCTGGTTCCCTGGTAATCACGGCGGTGTTGGTGGTGGCTGGCACGATCAGCAGATCGCCACCATCTCGCTGGCCTGGATGTGTGATCAGCTGTCGACAGTAGGGATTGAGTTCAGCCTTCCTCGCATGACTGAGGTCTTCCTCGAAGGTCTTCGTTACAATGCCGCCCATCCTTTCCCCGTCGTTGGTACGACGAGCCCGCTCCCTGCGTGGGCTTCCTTCTTGTGGCAGCAGCAACCCAAACTTCTGCCCTGGGGCGCCCCGGACATCTGCCGCGCGACACACGTCGTCCGCGACGAGACAGAACACGACGACGCCACATGCAAGCACCACCGTGCCCGCCCTGAGCAGTACTGGCAGACGGCACGGCCGTGGGCTCTGGGCCAGATCCGCGCTCCCACGAGCCGTCTGCAGATGATGGCTGGTGAGACGGTGCGCAATCCCGGGCTCTTCATGCGAGCCGACTGTGACACGAACAAGGACACCGACCAGCCACTTCTCAACACAAACGAGCGGATCCATAGCTCGGTCCGTGTACGGCTCGCGTGCGAAGGTCTCGGCCTCGATGACGGAGAAACCTGGAGGTGCAAGTCACTGAGCGGCGGCTCGCGCAGTGGCCGACAGATCTGGCGGTTGGCGCACGGGTCCGCCTTTCGGCCGGCGGCAGTGGATGCCCTACGCATGTTCCGCCCCAGGGAAGTAGAGCTAGGGTATCCCGCCGAGTACCTCTACCCCGTCGACGAGCGCGATGGCCAGTGGCAATGGGTGTTTGATCAGGAGGGAGACATCACGGGCGCTGGGCATGAACGGGTGCCGCAGGCCCTGGTCCTGCCAGAGGAGCCGATGGTCGGTTATTGGGAGAAGTACCTGCTGGCTCTTACCTCGGGCTATCCTGATGTTTGGCGGTATGCCGAGAAGCACCCTCCTTTTGCCTACAACTGAGTGGTGAGGGTCTTGTTTAAGCCGGGGCATGTTTTGATACCACTTGAGCGATGCGCCCTGTTAGAATTGCATGTTGTCTTGCCATTGGTTATTCTCGGTATTCTAATCCAGCTGGCACTCTGTGCTGCACGTAAACATGGTTCCATTTGCCTGAGCCCCTACTTGAACCTTCGAACGCGCAAAGCTTATTTAAATCCTAGTAAGGCCAAATCAGGATAGCTTTCACAGTACACTCAAGTATTCAACTTCTTGCCGTCACGTCGCTGCCGTTCATGTTCTCCTGGGAAGGACGGCATGATTCTCGTACAAACCATCCTTCCAAGGAAGGGTATATGTGCCATACACTCGTAGCTCGTGATATACGGCCCGAACCCGTATACGTATCATAACCCCAGAGTGAATGTTATAGGAATACATCTTCAGCCGGAGCTCCGTCTCCGCTGGTGCTCGAGGCGGAGCTATCTGGAATATCACGGAAAGGCACGGTATCGGCATCGTGGTCATACCATCTTCACCTGTAACGCGCAAGCTAATAGAGTCAGAGTAGAAGCTCGATCATACTCATGGATAAAAAGCCTCGAGATGTGACGCCAAGGCGGGCTCGGAGGCTAGGCTAAGCCGCGAAACCTGAACCCTTGTCCGAGGCACCAAACGGTGGGCGGGGCGGGGTCGGCATGAAAAGGGGCCACCAATACGCCTCGTCGACGAAAGTTCGCCCGTCTTGTCGACGACTTGCATAGCCTCCGAGGCAGGGCGAACCATGAGAATCTTGCATCCTGACAAGCGGGAAAAATAGCATTCGACCGCTTGTACGGACCGGGTGCCTCCGATTTGCGCCGGATGTATCTGGTTCTGCTTTTTGCCCGCGATATCGGCTCCTTGGACGGGCCAATCTTACTCCACAGCGAGATCGTCTGTCTCAATCATGGGCATGCAAGGGTGCGCCATCCCGACGCCACGGGCGAGCTAAAGTTTAACCTCACAGTACTCAATCAAGACATGAACGAGCTGGGTGATTTTAAGCGGCAGGACGCGGAAGAGCTCGTCTCGACGGGAACCCTGAATCGAATCTCCGCCGCGTCGACAGGCGGTCGTCAGCGTCTATAAGACCTCCTGTCTCGCCACCGGCTAGCACGCCATTGCCCATCGTGAGCCTCATCCCAAATCTCCACCCATCTTGCGACGAAAAACTACGACGACAACGAGGTCGCTTCGAGTCAATCGAACCCAGCAGCAGCCATGGTCTCGTTCCAAACCCTCCTCCTCCTCGCGGCCACCGCCCTCTCGGCGACCGCCTTGCCCAGCACCAGCGCCAAGCCCCCCGGAAAACCCCCCCACCACGACCCCTGCGCCACGGTCCGCTGCGGCTTCAACACGGTCTGCGAAGCCGTCAAGGGCAAGGCGCGGTGCGTGCCCGGCACCAAGTGCGGGCCGACCATGTGCGGCGCGGGCCAGGTGTGCTGCAACGCGAGCTGCGGCATCTGCACGCCGCCTGACGGTGCTTGCATCCAGATCTTCTGCGAGAGTCCCAGCAAGTTCTGAATGTTGTGATGGACACGGGAGGCTGCGGAACAGAAGAAAACTGACGGGCATGGGATGATGGCGGGGGAGCCGGCTGGTGGGCAGTGCGGCCTCCTGAGAAGCGGGCAGTGAAAGGGGCTGTGGGCAGTATATTAAAGTTGACGGGCGTGATTGGAATAAAACATGGAATCACCTGGCCTTATTGCGTGGCGGCTGTGAGGCGCATGCGTAATACGTCTCGCGCATGAAGGAGCGTTGATCGTTTTAGCCTGTTCTGCCTCAGATTAGGCGTCTAGGCGAGGCTGGGAAATGCTGACCGCTGACCAGATGCCTAGTAATTGGATAATTGAGAGAGCAAGAACGCGAGAGCCAACGAGTCAGATATCCCGACGTGAAACATTACGCTGCACCAAGATGTCGTCGGTCCCCGTGCATGTACGTGGCTCGGCACCGATCGAGACTCGGGATGTGCCGTCTTGTTCAGCGGCCTGGCCTGCGTCAGGATCTACTAGGACCAGATGGAGATAGGACTATTAAGGATTCTATAATTTCTATCCTGATAATGAAGTACAAAGATCTGACATTCTATCCATGACTGAAGATGAAAACTTGAGTAAGCCAGGCGCCCAACGAGGAATGGCGAAAAGCCACTATGAAAGAGGGGTTAGAAAGGAAACAAGAAACACATCTCACTTCCGAAGAAACCTCAAGACGAGGAATGCCAGGACCCTGTACACCACGATGATGCTGATCATGATTCCCACACGCTGCCCAGTCTGGCCACGAGAGATGTTCAGATTCGACAAGACAGCTCCTCCGTCAATCTTACCCTGAGAGTTCAGTGCACTGGGGAACATGCAGCTGAAGGACCCGTCCGCAGCACGGCCGCAATCGTATGTCGCGCTCTCAAACTCGTTGACCATCATGCCTTGGAAGACGTAGGCCTGGTAGTCGATGTAGTGGAAGACGTATTTCCAGAAGACGTTCAGGATGTTCATCGGAACTAGGAAGCCGCCGACGCACATCCACAGGCCGTTGGCAAAGGCGGTGATGGCCAGAGACACGACAAAGATTGGGAAGATGCTCGAGACCAGAACGACGAGAGATTCGGCGGCAAGGAGATCCAGGAAAAGCCACATGACAAAAGTCATGAAAGCCGAGCCGTCGGAGCGCATACCGACGAGCCAATACGCGACAACCGAGAAAAGGATCGTGATGAGGAAGAGAAACGGAACGCCGATGAGGAAGTTGGCCAGAATAAAAGAGGAGGGGCCAACCAAGCCGTTGGCCCTCTCCTTTTGGAATGTCATGAGGTCCTCCAGGAAGGCCGGCACGTATGCAACAGCCATGAACGAGATGAAGGCACCACTAAAGAACATGGCGTTGATGTACGGTTGGATGTACTCCTGAGAGTCTCCGAGTTGCAGCCACACTGTACCCATCATGATTGCCAGACCGAGATACATGACGATACGTATGCCATAGGCAACAACATCGCGATATGCCTTGATCCAGGCACGTTGCAAAAGGGTCAGCGGGATCATATAGGGTCGGGGCCTCGGCAGCTTGATGGACGAAACGTCGAGTTTGGACATGGTGCTCGACTTGTGAATCTCGTCAGTAAGCGCGCGTCTCTTTTCGCCCTCATGCCAAGTATCGCTGATGTGCTCTGTACGTTTGAGCACCTCTCCATTCTTGTCAAGATCAATGTTGATAAGATCGAGGAAGAATTCGGCTGGGTTCGTCATGGCCGGGATCGGGTACCCAATCTCTTCAAAGTATCTTGGTGCATCTTCTATGGAACCGAAATAGCATGTTCGACCTCGGGAGAGAAGATTAAGCTTGTCGAACAGCTGGTAAGTTGTCGTTGAAGGTTGGTGGATGGAAGCAATGATGATGAGCTTTGCTCAACGTTAGCACCCGTCAAATTCTCCGCAAACTGGGCTCGTCACCTACATTGTTCCGCTTGCCTATATCCTTGATATGCTTGATGACCTCGTAACTCAGAGCCGAATCGAGACCACTCGTGGGCTCGTCCAAGAACAGCACCTTGGGGTAGGTCACCAGTCTGCTAGCAACACCAAGTCTCTTCTTCTGGCCACCGCTGAGTCCCTTTTTGATGGGAGTGCCCACAATTGTATGTGCTTGGGACTGTAAACCAAAGCTTCCGATGAGCTCATCAACACGACGGAAGGCTTCGGCCTTTGTCACATTTCTGGCCGGGTTAGTTGATAGCCTTCCAATAGGGGTTCCTGGTGACGTGGCTTACCTGGGAAGAGCGAGTTGAGCGGCGAAGATCATAGTCTCTCTGACAGTCAAGCTGCCGATGAGCGCGTCTTCTTGTTCGACGTATGCGGAAATGCCTCGAAGGGTGGAAGTGTCAATTCGAATACCATTGACACATATGTCGCCTGTAGTGGTGGCCCCAGAAGCAGCGACACGATGCGCAAGCGTGTTGAGTAGCGTTGTCTTGCCAGAGCCACTGGGTCCCATGATGGCCAGCATTTCGCCTGCATTGACAATACCCGCAGGCTTGGTCAGGATCGAGAGTGGCTTTTTGGTCACCCTGTCCTTCACCATGACGCTGATTTCTGACCACGAGAGGTTATCGACAACATCGTTGGTAGGCCTGTACGACGACGATTGGCCGAGCTCGATATCTTGTTCTGACTCCATTGAATTGGATCTGGAATACTCTTGGAATGATTATGGTGATGAAATTTTCTATGAAAGAGAGTGTGATACGAAGACGAAGAAGGTGGCGCTCATTCTTATACCCTAGAATATGAAGCCTGCAATGAGCATCGCCGACCTATACTGAGAACACAGGAGTCCGGGCACTCGGGCTTTCTGCTGAATGTGACATTCAGTAATGCCCACAAGGCTGGGAATGTAGGGGCGACCTGGCAGTAGTGGGACCAAATCCCTGATGACAGGCGTCGTAACCCATTTCGGGGAGGCCGTAAACCGATGAAGATGTAGGACGCCGACTCGATGTGGAGACACTCTCAGAGCTGAGTGCCCGTGGCAGGATCAAAGCCGCTTCCGGCCATTGATTACTGGCAGCTCAGTGGATTAAATCTTGCAGCGATCCCACGTCAGCACAGCCTCAAACGAGCTAAATGACGGCGAGACTGATTGCCAAGCTCCGTTCAATCGCGTCCACAGGCCGCAAGTTCGCTACAGAACGGCAGTGTTTTACCTCTACGAGTGAACCTTCACTCTCCAATAGACGCAGGTTATGGCCATTTCAATTGCACGAGAGCCGCACAGGCGGCGTCAAAGGTTGGAATACCAGCTGCAGGGCTGCCGGAATGTAGCTTTGCGCGACGCCAGGGACTCTTCATGCGCGAGGTGAGAACCAACGAAGAGCCGAAACTGGGGCGGGGACCTTCGGCGACCAAGTTGTGCTAGTGATTGGACCCCAGTTCCCCGAAACAGTGACAACTTTCTCGGCTTCCATGTTGTGATTTGAGGAACCTTGTTGCCGCTTCCAGAAGCAATCTGGCCACGTCTTCCGGGAAAAGCATAAACTGAATGGCGCATCAATTGGAAATGCCGTTGCCAGGTGAAGACCCCGTCTTGATATTTTTGAGCACCTGTACGGGTCGGACAGTCGGCGTTTGGCACCAGAGCGAATGGAACGGGCTTTGAGCTTGGAACGTTTGTCAGCAGTAAACCAAGTTGCTACGAATGGTCGCCGTCGTGAATTGCAAGTGCCCATGGCTTCTCAAAGGTCGTCGCGACATCTTTATCTAGCCCAAATAAACTACCTTACAGTAGTCCACCCCGAGAAGGTATTGCTTCGCGTTGGGCAATAGCGGCCTCGGGATATGGGAAACCGACGACTGACGCGAAGGTTGGTTTTTAGCGTGGAGAACCGGAAGGCCATGACTTGTTTGATGAATGATGACGCGATGGATGAGAGAACAGTTCTGTTTCATTTCCTGGAGTTGCCATCAGGATGAAATTGTCGGAGCGTGATTGTGAACAGAGTGAGGTTTTCTTCCACAGGTTGACACCTGTCAAGTGGCCCCCGTGGAGCCACGGAACAAGGGGCACGTTAGGGGCCAAGAACTATGAGAGCGTACACAAGTTGACAAGGACTGCAGAGGGCCCTCCCAGCTGCGGAGGCCCAGAATTCAGATGCAGTACAGCCCCATACCTATTATCTATTGCCTGCGAACCACGTGTGGAAGACCTCTTCACTCTGCTCAATCAATGCTCTGACAACACCGCAATCATCGATCAAATACATGGCAGCAGGAGTTCGTAAATCTCTAGTCCTCAGCAGCTGCAGGGTCGCCTGCGCTCTGACAGATTTATAAATTAATTTGCCTCCGCATTTATGATGCACTCAAAGTAGCTGCTTAAGTTTCATGTTTCACAGCCATCCGTCGATGCCTCCGGGCAGCAACGTTCAGCGGAGTGGAAGGCGTTGGTACGGCGGGGTTGCATCAATCGATCGTTGTGTATGTAATAACGTGTAGATGTAGACCTTAAAGGTAAATAAATCTTTGCACTTCACAATGCCTTTCATAATGACTTGAAAACTAGAGAACCTTGTTCATAATGCCCGAGAGTGCCTCTCATCCACCCCGTCTCAGCTCCCTTCCCGGCTCACAGGGACTGTTGCAGTCACAGGCAGGTGATGATTGATGTAGATTGCCGGACGCATGGAAGCCATGATGTAGCGGGTACGGGTCTCCCAAGTCCAGGCCGACTGGTTTGTGAATCGAAATCCTGACAAGCTTGCGTCAAGTGTGGGATGCAGACGAAGTTGCCTATTGGAGTGACAAGTTTGGCTGGTCGATCAAAAGATCCTGCAACAGCCTACCATAGTGGTGTCACAGCCTGGCTGAAGCACTTATTTGCAGTAGGCTCTGTAGGCATTTTGTACGGACAGGCCTGTGTGTTCTAAAGGGTCCACAGTCTGAACGGGGATGGAATGAATTGCATATGTGACAAAACTCCAATCAAAAGTCGGTATCCGAAAGCACCTGCGGAGCGGGGGCCTCAGAGGTTTAGATTGGGGGCTGATGCAATGGCAGCGCGTATATGAAGGCCACAGAGAGCCAGAGTTTAGACCTATTCCAACCCCTAACTAGGAATTGCCGCGAATATCTCCTGTGCAAGGCCTCCTCTCTGCTCAATCCACTGCTTTGACAGTCTGCTACCTATCCCTCGGGCCATCGAAGCTCGGAAGCCCATGTCGAGGCATTCTCGTCTCAAGTAGCAAGCCTTTTTCTGGAGATCTCCAAGTCACTAGCCTTTGGCCAGAGATTATGAGACCAGAGAAGCAGCAGAGATGGGTCGGGCTCGATCTAGGCGCACGCATGTTGCCAAGTCAGTAATCTAGCCAAGGCCTCAAGTCCTACGTTTCTTTCTCGTTTTTTCTTCTTTTTTTGAATTCACACGTGAAGCAATCTTTCAAGAATCTTGAATGAGCCGATCCGGCTAATAAACCTTTTCGCGAGTAAGCGATGAAGACATGATCAGCCTTTAGGACATAATCATTAAGCCATCAGTAACAGAAGCATCATGGTTCCTTTTGCCGAGGTAAACTGCTACCATCGCTCAATCAATCACAACCCAACGTCGCATCCGCGATGGAGGCAGACCGGCTCTTGAGCTGCCGGGCTGTCAAGCTGACGGATGATTAATGGCCGGCCTATTAATCTGCCGAAACTTTCGGCTGAGCCGGAGTGTTTATAGCCAAAGAGGATTCATTGACGCGACCTTCCAGCATAATTAACCTTCAGCGCATGCGGGCCTGCCTCCACAATGCGTCCTGTGAAAGGCCATACCTCTGATTTACATTATGGATGTCATATGAGCAGTGGTGATCAATCTAAACCCGTTTGTTTGCATGGCCGCCACCCAACTGCGCATTGGATACAAAAACAGACCGAACCCTACTCTTCCTTGCTTCGCTCTGTTCATGCTCCAGACGCAAACCGCTGCTATATCGCTCAACTGTTCAACAGCATGGACTACTTCAAATCATTACCATGGTTCGACGCTCTGACTAAGGAGCCAGGCTTTGAGACGTTTACCCCAGTCAGCCGCTCCAACGAAGATTACGACGACGATAAGGTTCCGAAAAACCAACTTCTGCGCCGGACCCTCAACAATAGGGACGCGATACCGCACTGCGTCGGCTTCTACATGAAGCACACTCCACCGCATGTCGAAGGACATAAAATCAGCGCTTCGAACTCAGTTGTGACCGAAAAGTCGCCCAAGAAGAGATTCTTGGTACCATCATGTTCCGTTGCATACGATCTGCGTCCGGGAGTCAATGGGTTAAACGGTACCGTTCAAGGCGGCTTTGCAGCAGCCCTGATGGACGATACAATGATCGACGTGATCATACTCAATGACGAAGCGCAGCAACGCTATGGAATCGAAGGAGAGCTACCTGCGGACGTCGTGGACCTTCGTAGACAACACGCCGCCACTGCGTACATCAACGTACAATTTCGGAAGCCAATTTTCACCCCGCAGGTTGTCGTTGTCACAGCTTCTCCAGTCAGCCTGAAGGGGCGCAAATTGATTCTCAGCGCCGAGATTAAGGATGAAAAAGGCGACATCTGTGTCACATGTGAATCGTTGCTTATCGGACTTCTCAAGGAGAAGATTTGAGGCACGCTAAAGACGAAAGTAACGACGGCGAAGAACAACTCAGGTTCTAAGGTGTGATGTAGCTTGTTTGGAAGTGCAGTAAATGCTGCTATGACAGAATCGGTCGAGACACTCAAGCGTTTTATATTTAACAATGAATTGACCACGGAATACGTCAAAACCCAACATGGAAGCAATAAGGGGCCGATCGTGAACATTTTGCGACGTGGACTTTTTCTTGTTGGACATGACGCTGGTTGGTGCCTCATAAAGGGAGGGTGGTCTACAGGCTGTCGAATCACGATGTCAGTCGCATGTGGGTAGGCTACCCCTCATTCGTGTGCATCTCAGTGTTGAGCGGCCATGGGTAAGGTAGCCGACTTCCTTACCTTGCTCACTTCACTGAATGGACCTTTACCTTTCATCCCTCGGAATACTTATCACGCACGTCAGGATCAGCACCAACATCGCGATAATCCAAATTGACTAGCCAAGGCGACGACCCCTATCAAACCAATACAGAACTGCTTGCAATCAGCGCAGCACTGCAAGCTACTTCCGTTGACTGAGATATTTATCAGTCCTCAGTCTCCATCATGCCATTTACTAAGAAGCTAGGTGTTGGAATCCTTGGCGCAGGAGTATATCCTCTTCTCACCACATCACTCCATACGCCGCTGATTGTGAACAGGAGGTGTTCCAAATCTGCCATGGGCCCTGCCTGCTCTTGATGCCGCATCTCTTTACCCTCCAGTCCATTTTCGACATCTCGCCCACGAACACCAAGCACTGCGCAGAGAAGTTTAACGTACCGCACCAGGCTACGTCTCCAGAGGAAGTGCTCAGAAATCCCAACGTGGATCTCATTATGATCCTGACATCTGACGACAGCCATGCACCGCTCGCCGTGGCAGCTATCAAAGCGGGCAAGTTCGTCATGATCGAGAAGCCCATGACGCTGTCGATCCCTTCAGCACAGTCCATTATTGATGCTGAGGAGCAAGCTGGTGGCTCTCGCGTCTTCATTGGCTACATGCGCCGGTACGCGCCTTCGTTCCTTCAAGCCTTTAAGCGGGAAGTTGCTTCTATTCCGAAGCTTCTATACGGCAGGGTCCGCGATTTTTCTGGGCCGAATGCGAATTTCACTAGCCAGAGCGGTACGTTCGCAATCAAGCCGAACGACTTTCCTCCTGGCAGCAACGCCGAGAGAGATGAGCGATTCGAGGCCCTCTACGCAGAAGCGTTTTCCGGGCAGGCCATCACTGATGCCCACCGAAAATACTGTCGCTTCCTAGGTGGTCTCGGGTCGCACGATTTCTCTCTCATGCGCGAAACCCTCGGCATGCCTGAAAGGGTGATCGGAGTCTCCGTCAACCATCCATTTTATAGCTCTATCATGTCGTTTCGAAACAAGGACGGATCTCCTTATTCGGTCACGTATGAGAGCGGTATCGACGAAGTCCCCGTTTTCGATGCGCATTTGGCGCTGTATGGGGAAACGAAACGTGTGACAATCAAGGTTAGAATCTGCCCACAATAGGGTGATGCTTCGTGAGAAAGCTGACACGACAGCAGTATGACAGCCCTTACGTTAAAGGTCTGCCCATCACTGTCGAGGTAGATGAGGTCAACGAGCATGGCGAGGTCCAGCACAGACAAGTCTTGTCGTCTTACGAAGACACATACACCGCCGAGCTTCAGGAGATTCACGACTGCTTTGTCAAGGGCAAAGCTATCAAGACAACTCCCAAAGATGCTCTGGAAGACATTACACTGTACGACATGATGTACAAGGTGTGGGCTGCTGGGAAGAACGAATAAGCCTGGGAACGAACTCACAATGTTCTGGTGGGACAGTAAAGCTTTGAGCGAACGTAAGACGGTCCCGAATGATACAGAAAACCATATGATAAATAGCAAGGGGCTCAGTCAACGCCTGACCAGTTAATACTTTGTCTCGGCTTGCAATCAACGCTGAGGGAACTTCTTGCCGCGTAGCAGCATTTCCCATCACATACGACCATACCTACTGGAGAACTCGGGATCCCGTCCGCTCTCCCATAGATAAGCCAGTAAGGGTCGGACTAGTAGTTGGGTGGGTGACCACCAGCGAATCCCTGATGTTGTATGTTTTTGCTCGTCTTTTGCTTTGTCCTGGTCGTTGAAAATTGTTTTTGGTTGTGGGGTTCTGAAGCCGGAAATAGCGCGGTGAATTCTGTTGGTGGCACTCACTCGCACAACAGCAGTCACCTGGTGCCGGGTGGCCTTTGCGCCCAGTGCCTGCCATAGTTTCGTTCCAGGCGCATGTTGAATCGCTGCAGAAAACACAAACCTTTCCCGTACTTGACACTTTCTAAGAGATTGTATTCTGCCTCAATGTTCTTAGCGTGACCGTCCCGGTCTTTACTTTAAAAATTGGGTGTTTTCTACTTTAGATACCGGAGAACGCATTCTCCCAATCCATGTTAGCACCTGCCCACCTTCTGTCACTGCGTTGTCTTCGCGCACAGCCCTGGGTGCCATGTAAAGCCTTAAGAACAGACTATAACACTAGCACTGTATTTGTACTAAACTTTTACATCTTATTGTCTCTTCGTTTTCCGATACTATCAAAGAGAGCGTTTGCGGATTGCTGGTAGTTCCGCAGATGGCGAAGAGGGTCGTGATAATCGCAGGCAGGAAGTAGTCTCGAAACGACCATCCAAAGCATCAGAAAAAGGCCCGGACGAGTGGAAGGAGGATGGACCGCTAGACTTTGTCTCAAAAGTATACCGTTTCCCTTTACCAAGTCCGCTTGCCCATTACATGTACACGAACCTTCAGCCCACCCTAAGCCCTGACTGGATAACAAGCAGCAGCAATACGGGGACGCCGGACATGCCTGGAGCTTTCAAGCTTGCCAGAAGGATGAATAATTTCCTTGGTGGTAGTCAAGGCCATGGATGGCAAAAATACTCTCTCGGACTCTATAGGGGGGCCTCAAGCCGTTAGCCGGTCTGCCCGAAGACATCACATCTGGGGAAAACGGAGGTCGTCAGGGTAGCACCAGGGAAGCACGTCAACTGCAAAGAAATGCTGCCGTCGACATCATGCAAGAGTGAGTAGTTATAGGAACTATGAATTATCTGGTTTCGGATGTGCTTCAGCGTTCTATTCATGGCTGGACGCGATGATGGATCTGCATATTTCAAGACTGATACCTTCTCTCAAACTCGAGGCCCGGAATTACCTCGAGATTATGGCCATCCAATCTATTTTCGGACAGTTGCAAACATCGCAGTTCATTACAGCTAAAGAGAATTTATTTCAGTGCTACCACCCCGTCGAGCCTGCACGGAAGGTCTGGTGGCGTGAATTAAGCATTTGTGGTATTTTGAGGCATGCCAAATCAGAATAAATTGACTCACGTCAACTCTCACGCTCCTCCTTTTTCTCCATCCTCACAGTGGCGATCTTCACAAGTCGGGTCACGGGGTTGATCGTTAAGGTTTCCATGGAAAACGAACGATCATTATCCTCAAAGCTGCTAAAAGCGGTGTCAAGCTCACAAGGCACGTTCCCCAGTACGAGCGGAAAGTCCACGCAACCCAGGCCGCAGTGCATGCACGCGCGAAACATCTGCTGCGGAAAGTCTCAGGTGTTCGGCAACATTGCATCGCGGCCCGACACACGCAGAGCACAGTCGGTCGAGCTCACGGGCAGGCGATCTGGCAGCGACAGCAACACGATGAGTGACTAGGATGATAGTGAAACGTCATCATGATTAAAGCACCTGGAAGCCTCAGCAGCGAATAAGCTTATTACCAGTTTCGGTTTCTTTCTCGGCCCCCCGCAGGTGTTATTGGCGATGGCATATATCACAGGCTGAATCGGCCTTGCCTTTCCTGTCCCACTGCGATCACCGGCATGACGACGACTCGAGGCGGTGCCTGATAGGACGGAAATGCCGACGGCATCCAGAAGCGGAAGCCAAGCATCCCCGCTGGGAATTGATCATTATAGTTATGGGGTCTAGTTGAGGGGATGGGGGTGACCTAGGCGATGCAGTAGGATATTTTTGGAGAGAGGTGTCGCAGATTGAGAGGGGCGCGAGTCGAGACGTAGTGGGGATCGGATACCAATTCGAGGCTCTTTCAAGAGCTAAGGAGGGCGATGCTGAACTCCCCTCGCTGCTGTCGTACGTGAGCTTCGCAATTGGTTTTACAGTGGAGCTTGGTAATATTTTGGGGAAAAGAGGGAGGGGGGATTCGAGGCTGGTGAGAATGGCCTAACAAGGAGTTAGTTGGAAAACGATGGGCAGATGAGGTAGACTAAGGAAAGCGACGATCACAAGAGCCCGGTGGGACACTGTTGAGACTGATCGCCAGGTCTTGTCACCGACGCGCAATGCGAACGTAATGGGTTTAGAGCGTCGCGTTGATCCATTCGAGCCACGAGTAAAGCCATCCCTGGGTGGAGTGAAGGTTGTGTAACACGTCGTCAACTGCTGTGGCTGTCGCCTTGGCATTCCCATTCTCCATGTTCATCCTGTCAAGTCCTAGGCGGTGTCAAAATCAAGTCCTAGACGCCACGAGGCGCAAGATGAATTGCGATGGTTCGTAGAGAAAAAGGGTTGAGGGTTAAGATGAAGTGCCGTGTCCAAGAATAGAATGAGGGTTAATCAAGTGGTGATCTCCCGCAGGGCTTGCAGCATTCGGTGGGACTTGATGACTTGGCTAGATGATGAGGCTTCGCAATCCCGCGGACATGCACAGGGCTGTGTAGCCAAGAGTGAGGGAAACCCCGCGACAGCTCCTTGGAGCTTGAAAACGTGCAGAAAAGAGTACGACAGGCTTTGAACCTGAAACTTGAAACATTTACCCAATAGCATGCCAGTTAGGCAGTGAGCAATCAGACTCGCTGTTGGTGAGATGTGTTGGCTACCTACCTTCCGGCGGCGGCCGGACTGGCCGGTCGATCAGACAGACCGCCTGTCAAGCGCAATGGCAGGGCTTCAGACAAGTGTGCTAAATTTGCCAACAAGAAAACAGCAGCACTTTCGCTGCCATGCTAAGAGCACTCTCGCTGCCATGCTAAGAATGCGGGACCCAAGGCTTCTTCCTGGTCATAGCCGTAGTAATGACATGCTTTGAGAATCTCGCCTGAGTCTTACGCTGCTACCAACGCGCATCGTCAGTATGATACTCACCAATGATGATTTCGCTGCCAAGGAAATGCCGGCACATCTCTTCGTGGATTTAAGGTCTTGGCGAGGGTCTTTCAGTGCCCAGATTTCGTCCCCAGCCTCAATCGTCACAGTTGCCACCGAGAGCCTGAGAGCCTACCAAGAGAGCCCCTAAGAACGGTCAAGCTCGTCGAGGATGTTGGAGAAATAAGCTACGAGGATCTCCACCTCCAGACGCTGTAGCGGGTCTCAAAGGGCAAAATGAACGAATTACCAGTGATGCCCCAGAGGCGAAGCTCCAGCACAAGAACACTAACAGACTGCATGATTAGATGCCAAGCCAGGCTTTGCCAGCACCCGGGGACATTCCCTGTTTGTTCCGTCCTCTACCACTGGTGCTTTTCTTCTCCTGGCCCCTTTGGAGCCTGACTCTTCTCCCCTCACTTTGGAGACCAGGCCCCTCCCTGCGGAAACGGGCAGCGAGCCAGTCCGCTGGGGAGTAGCGTGAGTCGCGTGTGTGAGGCGGAGCTGTCTGTGTGGCTTGGCCCCAGGTTAATGTGACCTGATGCTTTGATTACTTGGTTCACCTTGTGAGTACGCACGATGGGGCCAAGCCATTGCCGGGCATTGGTGCCATCCGCCCCCTTGTTGGTCTTGGACGCTTAGGACCCGCTCACGACTCAGGGCTTCGACCTTGACGTCTACACTGGAGATGAGGGTGAGGTACTTGCTGAGACAAACCCCATCAGTGCCCGTTTGGCGTACAACCATGTCTCTGTAGGTCGCCAGCGCAGAGCTTCTTAGCTTGGGCGCATTACATCACAGGTGTTGGAGACGATCTCTAGCAAGGGGCCTTCTTTTTCCCCGGACCATGATCGAGTAGCATTGCTTGTTCCATACATTTACATAAATACACCGGAATCCTATCGCAACATTACTCCTTCTCTCGCATCATCATACTATCAAACCACCCAGTCTAGACACTTCAATAGCCACTACAGCGATCCACCAATAACTCACCAACTCAACACTACCGCCATCATGTACTTCAACCGCTTCGCCCTCGCCGCCGCCTCCATGGCCACTGTCGCGCTCGTCAACGCAGACCTCGAGCTCGACCGCGATGACTACCCTGCTCAGTGCCAGAACGTTTGCGATCCCGTCGCTCGTCTCGGTCAGCTGTGCAACTTTGACGACAATGACCGCCTTGATGACCGTACCGAGGACCAGCTTGAGGCCCAGTGCTTCTGCACCAACAACAGCTTCAACGTCGCCCAAGTAGCTGCTCAGTGCGCCGCCTGCATGCACAACGCCAACCGTGACACTGATGACAACGAGGGTGAGTCGATCCTAGCTGCAAAGTCAATCCACTTGAATGCCATACTAAACCAAAAAGACATCAACGACATCATGTTCACTTGTGGCTTCTCGTCCACCTCTTATGACGCCAACGCTGTCTCTACTGCTACTGGCATCAGCGTCCAGGCCACTGCCCTGACCGCCAGCAGCCAGCTGACCACGAGCCTTACCGGTGCCACCCCCACCAACACCAACTCGCAGTCCACCCCTACCGGCTCCTCAAACAACAACAATGGCAATGGCAACAATGACGACAACTCGAACAACAACAACAACAACGGTAACTCCAACTCCGACTCTCAGTCTACCAACGAGCCCAGCGCCGCCAATGCCATCGCCCCCGGGTTCGGCACCTCCGCCCTCGGCATCTCGGCCTACGTCGCCGCCGCCGCCGTCGCCGGTGCCATGCTCCTTCAGTAATCAAGCCACCACGTCGTCTTCCCATGTCTCTGTCTCGCTGTCGTACCACGTCTGACCAACATTGTCCCTGGGGCTGGCGCTATCACATTTACCCTGTCATCCCATTCTCTGCTTAGCGTTCTCATGATACATGACTTCTCCTGAAGGGGTAGAAAGTGAGATACCAATGAATTGATCATATAATCATATGCTTGCATAAAGAGTAACCCTGCACCTGCTATGCTTTAATCAAATGTTGTCGCTCGTCGTCGCTTGTCATACATGGAAAGAACACTGCTCAAAATCCAACTCAACTAACCAGGAAAACAAAAACGCCCAATTTGGTTTCACCAGTGTGTTCCTCGCACACATTGCACAATCACTCAAAGCATGCCCCTGGCGCTAAGTTCTTCGACCGCCTTCCATAGGAGAAACGCATTTCGCGAGTCGCTGCTCCAGCCCAAGTATAGCAGTCTCTCGAGGACTTGATCAGAAATGCTAGCAAGAAGCAAGGCGAATGCCCTCTGCTCCGCTGCCTGCAGGGCGAGAGCATCAAGGTGCTGAGCGGAGGAGTCGTAGTAAGAGTCATTGCTCTGCAAGCGGTCGATGAGGCCTTGTGACGCGAGGACCTGGTGCATTCTCGCCTTCCAGACGCGGTAGTTCTGGGTACCGCGGAGCTGGGGGAGAGGGTCGTACGCAATTGTGGCCATGTTGGATGATATTTGGGTTGTTGATGGGCCGAGAACAATCGTAGCTTGGGTAATAACTTGACAGGCTGCGGACTTTTTGTTTATAGATGCTGGTCTGATGAGTGACCATCAAGATGTTTTTGAGGGTGGCCTTCTCCCGATATTTAATACAGATACGAGCTCATCACCCAACGCCCCCATTTTCGTCCGCCGGAGGGCGCCGCGAAACGCTCACATCGTCGTCGGGAGATGTGAAGCGCTCGAAACGTCTGAGAGGCCCTGAAATTAGCACTCCGCGGCTTGCGGGCGGTGGTTCCAGGCCCACAGAGGGCGATCGGACGGTCTGTGGCAGCTGGTCCGCTCGCTGACTTCGGGCGCTGTCGGCGGACGGGTCGCAAGCTGGATTGCGCCGAGGGATCTGCAAATGTCAGACTTGGCGGGAAACTCTGAGAGCTCGACCTCTGGCGCGTGTCTTCTTTGGATGTCTGGGGTAGGTCCAGTCGGTGGAATTAAGGGTCTGAGGACTCTGGTCTATGGGCTAAGCTGCGGAGACTTCCGCGTCGCGAAATGAGCAGCAAGGTGGAAGATATTCTGGTGCCAGCTAAATCAGGAAATATCATGGACAGTGTTGCATGGCTGGACCCAAAGACCCTGGGCGGCTGCATTACGTGCCATCCATCTTTTTTAAGGACCACGTCAGTCTGTATGAATACCAAGCTGCAGTCATGTAAAATCTGCCACTGCAGCGTCCGTGACTGGGGCAAGGCAATCTGGGTTTGATGATTATGGTATGACCAGCCAGTCCACAGCTGGGTCTCGTTGCGGTCGACGAGACGATTGTGGAGTCTGATAATGCCGCCTGAATTCCGAAGCTTCCTGATGAGGTTTGGAAACACAAAGTGCCCGAGTAGATGGTGTTGACAGAAAAGATCAGATCGAGGTTCAATCCACCGTGAAGAGGAGATGGCAAAAGGTGAGTTGGCCATGGGGCACTTATGTTGCACGTTGCCGCTTGAGGGCGGCCGTTCGTCATGTGCACTTGCTTGCCAGACCGACAGCACTTCTTCTTGCTTTGACATTTTCTTCCACCGTCATGGGAACGTAAACCCACGGACGGCAATCACAGTTCTTCTGTCTGCGCCAGTCGAGCGACGCCCTGGCTCGGGCAGCAGCATGTAACATGCACTCTCATCGGATCATAGTGGGATCAAAACACCCACTAAAGAGGCCGTGCCATCCCCCCCAAGACCATAACTGCTTCATATCTCAACACCGGCGATCAGACGAAACGCCGCAACTCAATTCGGCCGGTGACAACGCTGTCCTACGACTTGTTTCAAAACGTATCTTGTCTCGAGATCATGTATACCACTCCTGAAGAAGATCTCAAAGCTCAGCCAGCATTTCCGCGATAAAGGATTTGCAATGCCCCAACAGTTGAGTCGAGCCATCTTAAAAAATTCACACCCTCAAGCCCTACCAAATTTCGTCGCAGCACTGATCGCCATGTTCTCCAAGAATGAAAGCCGGCCATTCCTCAGCGATGATCCGTCAGCAGACGAAGCAAACGCGCGCTTTCATCAGCCGCACCAAACCCGCTCCAAAATCATCTCACACTCTATTGTCTGCTTCGTCACATCCCTCTTTTGGGTCTTGGTCATTCTTCTTACGCTCCCCGACTCAGACGCGCACTACACCTCCATTGACGATAAGTCACCCATAGAGCAAGGCCACGTCCACCGCCACAACATCACGTCCAATGCCAGACTCATAAGCTGCGGAAACTCAACGCAAGAGGCCAGAGAGGCAGGCTGCAAGTACGATATCCTGCTGAATAACTGGGTGCCCGAGCAGTGCCTTGACCAAGAGTTCATTGACGAGTACCGCGATGACCAGAGCTGGGCCGGGTTCTCCGACAAGGAAATGACGAAGCCGATCTCCGTCGATGACATGGGCGAGGTGGACTTTTACTATACTTCTCGGCGAGACCACGTAAACCACTGCGCCATGATGTGGAAGAAGCAGTTCTACGTACTATTTGATGAAAGCAAGGCGTTCGACACGGTGGTTGCGAGCCCAGGACACACTGACCACTGTGCCCAATTCCTGATGGATGCGCCTGAGGATGACTGGAAAGGACCCACGAGGACAGAGATGGGCTTTGCTGGATGTTGGATTCGGGAGTAGTCAACACCTAATTATTGATATGATGAAATCTGAGTCTTCGCCAGTCCCGGACTATAAAGTGCCCGCTCAGAGCAGAAATGGCCTATTCCGTAGCCATTGGCCCTGGAACGTCTTCAACTTGTCAGCCTGCGTCGACCTTCTCTCGACTTCGCCTTCTTCTTGATCACCATCACTTTCCTGACCCAAGAACCAGAAAATCTCCATAAACTCGGGGCAAGTAGTGTTGGCCTTCGGCATTGTACCGTCTTGCATGTAACTCCGGGCATGTTCGTTCATGCAAATGCTTTGCGGAATGAACACATGCTACCCCATCATCAGTCTCATAATTCGACTATGGCTAGCAACAGTATGCGAAAGACTTACACCGCGACCTTCCAAAATGACCAACTCTGAACCCGGGAAGAGTGCTGAGTTCGCTTGAGCCGATCTCAGTGGCGTGATGTTATCTAGACGTGCGTTGAGAAACAATATCGGGAAGCTCGTGTTTGCTCCGTATGGGCCTTGATATCATATGTTAGGCAATGAGAAAATAAAGATGTAACACCGAAAGTATTACCCTCAAAGCGTCTGCGGGGCCGAGGCGCTCCTATGCATGACAATTTGATGTCAACCTCAGCTGCACCTAGACGGTGGCGGCCAACTGCTTCAGCCAGCAGATCCTTGATATCATCTATGCGGTCAGGTAGCTCGGGCCAGTCACCGCATAAGGTGAACTCATCCGAAGCGTACTGAGGGCCAATCCAATCGTCAGGATTGTTCAAATCACGGAATACCGTATCAGAGAGCGCTGCGCTGTCCACTCTAGCCCACCAAGAAGGCGGATTCGATACGACAGATCTTTCGGGTGTCGGATACCCACCGTCTTCAACTTTCTTCAATAGCCTAGCTAGATCTCCAAAGGATATGTATGGAGTGTACAGCGCGCTACGGATCTGCACCAGAAGGGTTGAGTAAGTCGGGGCCTCGGAGACGTACGTGTGCTGGATATTTCCAGCATAAACCAAGGGACCAGGAGCCCGCCCATAAATTGGATTCTGTTTAGAATATTCCAAGATGGACTCGAAGCGCTTCCTGACGGCATCTGCGGTGGGTTCATGGATGGCGCACTCTTCGGTATTTGCGCATTCTTCGAAAAACCAGTCAATCAGGGCATCCGAGTCAGCAAAGCCCCGACCCCAGTTGCCTGCAGAGTGCTCAACAATGTCTACATTCGCTGTTCAATGCAATCAGCAAGCGTTACTTGGTTTCGAGATGATCAACGTACCCTCCAGAATCATGCGTTCAATCTTGTCGGGGTACATCGTTGCAAAGGTGGCTCCCAGGGCGCTACCCCAGCTGGCACCGTAAAAGCGTATAGTGTCCTCACCAAGGGCCGTCAGAATGCTGTTCATATCACGGGCATGATTAGCTGTCGAGATGTGCGCGAGAATACCATTGTCACCGAGGCGATCGGCACAGACACTGTTTTGGATCTTGGCTCGATGCAGTAGCGTGGCGATGAAGCTATCATCGTTGTACTGGTCAGGCATACCTGGCCATCTGGTCTCCCAGACCGCTCGACGCTGACGTGTTGCCCAACATTGCGTCCTTGGGGTTGATCTCCACGCTGAGTTATGTCAGCCAAGTGAAGTGGGCAATTCTGGCTGGAGGCGATAAACCCACTGGCTCGAATATCCCAACTAACCAGATCCTATAATTTTCAGCTGACTTTCAACTCAAGAGGCTCAAGAGGTGGCCGTGGGCAAACTTACATGGTTGGCCCCCAGCATCTCGGCAATGAAACTTCCGCCCTGTCGGACAAGGTCAACACCTGAACCTCCAGGTCCCTAGTATCTTGATCAGCATTTTGCTTGGACTTCAGAACATGCTGTGCCAACGGCTCTTCCCATTCACTCACACCTGGGTTCACAAAGAGGGGCCCCTTGTAGTTCTCTTTGTCCTGAGCTGGGAGACGAATGACAGCTAAGGTGACGTATGAGCTGTTGCATGCACCATAGTCCATCGGAACAAGTAGTCGTGCGCATTCCATAGGCTCATCATAGCATGGATGCCACTCGAGAGCTTTGCTTGCCGTGAACTATGGGAGATTGGTTAGACAGGACTTGCGGTCGATTCATCCAATAAACGCACGTTCACCCATTCGGGCTCATTGTGTGGCCGCAGAGACGGATCGAGGAATTCATCAGGAATTTGTGCTAGGGTTGTTATGATACGACACAAGGAATGCAAAAGCAACATAAGGCTCCTACGAGAGCGGAGGTCCAGAAGTGAACTCATGATGTACCAAGTATCGTCAACTGAATTGATACGCCTGATTAGTGACAGACATAATATTCCATGAAGCAGACGTCCATGCAATCTTATAGTACGCTTCTTGCCAGGAAGATAACGACCTGTGTGACGCGTGAAGACCTTATGACATCGTGACATGATTATTCCACGGGAAAAGCTGCTGTGCAATCAAATTCGAATGCTTGCAATGTGGCTTAGCACTTCTCTTGGCAATTTAAGGGCCTCAATCGTAATAATCATGAGAGGTTACCAAGCGCGAGAACTAGATCATCAGGCAAAGGACCATTTCTTGCAGCGAGAGATTCTTGTCAGCGCCAAGGGGTAGGGTTGCTCATGCACGCCTTCCTTATGACTTGAGGCTTGGCAGGTACCAACTCGGGAATAGCCTTTGGGAGTTTATAAGTGTTGCGACAGCAAGCTTGTGATTGCGCGTTCATCTTGCGCGTCCACATAATCGTCTACCTTAGCCCTCAGTTTACTGCGAGTTGATGTCGAATGTGCTGTGCATGGCGGTGGCGGAGCTGCAGATGACCATCCTACAACACGTGGGATGATCCTGCGGATAAATGCCATTCATCAAAAGTTTCGTAGATCCGGAGAACCGGCCCTCTTCGTCCACGAATGCATTCGACGAATCAGGACCACTCTTTAGCGAGCGTGGCAATCGAGAGACTGATTGACACGAGAATGAGGCCACCTTCCGTGCCGACGAAGCGATACGCAAGCCTCGAGTGTCGACCTACGGATGACGAGTTTCCATGCCGCCGTCAGAGATTCTGAAATGATGTACGACATGCGACTCAACTGCTTTGAATCATTCGACAGAGCACGACTTGATATCGACAAATTTCCAAAGTAAGTTTTAGAAATTGTTGACTATCACTGGTGAGACCCGTTGACGTTGTATAAACCTAGGCTCCGTACCTGTATGAACGTAGCCCAGTTTAATCAATGACAATGATTTCATACGTTTCCTTGAGCTCAATTGAATGGATGGCTACTGTATGGCGTTTACGAGCGTGTCAAGGCTGCCATTGAACACTTTTGGGGCCGACTGTAACATTGGACTTGTAGTACAATATTGCGAAAGACGTGGCTTTATGACAACCGGCATGCATAAGGCGTGTTCTTATAAGCGTGACTGAGTTCACCTGCAGAATGAAAATGGTGCCTCGCGGGTTTCGATAGCATCAAGGCCACTGTCATGTAGTTGCCTTTCTTTCAAAAATTCTCGGATCTCGGTCTCGAGATTGGAACCCCATACCTATGTAGATATCCTTTGGTTCACTGATCTGAGGGAAAGCATTTGCAGCGGGTGATGGAGGTTGATTTGAAATGCAGCTTACCAACCCAAGCTTCCAATGGTTGGTGTCGCCACACGTAGCTTCATCATTGTGGCCGAGCTTTGCCTTTTTGTGTTGGTGATATGATGTCCTCCGTGGAAAGATGGAGATCGGCGATTGAAATTGACCTGCAATCGCCGAGGTGATCTGACCTAGCGCCTAATCAAGAGTCAAAAGCCGAGAAACTGATGTTGTTATCGCCCGGATGCGCCGGAGAGACAAAATCACAACTAGCATTTAACGGGGGCCGATTTTGCTTGCAATTCCAGTCATATCAATCAACACCCTTGATACATTCAAAGCCTTCCAAAGGAAACACGAGTCGACAAACATATTCTCATATTCCCTTCTTCGACCTTGCCGTCTCGTCAGATATCTGTTACCATGACTCTCATTGTTCACCACCTCCATGTATCCATGTCCGAGAGGATTCCATGGCTTTGCGAAGAGCTCGGAGTGCCCTACGAGCTGAAAGTTTACAACCGCGACAGACTCATGGCTCCTGCTGAGTTTAAAGCACTGCATCATTCGGGCACAGCTCCTGTCATCCAGGACGGCGACCTGACTCTGGCAGAGAGCGGTGCGTGTGTTGAATACATCAGCCACAAACACGCTCAAGGCAAGCTCTTCGTGCCTTCGACCCGCCCAGAATACGCCAACTTTCTCTTCTGGTGGCATTGGTCCAACGCTACGCTGCAGTCCGCCCTTGGAGGAGCAATGGGAGCTTATGCAAGTGGATTACGCGAGGGTGACCCTCGAGGGGCATTTGCTTTCGGCCGCTCTAAGAAGGCGCTTTCATCTATGAACGACAGGCTGGGCCACAGCAAATGGCTTGCAGGAGAAGCGTTCACGGTGGCCGACTTGATGTGTGTTTTCCAGGTCTCAACATTCCGCTACTTTTACCCCATCGACCTGGGAGAGTACGAAAACATAGTGGGTTTCTTGAAGCGAGTGGGAGAGCGTGAAGCGTATCAAAGGGCCATGGCAAAGTCGGATCCGGGTATGGAGTTGGCTTTGGGATCAGCTCCGCCTTCGCAGCCTCTCATGTGAGGGCTGATGTCGCGGCGGCAGAACTTCATTGCTCGCGGTGTAGGGGCTACCTTGATTTACATATGCAGTAGTTCAAACGATGCCATTGTGCCAAGCGCCATTGAGTTTACGTCGCCATTTCAGGCTCACATAGAATACCTTCTCCCGTGCGATCATCGACCGCGTTGTGCACGAGTCCGGAACCCCGTGATGCGGGCGTGTCGACGCCGACCCTCCGGCCTCGGTCCCGGCCTGCGCACAGGCCTACGTCTGTTGTGGAGGCCGTCTCGTCTCGGGGATGGTGTTTTCAGTTGCAGCATCATGTTCAAATCAATATCACGGGTCTTTGGCGGACAAGTGGACCACTAGTCGGGGAAATGTTCGCACTTTTTTCCCTCCTTCTTGGCAGCGCCAGTGCTTCCTCGCTGCGTTCGGAGATCCAACAGAGGCAGCTCCGAGATATAACCTTTTGTCACGAAACTCCGAACTTACTCCGCACAATTTGTGGCGTTCTGCCTGCCTGGCGCTAGTTAAGGAACGCCTCATTGCCCCCTCAGCGAAGATTCCCTTTGCCAATGTTCCTCACAGAACTTCGACATTCTTCCTATTGATTTCACTGAACTCTGTCAAAAGATTCTATCTCTCGTAACCATCACTAGAAATCACACGATAGCTCCATCGGCGTCCCAAACATGGCTGCGATCCAGAAGGATGCCGCCGCCATCAAGTGCGCCAAGCAAATGGATCACATCCCTTGGTGTGACGACTACGAGAAGATGATCTCAGGAATGCTGTAGGTATCTTTCGAGTCGTACTTATTGCCTGAATTGACAGTTCTAGCTACAACTCGCTGGCGCCGGAGCTCATCGCCGGTCGCTTCCGTGCTCGGCGCTTCATGCACAAGTACAACAACCACTTCCCCGAGGATGCTACGCCCGACACTCTCGTGAAAGAGCGAGAAGATATCATTCGCCAAATGTTCGGCAAAGTTGGCAAGGAGCCTTACATGGAACCGCCCCTCAACGTCGACTATGGCTGCAACATCACCATCGGAGACAACTTCTACAGCAACTTCAAGTGAGTCCAAAATGTAAAGAGCCCATATTGAAGCTCACACTACATAGCCTGGTGATTCTTGATTGTGGCATTGTCAAGATTGGAGACCGTGTCCTGGTAAATTATTCTTTTCAAGATGTGATACCATTGACTAACTCATACAGTTTGGCCCTTCTGTTTCCATCTTTGCCGCGACTCATGAAGTCGAGGTGCAGTCTCGCCGAGATTTTATCGAATACGCCGGTTCAGTGACCATTGGTGACGACTGTTGGATTGGTGGAAACGTGACCATTATGCCCAACGTCAAGATCGGCAAAGGCTGCACAATTGGAGCAGGAAGCATCGTCACGAAGGACATTCCCGACTTCTCCGTCGCCATCGGAACCCCGGCTAGGGTTGTGAAGAAGGTCCAGCCCGTTGAGGATCTTCCATCCGAAATACCAGATGCTGAGAAGACTGCGTAATGGAAGGACGCAGCTTGTTGCCCCGTTTTTGTCCTGCTAGCCGTCCGACTTTCAATACACGGCCATGTGACCGGGCCGGGCCGAGCATCCAGGTCCGGCCCCGCATTCATCATCACGTCATTGGTGGCACCGTCATTGACCTATTCTTCCCATCATGCCGAATCAAGGTCTCATCTTTTTCTGCAAACTTCCCTGCAAACCAAAGAGTCCCTCGTACTCTTTGAGTAAATCTTGAACGCGATTAACCATGAGCAACGTTGACCTCTCCATTCCAACTTATGCTACCGGCGCCGCCGCGGATTTCGCGGCGAAGCACGCTAGCAATCATGACTTGGCCTTCTATGGCGGCTGGTTTTGTCCCTTCGTCCAGCGCTCTTGGATGGTTCTTCACGAGAAGCGGATTGACCATCACTACAAGGAGGTGAACCCCTACAACAAGGACCCCGATGGCCCCAATAAAGAGTTTCTCGGCCTGAATCCACGCGGCCTGATCCCCACCATGGCTGTTCCAGCACGAGACGGAGGGGGGAAGGTCCGGTCCTTGTACGACAGCACCATCGTCTCCGAATACCTCGACGAGGAGTATGCAGACGAGTCGAAGCATGGCCCTCGACTTTTCCCTACGGATCCTTACGAACGCGCAAGGTGCAGGCTCTGGATCGACCACATCAACAACAAGATTGTCCCAGGCTTTTACAAGTTCATCCAGCACACCCCCGAAAAGACCCACTCAATCGACAACGCGCGATCTGAGTTTCTGAACCATATCGGAACCCTAGTTCGTGAGATGCACCCTAGCGGACCGTGGTTCCTTGGCGAGCGCTTCTCCATGGTTGATGTGATGCTTGCGCCGTGGGCTATGCGACTGTTTTTGATCGACCACTTCAAGCCTGGCGGTGTGGGCATTCCTCCTCCGACGAAGGAAACTAGCGAGCCCGAGACCTGGTCCCGATGGAAGACGTGGTTCGATGCCATCAGCGAGCGACAGAGCGTGAAAGACACACTGAGTGCTCGGGAGGCGTATCTTGCGTCCTACAAGCGGTACGCAGAAGACACTACCAATTCCTTGGTAGCGCAGGCCACTAGGAGTGGAGGACGGATGCCATAAGTGCCTGTAACTGGGTTTTGGGATGATTGGAACGGAAACCAAGCCCGCGAAGCGGAACAGCATGTCAAGATCGATGATGAATCGAACGCATTGTCGATGGAAATGATGTTATTAATTTTCATAAAATTCGATCATTAACGCTCTTGGAGGGCATATTTGAAAATATAAATGATTAATAGTTTTCCCGCGAGAAAGTCATTTCAATGTTGAAGGAAAGGACGGTCCCATTACCAGAAGCCCCGGTGTCATGTCTGCGTACCTTAAACGACTGGGTGGCTGTCATGCTTCAAGCAGGAGTACTTGCTTCAGGCCCTACATTCTTTTGACTTTCGCGAATAGATACCTCACTCTCTACGTTGCCTCCAGGAGCAGTCTCACCATATTTTTTAGCATCCTTGAGTCGTGCGGCCCTCTGATAACGACTTTCGCTAGCTGGATCAAGGAAGGCTGAGAGAGTCAATTGCTGCCCAAGAGTATCACGGGCTGCAACTTACGTTTCTCGCCAAAAACGGTCGTCCTGATGCCCCTTCGAGGGGCTTCATATGTCCCCGGTATCACCCGATGGATTGTGGCCCTGTAAACGTCAGTCAAGGGCTAAGAGCATACTGAGTGGCATGGATGACCAACCTGTTATCCCACATAGCAACACTCCCAATCTCCCACTTCCATCGCACTGCATGATCGTCTGCAGAATGGATGTGGTAGGCAAAGAAATCCAATAACTTATCCGATTCGACCTTTTTCAACTCAGCGAATCCTGTCACGAAGCCCGGGTTGACGTTCAAAGCTTTCAGTCCAGTGACGGGGTGAGTACGGACGGCAGGATGATGACTATCGATCGGTGGCCGATTAGGTCCCACTCCCCAGAGATCAATAATGCTGTCATATTGCAGTCGCGAGGTATGCACAGCATGCAACCCGTCGATGAATCTCTTGTAGGCGTCGCTCAGAGCGTCATACAGGCCGTACTGTGACACCCATGCCGTGTCCCCGCCAACTGCAGGGTGTTCCTCCATCCGGAGTAGGGAGTACGACGGTGGGTTGATCTCGAACGATGTGTCGGCGTGGAAGTCGCCCGAAGGCCAGGGTGTGTAATTGAGAATTTCCCGATGATCTTCCGTACTGCCCTTAATCACAACATGCTTGACGTCCTTCTGAGCTGGATGCTTGTCAAGAACGCCGTAGTGCTCAAATAACTTTACTTGACTATCAGTCGTGAGGTCTTGGTTGCGGAAGAAGACAACACCTCGCTCTGTGACCAGAGCAGCGAGCTCATCCAGCTGTTCGAGACTGAGTGTAGAAAGTTGAACACCTTCGAGGAGGGTTCCAATCGACTCGGTGAGGTCGACTTGCTTAGCTACAGAAAGAAGGGCTCTCTTAGAAGGATCAGCGAAGTGAGCTCGGTCCTTTTCAGGCTTAATCTCCTCTCGGAGACTCTCGGGTGGTACATGTTCTCTGATCTTTTCTATAATATTTCAGAAGTGAGTATCACAAATTCTCAATGAGAATACTTACTGTTGAACGATGGATGGAGAGTTATAGGAAACCCCGAGTCTAGAGATATGTGCTTGCGGGCCTCAAGCTGGGCCATCTTGTAGTTGCACCTATAACGTATCGTTTCAGATTATTCTTGTAGGGCTCCCTCGCTGGCTGATATGACCTAGAAAACGATTTGAACAGCAGCAAGGAGTTTGGCACTCATATCAATTTCCGTATTTCACTCTGATAAGAAGCGAGATCGGCGCTCGAGCACGCGATGTGAAGTCGTGATCCACTGCGCGTGTCATGTCGCCATTTACTGTCTAAATGGTGATGCATCAGGTCAAGAGGCAACTTCGCCCCTCGCGGGTCTCGGCATCTGTGCTGCTTTGAGCGATCCTGGAGTCAATGTCGCATCGTCGACCGTGGGGCACAGGTGCATGGCATATGCATTGCCTGCGCAACCAGAATATTCTCCCCGGCGTCCGAGGCGAGCCTCTTCAATTGTCCAATAATAGGCACTACATTACCATGACGAATCTTCGATAGCGGACATCGGTGTCTTTGGCATGCACAAGACCCTGAGACTGATTCGCTCATGTCGCGTTACTGAGCGGCAGAATCATGGGTCTGGCCATGTGTTGATGGCGTGCGATGGCATCAATCCCGCTAAACCACTCAAAGGCTGCGATACCGCAGATAACCATCACATCCCACGCGGAAAGTGGGCGACCACGGGACTTAACAGGCCAGCCACATGGGTTTGCTCGAAATCCGGCGCAATGGTGCAAGGAATTTCGTTGATATCCCATCGGAAATAGCGAGAAGAAAATCTAGCCTCCGCAAACCATATGCTTAAGTTCAGGGCACCCAGACACAGAGAAAAGGCATCGAATGTTGCTTTCTCTCCATAAGTTGTAACTACCTGATTTCATCATCATGTCTGACAACAACTACGAAGACAAGGAAGCCAAGCTAGTGGGTGTCCACGCTGTAGCCGATAGCAGCGTCGACTCCAGCGATGGCGAGACCAGTACACTCGAGTGGTCACCTGAAGAAGAAAAACGTCTTGTGCGGAAGTGAGGCTCTACAATAGCTTCGAGGCTCAAAATAACACGCTGACGAAGACAGGGTTGACTTTATTGTCATGCCATTGCTAATGTAAGTCAGATACTTTGATCTGATAACCGTCCCCGACGTTGCAGCAAACTAATGTCCGAGTCAGGCTTGGGTTTTTTGTACTGCAACTCGATCGAGGCAACATGTAGTCGTCTCTAGATTGCGCCCCTGCTGGGGAATTTCACTGATGTGCACAGCGGCAATGCTTTAACCGACTTTTTCTTCCGAGATGTCGGTATTACCCAGAATCAATTCAATATTGGCCAACAGTTGCTCTCACTTGGCATTGTTTTACTCGAGATTCCATCCAACATCATCCTCTACCGCGTCGGGCCCAGTCTCTGGATCGGAACCCAAATCATTGCCTGGTGCGTACTGCGCCTTTAATCACGACAAAGTCAATTGTACTAAAGTGGTAAAGGGGATTTGTTGCTACATTTCAAGCATTCCAAAAGGGAGTGGGGGCCTTTATGGCGACCCGCCTCCTGCTCGGGTATGTCGAAGTCCTTGAATTGCGTGAGCTTGTAAGCTGATGTATTCAGAATGTGCGAGGCGGGTTTTATCCCGGCAGGTTTGTACACTATCACACGATGGTATACGCAAGTCGAAACGAGCAAGCGCTTCTCGTGGTACTTCATCGGCAACATGCTAGCAGGAGCTACATCAGGTCTGATTGCCTACGGCATGTAGGTTTTCCACTGCGCCGTTGTTCTCGAAGCGTGCTAACTACTTCCAGTCTTCATATGAGAGGCATCAATGGTCTCGCCGGTTGGCAATGGCTTTTCATCCTTGAAGGCATTTTGACACTAGCCGTGGGCATCACTTTCATTTCTCTTTTCCCACAGTCAACCAGTCACCCTGTCTCGCTGTTTGGCTACCGGTACTTCACGGAACGAGAAGCGCAGATTCTCACCGCTCGTGTTATTCGGGACGATCCTTCCAAGCGCCATGCAAAGCAACACGTCAGCAGAAGCGAGCTCAAGGACGCTGTGAGTTCAGAAAAGCCCTGCGCAGCCTCATTCCGTGAACATGCACTGACAGAAATAGCTCACAAATTGGAGACTGATCCCCCACGTCATCACCACCATCTGCGGTCTTGCGCCGGCGTCTGTCATGATGTCGTATGGACCCTCGCTTGTTGTCAGCTTCGGCTTTGGCAGGCTCCGGTCAAACGCAATGATGTCGATAGGCAATTGGTGCGCTCTTGTGACAAACTTGGCCTGGGGCTACGCAGGGTAAGACCATTCAGTGTTTAGAATGAGCGTCCACAGGGCTGACAGGATGCAGTGACCACTGGGGCCGCCGTGGGCCGTTGGTTTTCCTCGGTGTCACACTCTTTGCTGCCGTGGCGGTATGTTGCTTATAACCTTCATCCACTGATATTCTGAAGACAATTGCTGATCCTTGAAGATTGGCAACCGAGCTCTGATCTATTCCGATGATGCCAATGCCAAATTCGCGTTGCTGATGTTGGTCGGGGCCTTCGCGGCGCCATGGCGTAAGTCCCATGTCGCAGACTTGTGGACCAAAGGCTAATGCACTATCACGTAGACCCCCTCAACGGTTCTTGGATGTCACTTAATGCTAAGTCGGCTGGCGAGAGATCCATCACCTTTGCCATTCTAATCATGTCAGCCAATAGCAGTGGGATTGTTGGCGGACAGCTGTTCCAGCAGGCGGACGCTCCGCGTTACAGAACTGGCTGGTCGGTCATCATCGCACTTGTCTCGTTGGCTGTCGTCTCCTCGGCCGTGTCCAATATTCAGTACTGGGTATTGAACAGACGGAATGCTAAAAACGGAATAGAGTATCGCTACAAACTGTGAGGCAGGTCACGACTAATGGGCTTTGGGGAAGGAACTTGACGCTACCACGTCGAATGCGAGCCATGTGCTCCTACTGGGTTCCGTGACTCTTACGAGACAGCCAGAATCACACTTGAGTGGAAGACCAAGAATCTACCAGAGCTCGACCTGTATGCGGTGTTCAATGTTTTCTATAGGCGGCTTACACTTTCCGTCAGCAACGTATTATTAGCACTCCGAACTTCGGTAGTGTCGCGGGCCGGGGGCGCAGTTTGCCAATATTTTTCGTCAGCACTTGACAAACGCGAATGGAGATTCGGCCAATGACCATGTATCCATATAGGCTGAGCTTCCCTGACACGCCCGCCCGGCCGGGCTGAGGATGACTTCGCCTGCCGTGGCACCACACAGACGGCGCTGGCAAAATGACGACCGGTCCCGCGCCATGGCGGAACTCCATCCTTCCGATAGACAGTAACTTGATGAAAACGCACGGCGTAAGCAAATTTCATGTTCGATTGTCAATATAAGGAGTGATGAAGTCCTGGTAGTCAGTGGTTTCTTCTGTCAGCATCAGCTTCAACAAACAGCATAACAATTATTTCCTAGAGTCTTTCCTAGTCTATTTCCTTATTTCCTTCTGTTACCTCATTATTCTTTCGAGTCCCCAGAAAATTACTAAAATGGCCTTCACGTCTTTCTCTGTCGCCATCGCTCTGGTGGCTGCCGTCGCAGCCGTTCCTACTCCAACGCATCCCTCCGAGCCCTCTCCCGTCATTGAGCTCACTGGTGTGACGCACACTGTTGTCGCCGGCCTCGGAGGCCTGCGCTTTGAGCCTGACAACGTCGTTGCCGAAAAGGGCGACGTTGTAGAGTGGCACTTCCTGCCTCGCAACCACGCAGTCGCGCAGTCCTCTTTCGGCGAGCCCTGCCAGCCCCTTGACGATGGGACGTCGATCTACTCGGGCTTCAACTTTGCCGTCGAAGAAGGCCAGTCTGACAATGTCTTCCAGATTGTCGTCGAGCAGACAGAGACGCCCACCTGGTACTACTGCCCTCAGCAGAACGGTGACCACTGCAAGAACGGCATGACCGGTGTCATCAACCAGAACTTTGACAACCAGGATTTCAGCCTCCGGGCCCACCGCGAGCTGGCTGCCAAGGTCGACAAGTCGGTTATTCCCGCTGTCGAGGGCGGCGGTATCGTCATTCCCAACCCTAACCCTCTTTCCGGCTTCAAGCTCATGCACTGAGTGTCTGGTCCGTGTGAGGCAACATGCATATGGCGTATATGGGTTGAGAGGCTTATGGAGACGTTGGTTTGAACATGTCTAGGGGCACTCAGTGAGGGGCGTTACAATCTGCATTTCCAACATTCAAACACTCGCTCGGACATTAGTTTATGAAGATACAATACAAACAACGCTCCTTTTGTTAGAGCTGGTTATTGTGAGGCTTGAAATGGGAAGGCCGGACCAAGACATGTGCTGTGCAGGTCAGTAGGGAGGAGACTCCAGAGCTTCCACTCGAGGCTCGCTCTGGCGGGGTCCTGCTGTTCCTTGCCATGATCGGGGTCCCTCAGGCGGCCTTTCCAGAACCTGTAGCCGCGCCCTCTGGATTGACGATTCATGCGCGGCTGGCACACAAGAGCGAGAGACTGCGCATGTGGTTTGAAATCAGTTCATAGAGCCTATCATAGCACGCCTTGAAATTCCGTATAGTACACACAAGCGGCCCAGCCACAGTCCAAGAACTCCTTGATCCTCACATGTATACCCGCCTCACTGCCCATATGTCGAAGGGGCAAAGCTGAAATCCACATCGAGCTCCTTCAAAAAGATATCGCCGAGGGTAGAGCCGTCACGCATGTATATCCAGTTGCCGGCACCGGTGCCCTCCTTCTCGGCCTGTCCCTCGCCGAGGATGGCCCAGTCGTAGCGCTTCGGGCCGGAGAGCGGCGAGGAGAGCCAGATCTGCTTGTTGGGGGGCTGCTTGTTGATGACGTAGGTACCGTGCTCCGGGGTGTTGAGGGTCAAGACACCCGCCTGTTGCGGACGTTAGCTTGGAGTTCCACGGCTCTTATGGAGCGCGCGTCTGTCGCACCGAATACTCAACATCGAATCCCTCGCGGGTCTCGGCCAACTCCTCGAGCTTGGAGACGACAACGTCCATGTACCGGTCGGCCAGCTCGTGGTACTCGGCGTCCGTGAGCTCGGCGACGTTCACAGTGACGGGCGTCTCGGGGACGGTGGTGTCCTTGCCATGGGGTTCGCTGGTCTCAGGCATGATACCGCGGGTCATGGAAGAAGAGGTCGTGAAGAGCCTGCGGGCGGCGGTCGGACGGGCGAAGAAAGCATTGCGGGCAGACATGGAGAAGAGGGGACGGCGGGCGGCAGTCTGCGCAATAGACGAGCTGCGGAAGCCACGAGCGGCAGCTCTGGGGACCGAAGCGAGACTGGAGGGAGCCATTGTGATGGAAATTCAAATCAAGGGGTATCTAGTCGATAATTCAAGGCGTGAGCTGATGTTGGAGACCCAATGAACCGTGATCAATGTGATGTGGAAGAGCCGAGGATGGACGTGATGCATGCAACCAGAAGGGCAGCAGCTTCCCCACATGGAGGAGCTCAAGCTTCAGGTTCGAGGAGCTGTCAGTACGGATGTGGTCCGAGCGTCGGTGAAGTCATGTGCCAGGGACAAGCAGAGGAGGGAGTCTCGACCCCACCATTGATGATCACCGCGTGCTGGTGCTGGCCCCGGAGACTCACTCGCCAGGGCCCAAGTTGCGCCTCGGTGCTCGTTCTGTCTTCCATTACCGTGATGCAGCACCTCCATTCACAACAATGATCAACGCCTTTCTGGTCTTCAATGGCCAAGGTCAACCCCGTTTGACCAAATTCTACACCCAGCTGGTTTGTAGTCTCCGTGTGTCCGCCCACAAGGTACCGTGCTGACGCAAGCAACCTGCATAGGAGACGAGCATACAGCAGCGCCTCATCTCCGAGATATTCACGCTGGTGTCGAATCGCCCGTCTGGTTCCTGCAACTTCCTCCCGCTGCCACCTCTGCTGGCCGCTTCCGGCACGTCGCACTCGTCCTCGTCCGAAGAACAGAACGACGTACCCTCTCTCGTTACATACCGCAACTACGCGACCCTCTACTTCATCGTCATCTCGACGGCGACCGAGTCACCCCTCGCCCTGATCGACCTCATCCAGGTCTACGTCGAGTCGCTTGACAAGCTTTTCGAAAATGTCTGCGAGTTGGATCTGATTTTCAATTTCGAGAGCCTGCACGCAGCACTCGGCGAGATGATTGTCGGTGGCGTCGTCGTGGAAACAAATCTTGACCGCATCGTCGCGGGTGTGCGGGCGCAGGGCACCGTAGCAAAGCGACCGGTCAACGAGAGCAGGTCGACGGGTCTGGGGTCGGGCATGGGGCTGGGTGGTAACTTTGTGTGGCACGGCCGGTAGGACGACCGCGCGCCGAGGGATTCACGACTAGACGAACAAAAACAAGGATGAGCGATACCACGATGATTGACGGCTCGGCAGAGAACTAGAGCCAAAGATTTCAGAAAGCGCGCACGCGTCTGTGCCAGCCTTCAATAGTATACATTGATGATTCCCACAGCGTTTCCCACGACGTGGGGAGAGACATGACGCCAAAAACTCCAACCATGTATATCCAACAGTCCATCACTTCGGGGTGTCTTCGCGAGCAGGTGGTGGCGCCGGCGCGTCGCTTCGTCGTTCGTATCGCTTGTCGGCGTCAATGGCCCCGAAGATGCTCTTGACGTGTTTTTGAAACTGCTCTTGTCAGCATGGAGGAGCCGTGGAGGAGCACTCGCCACACCTACCTCGTCCGATGCGCGATACTTTTGGCCGAAGAGATCGAGTTCCGAGAAGAACATGGCCGTGACGAAGACTACGAGGCAATCAGCAGGTGCATCACCCCATTGGAGGGAGACAAGTCGCTTACCTGTCACAGTCACCAGCTGAACGATCTTGACGGCCTTGTTCCACCTTGGTCGGGCATACTTGAGGGCGACGCGGCGCTTGTACTTCTTCTCGAAGCGCAGCTGGGCTTGCGGCGTCAGCTTGGTGAAGTCGGGCGGCCACACCTTGCGCAGCTGATAGAGATTGCCTGTCGCATTGTAGGTCGACTCGGTCGCCTGTGCAGCGCGTCGTATTAGCGTTGAGAGCATCGTTACGTCTGTTGCGATGGCTTCGGGCTGGTCTAGTTCTCCAGTCACTATCCGCCTCGGGGATCAGGGTCAAGATTCAGAAAACGCTTGGCCCCAGTAGGTCGCCGAACATGTGGGTCGCCCCGCCCCCACATCCGTGTGCCATGAGCCTCGTCCCCAAGCCGCCCTCTGTCAGACCCTGACTGCCTGACGCACGTAGGTCCCAATACAGAAATGTAACAATCTGCTTTTCTATTGGTATGGTATTCGCGGTGGCCTCATGATTTCTTTCAGACTTTAACAGCCACGTCCACATACGATAAGAAAAACGAAGCCGCCCTGTTCCCAGAGCATTGTTTTGTCTGGTTCCTCGCTTGGGTATGATAAAAGCAGTACGGAATCAAGGGGAAATGGCGTCCCCATGAGCACCTCTCCATTCGTATGTCATTTCTCAACGCATAACGATCTATCTGTCAGGTGGCCACCATCTGAGCATATTCCGACATGTCACGCGGAGTTCAGGAGAGACACTTTACCTCGCAGTAGTCACTCGGATCCGAATCATCTTACAAATATATATACACACAATCCAAGTAACGTAACTTGTCTCCCAACATGCATCTACGACGGCACATCATTTCTCTGGGCCGGTCGTGCTGCGGTCCTTGGAATGACATTGAGCATGGCTGTGTGGCAAGCTTGAAATGTTTGCTGACAGCGAAGAGGCAGATCTCAAGCAAGCATTGCGACTAACTTGGTGGTATAGGAACAGGTCAAGCTGGATCCGAAGCGACTGGCCATTCACTTCCATCTGCCCCGTTTCGTCACACAAGTTCTTCATCGTGACAATCAAAGCCGCCCATCGTGAGTCGTTGGTGGGCATTTGGCTACCGAAAGCGCCCTTGGGGCTGGGGCTTGGAATCGCAGCAACGCCTTGGGGTTTCGCTGCTGAAGTTCCCCTGAAGCCCGTAATGAGACAAGGCAGTGGCTTTAAATCCGCACCATGTCAGTGTAGGATCAAAAAGTGAACGATGGATATAATGTCAATCATTCAAAGGGCGATGAGGAAGGACCAGCGCGCGAAGGATGATGAAACGCTCCATTCGGGGACACCACGGCGGAATGACGGTTTTATGATCACTTCAAACTACATGACCCTGCCGATGGCAGTCAAAGCTGATAGCCTATGTACATGTATGAACATGACTCGAACGTGTTGACTTCGAAAACGCTGGATGCGCTCGTGCCACACAACGCTTTCCGATCTTTTCCTTTTCCAGTAACAAAACCCGTGAAGTCTTTCGCCGACCCGGCCTTCAGTTCTTCCTGACACTTGTTTTCCACGGAACCCATGTCATATTACATCGATGATTTTTGATGACTTGGGTCTTCATTAGTGTCAGAAATGTGTTGATTACCAACCTCATCATGATTGCCAATACGATACGTCCGCGGACTGACTTTGTTGTCGGAACGGTCTCGTTGTGTCTCGGCTGGCCGTGGATGTGTAACAAAGAAAATCGGATGATCCATGGCCAGAAGGAGGACGTGCCCGGTGACAGCAGCAATGACTTCGCTTCGACGGAAGATCCGCTGAGAAATGTCGATCTTGCTGACAGCTCCGCGAGACTCTGGCTATCTGGTCAGCATCACGAAGCCTTCTGTGATCACAATCAGGGCTTGCGTCCATCACGTCGCTCAAGTTCTATCATTGTCTTTACGTGAGACTAGGGGATATACGGCATATTTCTTGCTTTGCGTCTGAGCGACATTTGTGCTCAAGGCGAACAATATGACCGCGGAAATGATACATATCTCTGGTTGAACCCATGAAGGCGATGATACTGCGTGGGTTGCGATCATGTTCTATCGCATCACTCATGATGGAAAAATGTCTTGAGTGTGCGTTCCACAAACATTCTTCACCAAGTTTCTCGCCGTCGGTGTCCATGGCGATCAGGCTGACAGGGTCCATACTCATCGCTTGTTTACGGGAGCATGGATTTGGGCATATCTGGGTCTTGGTGTGTCAGTATCTCGACTTGAAGTCCAAGCCATCTAGTGGCCTCGTAGCCGAGCGCTTCTCCGATGCCGACAAAGCTTTCAATGCCCGTCCACATCGCTGATGCTAGATATTGACAAAAGGCTACTGATACATGTCTGTTGCGCGTTCACCATCATGTCTGAGATACAACGCAGGTATGTGACGTAAATCTCTGACCGTCTTGATATGATGACTTCAAGGAGGAACAATAATTGCTGAATAACACCCGAGCCCGAACCATGCCCTGTGACCACTAGGCGCCACGCCAAGGCCCCCTTTTTGATGTCACATTACGGTAAAGCCTGGCAAGAAGCTTCATCACAGCGCCGAGGTGGGGGACTGGTCGATTAAGAAGACTTACAGGGATGTGATACGTGCCCCCCTTGATATTTGCTCTCGATCAGGCGGCTTTACTCTGTTGTTTGGTGCTGGGATACAGCTAGCAGCGTCTCAGTCCCGATTTGCCCAAGGATTCGCCCACATGCTACACTGCGGCTCCACTACGACACCTGTTGTTGCGAGCCTTTGATTATTTTGGTTTTACTCTCAGCTTCTCCTTTCCTCACGTTCGAAAACGAAGATCAGGGGTTCACTTCACATCATTTAGGCGCTCGCCATCAGTATCAGGCTCTGCTGGCTCAGAGCGATATTTTCCTTCTCTCCAGCATAGCTCAACTTTATTCCAATCTGACTTCCTTTCGCATCCTCGTTGTCTTCCCGTCTTCAAAGTCTATATGACCAGCAGAAGAAGAACGCTATCATTCTTTCTCTCAGAGACGAAGCCAACGCCTTCGGAAGCCCTCGAGTTTTAGTGTAAAACGACTTGCGGGCACCTATATTGCTGGTCAAAACTTCGTCGAACACTCAAGCCAGTTGCACAGCAGTCGACATGCCCCTCATCAACCTTTCGCTTATCAAGAAGCAATTTGTTGCCGAAAAGTTAACCTTCCATGTCATCTTCTGGGGCTTACATTGGGGTGTCTTCGCGTATGGATGGTGCGTTACTTTCCGAACAGCATGAGTGTACGGCAGCGGTTAGCTGATGGCGCATTTTTTTAGGTACGCGCAAGCGAACGAGCCCCGACTAGCACCCTTGAATGCTCTTCGATTCTCGGTCTGGACATCGCGCGGCGCTGGGCTGGTCCTTTCGTTCGACGGGATGCTTATTTTGCTTCCCGTATGTCGCACCCTCATGAGATGGATTAGGCCTAAGTTGCGATGGCTGCCTTTGGACGAGAACTTGTGGTTTCACAGACAGTTGGCATATGCTATGCTTTTCTTCACGCTTCTGCACACGGGAGCACATTATATCAAGTGGGACATTCCAAACCCGAGCGATATTGATTATGACAGCTAATCGAGATTTCACTAGCTTTTTCAACGTTGAACGCCTCCAGCTCCGCCCTCAGACCGCTATACAAATTCACTACACCGAGGCCGGTGGTATCACTGGTCATGTTATGTTGTTTTGCATGGTTATGATGTATACCACTGCGCATAGCCGCATCCGTCAGCAGTCTTTCGAGACTTTCTGGTATACGCACCATCTCTTCATTCCCTTTTTCCTTGGATTGTACACCCACACCGTTGGCTGTTTCATTCGGGATACCGCGCAACCTCTTTCACCATTCGCGAAGGACTACTATAAGCACTGCATTGGGTACCTTGGCTGGAAGTGGGAACTCTGGACAGGTGGCTTGTATGTGATCGAACGTATCTACCGTGAGGTCCGCGCTCGCCGCACCACTGAAATCACCCGTGTAATCCGTCATCCCTATGGTATGTCGTCCAGTCTATTTCGCTTAGACATCACTAATCACTCGACAGACGTCATCGAACTTCAGTTCAACAAGCCGTCATTCAGATATAAGGCTGGCCAATGGCTGTTCCTACAGGTGCCGTCAATCTCCAAATACCAATGGCACCCCTTCACGATCACCTCATGCCCGCACGATCCCTATGTCTCGATACACGTTCGTCAAGTTGGCGACTTTACTTACTCTTTGGGTGATGCTGTTGGCGTCGGGGCTGGCTCCTCACAATCGAAGCTGTTGGAGGACAACGACCCATTGGCGCTTTTCGAGGTCGTCCTACAAATGGGGCAACAAATGCCGAACGTGCGCATCGATGGCCCCTACGGTGCTCCTGCGGAGGACGTGTTCGATAATGAAATTGCCGTACTCATAGGCATGGGTATCGGCGTGACTCCTTGGGCATCTGTCCTCAAGAACATCTGGCACCTGCGTCGAGGTCCCAACCCTCCGACGCGTCTTCGGCGGATTGACTTTGTCTGGGTTTGCAAGGACACTGGGGCATTTGAATGGTTCCATAACCTCTTGTCCTCGCTGGAGACACAGTCAGCCGAAGCCGCCAGCCGACCTGATGGCTCTGGGTTCCTCAACATTCATACTTATCTCACGCAACGATTGGATATGGACACGACACAAAACATCATTCTTAACTCTGTTGGTGCCAAGCTCGATCCTCTGACTGAGCTCAAAACACGCACCAATTTTGGCCGGCCCAACTTTGACTCGCTCCTCTCTGACGTGCGAGATGGGGTGTTAGATCGTACCTACCCGAACGGCCTCGAGGGCAGAACGACAGTTGGTGTTTACTTTTGTGGACCGTCAGCAGCCGGTAAGCGATGAAGGATACGTATTGCTCCTGATAGCATTACTGACCACTTGACAGCTCGTGAGATCAAGGCGGCCTGCAAAAGCGTGACAGTGCCCGAAGTCAATTTCCGCTTCTGGAAGGAACACTTCTAAGTACCGCGGCTTGTATTTTCGCGAGAACGGGGTGGCCTAGGTTTACATAGCATTGATATCGTCTGCGACTGGTTTCTAGCCGGAGACTCATTGGAACTTCGGGCTTTCATAGACGAAGTTTTACATACTTCATCTTATGTCATCTCATGGCGAATTACGGGCGGTCTCGGCCTTTGTTTAGACCTCTTCGTGTACAGTCTGTGGAGTTGGAGAGTGGCGAGAGCGTTGCGGCTAAGGTAGCTCGACTTGTATGAGTACAGAATGTCGGACGGGTTAACGTACTCAACGAAGATTACAAATTGAGTTCCAATGGTGGCACAATGTGCAAGAAAATTACTATGTAGATTACTTCTTCGAGCACTCTAGCAATGTATTGCAGCATTGACACCCGACTAGTTTGCGGCGGGATGGCATGAGCATGGTAAACTCGCGCAGGAGTTCTTCTCTCCGACGTGCCAAGCTGCGTGTAGCCCTTGGCAGTCACGATATTGTCCTTGCGGCCTTCAAGCGACGCCTGGATTGCCATAATATTCGTCATCAGGGCGCCTCCCTACTTGGGCCAAATGGGTTGGTCACGTTGCCTGTGTAGCTTTTAAGCTCCGACAACGACCGGAAATTAGGCCTCGTACCCCACAATCATATCATGAGTGAATGTTTGCGCATCAAAGCTAGCCCGGTGTTTAAGTCATAGCCTCGGGCGTGCCAGTTTGCTCCACATTAAGCGCGCGCGGTACTTGAACTCAGCCTGCTGAAAGGAGACCAAGATTACTTCTCCGGAGGAGCACGCAGCAGCCGACACCAGGATTAACATACTGGCTGGGAGGCCCAACTTGCAGGGGCTAAGAATTGGTCAGAATCGTCATCATACTTCATTAATCACACGGGAAAAGCTCCTCGATTCTTCTTAGTACCACTCGCTTGGGGATCGCTTGCGGTCGCGGCGAGAATGGCAGTAGATCCAGTGCAATCTCAACACCAGTTGAGGATGACAAACTACATTCAGCTCATGGCCAGACGTGACTCTGTGTTTAGTTTGACGAGATAATAAGGAGGAGTCTCTCCGCACCGATACGAATGCCCAGCGCACATTGACAAGTTTCCTATTCAAACCAGATCAAACACGAGCTTCGCAAAGCAAAGCCATGTATTGGACTAAAAGCCTCGCCTTGGCCACATTAGGCCAGGCCTATGGGTGCTGTACCCCAGAGCGTGGCATTGATGGTTCAACCTCGAGCCCTCTCACGGCGCAAACCCTCCTGAGTCGGGGTATCGAGGCGCTCGGAGGGTCGGAAAACATGGCCAACATCACAACGTTGACATACGTAGGCGGAGAGTAATTGCATACATTCAGATCGGAGTCTGGGACGCGCAAGCTTACGAATTACATAGTATCTACCGAACAAAGTCAATGCTGGAAAGCTACGACCTCGTTGGGGTCGACATACCCTTCTCGACAATCGGCAACCAGAATGTTTCCTTCTCGTTTGACGGCCCGTCCATCAAACAGAGAATTGAGAGGAACCATCAATTGGGTCGTGAGTTCAGCGACTTGAATACCATGTGGGCGCTTTCTTACTACTTGTCAGCGTATTGGGGCTTTGCTCGAGCCGCACTCCAGCCAATGGACTTTACTCTAGTCGTGCATGGAGGTAATCAGGGGTTCGCTTCGGTTGTCGAGGGCAGCGCTTCTCTCTTTGCCCCCGGAGCACCGGCGTCGGGGTTCACAGATGGTAAGAAACCGCTGCGATGACTCCATGAGACTGCTGGAGTACCTGTTTGACATTCCCAGGTCTTCTGGCATCCTACCTCATTCGTGAAGCGCATAGGCTGTCGCCTATGTTGCTGCTCGAGGTACGTTTGAGTTATTCCCTGGCCAAGCAATCACAGTCACAAAGGCTTACAGCCGCAGATGTCGTCAAACAATCGATTATCTCTTCGACGGGAGAAGATAGCTACGCACACATCTTTGCCTGCAGGTAAGCACCAATTATAAGACCCCTGGTCGTGTTCAGTAGATCGCTCGCTGACTGTTCGAGTTTATGACGCTGTTCTCGGTCTATCGGTCATTTTTGATCCCGCAACTAACTTGCCTTACATTATTCGCTCGTACGAGAACCATGGAGTGATTGGCAAATCGACGCAGGACTTGGTTCTCCAGCATTACACCGCTGTGAATAACGTCATGTTCCCAACACGTTTCAAGTCTGTTTACAACAATCACAACGTCATCGCAGACTTTACAGTCCGGGAAGTACTCATCGACAGTGTGGCCAGCACCGCCTTCGAAGTTGCTGGCGATCTTAGGCCGGATAATGTGCCCACCAACAGTTCGCTCTATAGCTCTACGGAAGTCGGTGAGTTCTTCGAGAGTGCTGTCTGGAGTGGGGAGTATCGTGGGACCTTTGCGAATATCAAGGCGACCAATCCATCTCCCGACCTTCCGGGGCTCTGGCTACTGGTCGTTGAGGATGCCAACCTCTATCGACAGATTGTGTATGAGCTCGACGACTATGTTGTCGTGGCTGATTGCCCGCCTCACCAGAGCTTGCTGGTGATTCGCTGGGTCAAGGAGAAGCTTCGGAAGCCTATCAAATATGTCTGGGTAAGTCGCGGGTGATCTATCCTGATGCGATCGATACACTGACGACATCACAGCCCTCGCATCATCACCATGATCACATCTGGGGCATCACGGACTATGTCAAGGCTGGAGCCAAGGTCCTCACCGTCGATATCGCGCGCGACTACTACTCTGCCATTCCTCGAGACAAGTTTGTTACGTATAGGTAAGTCGTCGATCTCCTTCATTGCGTTTCTCAGGATTCGAGTTCTAAGATATTGGCCCCGCAGCACAAAGAAGCCGTTTATGCTCCGGGACAAGAAGATGCAGGTAGCCTTTGTGCACATGAAGGAATCCACCCATGCCGCTGACTACTCATACGCCTTGGCAACGTCGCGATGCCCTACGGCCAACAGCCCTGCTGTGCTGTTCAATGCGGACGACTACATCCCCGCCGCGGGCCTTGAAACCGGCGACCAGGCTACTCTCAGGGTTGCTCTCGGGGCATTGGCCAACGACGGTGTTCCGAAGGACGTGATGTAAGTCCCAACAATACTATGCCGAAGATGTGCGAATAATAATATGCGTACTGACTCTTCCTAGTTGGCAACCCGCGCATGGCGAATCCGTGCCTCTACCGACCCTGGCGAATGCCACGGGTTACATGTATCCAGAACTCACAACTGTGGATTTTGCGTATCTGCAGAAATGCTAGACATTCAACGTGTGCCTTGCGCAATTCGGGTTTAACGTCATGCTTCAGAATGACATTTGATCCTGTCTTTTGACTTGCCGGGTCGAACAAGGCATTTCTCGAGTCTGGCAGAGACGCTGCTCCGTGGAGGAGGGGACGCTGGCCGGGCATCTACTGTCTCAACACCCTAGGTAGTTAGAAGTAATGGACACGTTCTGAATGACTGCAGTAGCCTCGGCTGCTATTCTGCGTAAAAAGATGAACAGACAAACAGCATTCTGGTGACCCAGTGACCAGCATTGACTTGGCCGCACATTCTGACCCACAAATGTCGGCTGACTAAGGTGGCATATCCCAGCAGCCAGCACCACTCTCTTGCTCTTGATGGCTGCCGATACCCCGCCATCCACCGCGGGGCACATTTTGCTCGACCTCCAAAACTTCACGGTGCTCCGATTCGTGACTCAGGTGGACGAAGACGACGATAATTCACGATTCTCCGAACACCAAGACTGGCTACCGAACCTCGAGGTCCTTTGCACCCGCATTGACATCCTCCATACATCACCCGCCATGGCGACGGCCGACCCAGCCAAGGAAATGGAGAATCTCCAGATCTCCAAGACCAAGGAGCTCAAGGGCACCGAGAAGCGCGACACACTCATTGCGATTGAGAAGAAGTACCAGCAGCAGTGGGCCGACAGCAAGATCTTCGAGACTGATGCCCCCTCGATTGAGGAATACCCCCTCGACTCCATATCCGCCGAAGAGCTGCGCGAGAAGCACCCCAAATGGTATCGACACCAGTCCCCGCAGACGACGACGACGAGTAGGTACTGACCGGTCCAGGTTCGGCTGCATCGCATACAGCTACGTCAATGGAAAACTTCATGCCGGCCACGTCTTCTCCCAGAGCAAGGTCGAGTTCGGTGCTGGTGTACGTCTGTCGGCCCCGTCGGCAAGAGTCCTGCTAAATCATCACAGACCGCGCGCATGTCTGGCAAGCGCGCCCTGTTCCCCATGGGTTGGCACGCGACCGGTATGCCCATTCCCGCCGTTGCCGACAAGCTGAAGTACGAGATTGAAAAGTTTGGCCGCGACTTTGAGGGATACAAGGAAGAGGAGGAAGAGGCTGAGGAGCCGGCGCCGGTGACCACTGTGAAGCGCGACGATGTCACCAAATTCACCACCAAGAAGAGCAAGGCCACGGCCAAAACGGCCAAGGCCAAGTACCAGGTGTGTGATGATAGGCCGTGGTGCTGTGGACTCTCGGCTAACAGTTGCAGTTCCAAATCATGCAGTCCATGGGCATTCCCACTGAACAGATTCATCTCTTTGCCGACGCCCAGTACTGGCTCACCTTCTTCCCCCACCTCGGCCAGCAGGACGTCACCAGCTTGGGCTTCCGCGTTGATTGGCGCAGGTCCTTCATCACGACCGACATCAACCCCTACTATGACGCCTTCATCAGGTGGCAGATGAACCGCCTCAAGGAGCTCGGCAAGATCAAGTTTGGCAAGCGTTACACCGTCTACTCCATCAAGGATGGCCAGCCCTGCATGGACCACGACCGATCCGAGGGCGAGGGTGTCGGTCCTCAAGAGTACACTGGTCTCAAGATGAAGGTCCTCGAATGGGCCCCCAAGGCCAAGGAGGCTCTCGAGAGCAAGCTTCCGGCCGATGCCAGCGTCTACCTCATCCCCGCCACCCTCCGACCCGAGACCATGTACGGACAGTGCGCTCTCTTCGTGTCGCCAAAGATCAACTACGGCATCTTCAAGGCCTCCGAGAAGGAGTACTACCTCGTCACGCACCGGTATGTTTGCGTCCTCTTCACGTACCGAGATCGATAGAATGCTGACCTCGCTAGCGCCTCGCGCAACATGGCCTACCAGGGTGTCTTTGCCAAGGAGGGTGAGATCGAGCACCTTACCGACATCTCCGGTGCTGATGTTGTTGGCTCCCTCGTCAATGCGCCCCTCTCTGTCCACTCTGAGGGCGTTCGTGTCTTGCCCATGGACACCATCTTGCCTTCCAAGGGCACGGGCGTTGTGAGCTGCGTTCCCTCCGACAGCCCTGCGGACTGGATCACCCTGATGGACCTTCGCAAGAAGGCGGCGTACTACGGCATCGAGCAGGCGTGGGCCGAGCTCGACGTCGTGCCCGTCATCGACACCCCCATGGGTGACCTTATTGCCAAGAGTCTCTGCGAACAGCTCAAGATCGGCTCTCCCAAGGACACCGTTCAGCTCGAGAAGGCCAAGGACACGGCGTACACTGAAGGGTGAGTTTGCTTCCACGGCGGCTGCGTATCAACGTGGACTAACAGGCGCAGCTTTTACAAGGGCACCATGAAGGTGGGCGACTACAAGGGTGAGGCGGTGGAGACCGCCAAGCCCAAGGTGCGAAAGCAGCTCATCGACGGCGGACTCGCCTTTGTCTACTCGGAGCCTGAGCGCAAGGTCATCAGTCGTTCTGCCGACGAGTGTATCGTTGCCCTGATGGACCAGTGGTACCTCGACTACGGTGAGCCTACCTGGAGAGACCAGGCGCTCGAGTGGGTTGCCAACGCCGACGGCAAGGGACTCGAGACCTTTGGCAACGAGACGAGGAACGCGTTCGAGGGTGTACTGAACTGGCTGAACCAGTGGGCGTGCGCGAGGAGTTACGGCCTCGGCACCAAGCTGCCGTTCGACCCCAAGTTCGTCGTGGAGTCGCTCAGCGACAGCACCATCTACATGGCCTACTACACCATCTGCCACTTCCTCCACGCGGATATCTACGGCAAGGAGCCCGGAACGCTCAACGTCTCGGCCGACCAAATGACCGATGACGTGTGGGACGCTATCTTCTGCCGCCGCGAGCTCGACGACGAGGTCATCAAGGCGTCGGGTATTTCGAAGGAGTCTCTGCAGACGATGAAGCGCTCTTTCGAGTACTTCTACCCTCTTGATCTGCGATCCAGCGGAAAGGACCTCATCGGCAACCATCTCAGTGAGTATCACAGTGCCAGCAGATAAGAGAGTGAGCTAACAGCGCAGCCTTTTTCCTGTACATCCACATTGCCATCTTCCCTAAGAAGTACTGGCCCCGCGCCATCCGCACTAACGGCCATCTCCTGCTGAATGGCGAGAAGATGAGTAAGTCGACAGGCAACTTCATGACCCTCGAGGACATGGCGAAGAAGTACGGCGCCGACGCGTCGCGTATCGGTCTCGCCGATGCCGGTGACACGATGGGCGACAGCAACTTTGAGGAGGACGTTGCGAACCAGGCAATTCTGCGTCTGCACACGGCGCGTGGTATGTGATCGGCCTCGTCTTTAAATAATGATGCATTGCTGACCCTTACAGACTGGTGCGAGGAGACGGTCAAGAACAAGAGCGAGCTGCGCACGGGCGAGTACAACTACTTCGACGAGATCTTCAACAACGACCTCAATGCGCTTGCCAAGGAGACGATTGCGCAGTACAGTACGTGGTGGTCCGGTCTTTACGATGGAGGATAGCAACGGCTGACATGGACACAGAGGAAACTTCCTACAAGCTGGCGCTCAAGGCTGGTTTCTACGAGTGAGTCAACCCTCCATTCCATCATGCAACCGGCATGTTGCGGACTTGGATTATGCTGACTTGACAAGCCTCAACAACGCACTCTCGTTCTACCGTGAGAGCACGGCCAGCTGTAAGATGCACGTGGACCTGGCGATCCGGTTCATCGAGCTGCAGTGCCTGCTGATCGCCGTCATCGCGCCTCACTGGGCGGATTCCGTGTGGCAGGAGATCCTTCAGAAGCCGCAGTCGATCCAGCTCGAGCTGTTCCCCGAGGTGCCGGAGACGGACGCCTCGCTGACGGCGGCGCGCAAGTACATTGCCAGCACGGCGTCGAGCGTCAACTCGGCCGAGTCGCTGCAGATGCGTAAGAAGGCCAAGGGCAAGGAGGTGGCGTTCGACCCGAAGAAGGCCAAGAAGCTGACGATCACGATGAACGAGAAATTCCCCGCGTACCAGGAGCAGCTGACGACGCTGCTCAAGTCCATGTGGGACCCGGCGACAAAGTCGGTGGACGACAAGGCGCTCAACAGCAAGATCCCCAAGGCGGACATGAAGAAGGGCATGCCGTTTGTGCAGGCGCTGAAGAAGCGCCTCCAGGCGGGCGAGGCCGAGGCCGACGTGTTCGAGCGCAAGCTCGCGTTCGACGAGACCAAGGTGCTGCTGTCCATGGTGGACTACCTCAAGCGCAGCGCGAACCTGGCCGAGGTGCAGATCATCAAGGCACAGGAGGGCGGCAACGGCACGGACGTGGTGACGGGCGTGGCCATCGACAAGGCGGCTATGCCGGCCAACGCCGAGAGCGCGCTGCCAGGAAGCCCGGCGTTCCTGTTCGCCAACGTCGAGTGAATGTAGGAGCTCTGGTGGAGGGAAAGAGACAAAAAAATGATATGATGTTTGATGATTGTGCTCACCATGACGACACGCGTTGTGAGGCTTGCTTGCCTTCTGATTACGGACACAGGTTGCTGCCACGCCCTCAGTCGTAGGGCCAAGCGGCCAAGGCCAAATAGCCGGACTCTGAGACACAAACACCGGGGGGCATGATGTGATGGCGCCCAGGCGGATGGCGACAGCAGGCCCTGGGCAGGCGGTGTGTTGTGACGGATGGCGATGGTGGTGTTCAGGCTTCTAATGGACCACGATGAAGCGATCGATTGAATGCATGTGGCTTGCCGAGCGTCGTCAGCCCCATCTAGCTGCAGGGGCGTGGCTGGTGTGTTGTGATGGTTGGGCAAATGGCGGCGGCTCGAAGGTGAGAGCTGGGAAACCGGGCCACGATCCTTGTTTTGCTCTTGGGCCCAGTGACGTAGCGCATTGCCCCTCCTCGGCCGTGAAGCCCTCGTTGGCCATCAATGTCAACATGGCGGGACGGCATCAAAGAAGGGTTCTCGGAAACGGTGCCGACGGCCGAGACCAGAGGGGACCAGAAATTGGCGCAATGAGCCAGAAAGCAGGAAATCACATTTGGAGAACTGCCGTCACTGCAGGGTCTCTACCTAGACTAGACCTTGTCGCCGTTTGTTGGTCTGAGCCGCCGTTTCTGCCATTTCTTGATTTTCCAGCCTCTTCCTGTTTCTCACGTTGCGACTCGGCCGCGCCAACGGACGGACGAACGAACGAAAGGCCGGCCCTCACGCACGCCATTGCGATGCTATGGATTTTCCTGTTTACCGGCCCATGATGCGATCCCTCTTCTCTGTGGTCTGTCGGTTCTTGTTTCCACCCCGCCATGTCGCCCATGCGGGCCCTGACCGCCAACCCTTGTCTGTCTGACGGTGCCCAGCATCGACCCTGGACCCCCAAGGGCCCTGCTGCCATGCCACTCCCAGCCTTCGGCCGTTCACGTCCTCCAACGAGATGCTGTGAACCGAGAGAAACCCCAGCCGTGCTCTTCTGCCTGCCGTGCCGTGGCAGCGTGGAAGCTGACGTCTATCTGACCCCTCATCCTTGTCCACCACGCTGCAGCATGGAGCAGGAAACCCAACCCCCCCGGCTGAGAGCAGCTTTGCCAGCATCCTGATTTGGCCCCTGGCAATGGTACCCCATCGTCAAACGTCCCTCTACTGGGTCTGAACGTGTCCTGCTGCCGACGAACGCCTGGGCGCCGGCGTGGCATCGCCTGGCATACGTTTGTCCGCGCAGAGCACACCAGGGCACGCCAGCGGCCCATACCGAGTGACGATGATGTCGTTTCCATCGTGCATGACGACCTGTTCTGCCAGCGCTCCGACTTGGACTATATAGCTCAGCCTCAAGCGTGCCCGTCTTACCTTTAGATCTCCTCATCCTCATCCTCATCAGCCTCAGTTCTCAGCATCAGTCTCCAGTCGCTACTCAGCAACGCCTTCCAGCCCGTCGCTACATCTTCCAACAAACCATCAACCCCTTCATAATCAAAATGCGCTCCTCCGCCGTCCTCTTCCTCGCCGCCGCCGGCCTCGTCGCCGCTCAGGAGACCGTCGACACCACGACCGTCACCGTCTCCGCCGAGACTGCCACCGTCACGGCGTCCGAGTCCGAGACGACCCTGACCTGGGAGGTGGATACCACCACCATCTGGTCCGGCACTGAGACCGAGACCGTCTGGGTCCAGCCCGGCGGCGACGACGCCAGCGAGACCGAGACCGAGGCCACCGCCACCGAGACCGAGACGGTCACCGTTCCCGTCGTCGTCGTGCCCAGCGGCGAGGACGGTGAGACCGCCACCTCCACCTGGTACGAGGAGTCCTCGACCATCACCCTCGTGCCCGTCGAGACGACCTCCTTCGTCATTGTCTACAACGACATTAGCTGTATGTAACGGATTGCCCCGATCCTCCACGTCAGAGTCTGTTTTTTATTTTATCTTCTTTTGCTGACATGCCACCAGCCGCCACCACTGTGACCACCACCCTCTACACCCCCGCCCCCAACGCCACGGCTTCCGGCATCGAGACCGTCCCCACCGCCGGTGCCGGCCGCATCGGTGCCTCGGGCGCCGCTCTCGTCGCCTTTGGTGCGGCCGGTCTCGCCTTGCTGTAAGGGAGCGGCTGTCGCTTCGTACGAATAGACTATCGAATGCTGAGAACATGCGACTGCACGGCCTCTAATATTTTGCATGAATGAGTAACGGGCGACTTTGCGTAGCGGGTTGGGCGCTTTTTTTTTCTTTTTTAACATCTTGTATATTTTATTCTTCTTCGTTTGAGAACGTTGTTCAACAGCCCGGGGAGACAGGAATGGTGGTGGGCTAATACTGGGAGCATTCAATGCTATACTTATGATGCATTTGTGCGTGCCATTGCATATGTGACCATAATGTGATGCTTGTTTTACATGTTGGGTCAGCATGAGTTGGTTGTGATTTAACTCGGCATGTTCGACCTAGCGAAATGGCTGAAGGCTTATGGTCGCCGTATCTAACTGATGGTGACCTCTAAATGGATTACTCGGTGCATATAGTTCGACACAAGCTCGTACCTGTACTTACACTTACATGCTGAGGTTGTCTGGTTGTATCTCATCGCATTCGCTTACAGGGGAAGGCAACACGTCAGGAAGATTGCTGCAATTCCCTGTTCTATCAACACTCCCCATTACGTCTCACGTGGGAAACACGCGGAGCTGCAAATCGCTACTTACTCTTATCAGCCTTGCAAAGTAGGACTGACATTCCCCTGTGCACAATAGTTCGAAAATGCTGCAGACGCTGTGAGGCAACAACCCTGGCGAGATGAGAATCATGGTGCCTGCAGCTTAGTTCTGCAATCTTATGCAAATTAAGCCTGCGTCACATGGCACATGGATCAAGCGTGTGTTCTATTTTTGCGGCGTCAACCCTTTCTCACTTCTTGAATGTTCTGGGCAACGGGGTCCTGAAAAGCTTCACCATCCTGCTTCTGCTCTATCCTGTGGGTGTGAACGAGCGCCTGGTTCTTCGCCGTTATCTGGGTAAAGCCGAGATTTCTAGTCCAGATTGGGTAGGCAAGAGGGTGAAAAATGTTCCTCCACTGTTGGCTCCCGATTGAACGGAGGGTGTAGACATACTTGTGGCCCTTGCAGCAAGCTCGTGAGGTATTATCACGACCTTCTCGTTCTTCCACTTAGCTTTCCTGAACCTCCACCAGCACCATCACAATAGCAGCGACAGCAGCAATGACAGCAACATCGACAGCATCAAAGATGTCTTACATTCGTCAATTCCCGGTAGAATGGTTGATAGGGATCTCTCATGGTCGCGTCCGCTTCTGACTCTACATGAGCAGCAGAGTCCTTGGCCCTGGTACCATCATAGCTGTTCGTATTCATCGCTCTCGTCGCCTCCAATGCTCGGATGCGACAAGGGTGGACACGAGACCAAGGTCAAGTCTGCAGCCTTCGTCAACCTTCTCAAGAAGATAATGGGCACAGGCCGAGCAGAGACTCGCCTTCGCGGCATACTGAGAGACGCAAATTGGCATCTTGTCGCTTACTAGCTCCTCGTCTTATTGCGACCACCGAGCGTCGACCAGCTGCACCCGTACAACAGCAGCACCTTGAATAACAAGTGATGATTTTCTACTCGGTCGACTGATGCAAGGAACTTTCTGCTCGTTTTCTGCATCTCTTCATATTATGGATACTTGGTTTTCTGCGCATTTCCGGACGCGATGCACAACTACATGATGTAATGTACTAGCAGAGGTTTCCATGTGTGCCGCGGAAGCCAGTCTATTATCGCAATCTTTCTCAAGTTGCTTTCTAGATAAATCTCATGATAAGTGACTACAGGAACCTGACATGCTCCCTCTTGACACACTTTGCATCAACACAAGATCACACGGAGCCCCCACTCCCAGAGCCTAACGGAAAGCCGCACGAATGTGGCGGCGTCAAACACAGCCAGTCTCTCAAAGACGACTCCGTACACAGTCGGGTAAGACTAGCCATCTTTCCGAAGATCCTGAGGACCATGGTCACGTGATTACGCGGTTGGCACGCGTTTTCATTCGTCGCGCCCCGCGTCAAATCTCGTGAACCCCTCACGATGTGCGCCACTGCAGTCACAGCTGAACTTGGCGCCAGGCAGCAGCGCCGCCGGCGCAGATGTTCGAGATTATGAGACACTATCTTGCCTCCTCCTCTTCTTTCCTCTTGCGGAACTGACCTCTTGCGGAACTGAAGTTGGCATGTGAAGTGGGAATGATAAATTCAGTGAATCTGCCACCGGCTGGACGACTTGGGTTCCAATCCTTCACTTCATTTCATCACACCAGTCCCAATCCCACCTGTCCAGCCAGACATCGCTTCCTTCCTAACATTCCCCAATAATTTCTCTATCCCATAACCCAACCACAATGTCGACCAAGCCTACATTCTTCATCAACGCCTCCACGTCTTCCCCAGAAGAAGCAAAAGTCTTCTACACTGCCCTGGGCTTCACCCCTGCCGAATGGTGCGACGTCCCAACCACGAAGGCCTTGATTCTCCCTGCCCCGAACGAGAAAATTTGCCTCATGATACATGCCGTCGACTGCTTCAAAAAATTCATCCCCCCGGACGCTACTGTCGCCGACACCGCCAAGACCAATGAGACGCTTCTGACCATCGCCGTCAACTCGCGCGACGAGGTGGACGCCCTCCTCGCCAAGGCCGTCGCTGCTGGCGGCAAGAGCGATCCCTACACGATGAAGGACCACGGGGCTGAGATGGGCATGTACGTCCGCAGCTTTACCGATCTGGACGGGCACCTGTGGGAGGCCTTTTTCATGGATTGGCAAAAGACTGAATAGGATGGCGTGCAGTTCGGGCGCTTGATTGTGAGGCTAAAATGTATTCACGAGCTCGTTCGTGTCAAATGTGTGTCGTTATTGCGTATCGGAACTTTGTATTTAAAAAGTGCTCACGCACGGGGTGTGGAAGTCTTGACGAACACGAGCATACAACTTCATTTCTTCATAAAAATGCTACCCCGGTCACGAGAATCCAAGTCAAGCTCGTATCATGTTGCAGAGATTGTCAACACCAAAGAATTTTCCTCATTGAATTCTCCGTCCTCACACATACTCCAGTCTCTTCTCGTCCCATCCAGGACGCAGGTACTCGCCATCGAAGCCGAGATCGAAGCTCGTAGTATGGACGTAGTCCAGCTCAAGCTCTACCTTGATTTCAGAACCGTTGGCATCCTGGCTCCACAGAGTGACGGCGACGGCGTTCTCGCCGTGGTAGTCCCAGATGCCAGGGGGGACAGGGAAGTGGACCTGGTTGCCGATGTGGGGGTTGAATCTGCCGAACTGGTAGCCGTTGACGAACAGCAGAGCCCTGACGCGGTTGCTGTAGCCAGACTTGGTGGGCTGGAAGGTCGAGTTCGAGGGCGCCGTCAGCCTAAAGGAGATGGCAACGTCGAGGCCGACGGGGACGTCGAGATCGACCGTAGTGCGGTATACGCGAACTCCAGCGCCGGGCACGTCGAGAGTCGTGGCGTTAGAGGGGTAGGACGTGAAGGACTCGTCCGAGAAACCGGGCAGGTGCACGCCGATGCGTTCGGCGTACAGGCCTCCCTCATTGAGAGGGCCACGGACGGGGTCGATGTTGCCCTGGCCGCCACCTGCCGTGCCCGCAATCTTCCACTCGGAGAAGCGGTATGCCTCGCTGCTAGGACCGATAAGAGTGGCGTTGGAGATACCACGGGGAGCCAGAGCTGCCTCACGCAGGTCGTGACCAGAGTTGTCCATGAGGACTGTAAGCACGTTCTCGCCTTCGGTCGCCAGGGTGGCGTTGTCGAAGGAGAGCTCCTCAGCCCAGGCACCGAGGTAAGAGTATCCGAGGTACGAGCCGATGTAGTCACCGTTGAGCCAGGCAGAGTAACCGAAGGCAAGACCACCAGTCAGGTTAAGGAATACGCCAGTAGGAGGCTCATCGGTCGAGGGGAAGGTAGCGCGGAACAGGTGGTTGCCGACGTGGACTTTGTACTCATCAACGTAGAGGACTGGGTTCGAGAGATCAGGAATCTCAGTGTTGCTGGTCTCGTTTCGGTCGGCGACTACAACATGTCAGATAGTGAGAAATGGTCAAAGAATGGACCTCTTACCAATCCAGGTCGATGGCGATGCCTCGTAGTCGGGCGCAATCTCTGGCAGACTGTCATCGTACTTCCACGATCCAAGGACCGGCAGTTCAAACTTGGCTGGTCCATCAAGGCTGAAGGTGAATTCATTTCCGTTGCGCGATTCAATGGCTACCTTCTCCCCGTTCCAGGAGATGGAACACAGCGAAGAAGGGGCGAAGACGGTAACGGTCGTGGGGCCGTCCAAATCGCCACGCAAGTCAAGACCACGGTTCGTCTCGTTGATGGAGGCGTGGCGGACGAGGTAGGGGCCCTGGACCAGAACTATAGGGACAGTCAGCGAATAACGGAGGCACACTGGGGATCTTTCTGCATACCAGTCTTGTTCTCGACGAAGAATGGGTTGTTGTCCAGCCTATGAACAGTCAGTTGTCTGCGAAAGAGCTCAATCACATATCACTTACTGAGGGGCCCAGAAGTGATAGGCGGCCTTGCGGTCGAGAAGAACGACTGAAGAACCATCCTCAAGGTCGACAGTGAAGATGCCCTTCTCTTGGGTGTAGGACACGGTGATGTTGTCTTCGCCGGGGTAGAAGTCAATCTTGCCAAGGCTCTGCTCTCCAGACTGGGCGTCCGTCACACCGTTGACGACAAACTCGCCAGACTCGCCCTCAGGGAGCCACAAGACGAGCACCTCCTTCTCATTGAAGACGGCGTAGGTCAGGACCTCAGCGGTCGAGTAGAGGAGGGTCTTGCTGCCGAAAGAAAAGTCCGTGACAAGAATCTTTGCTTGGTGGCCATTGATGGTGATGGAGCTGTGCTGGGGAATGGTCACTGCATCATGTTAGCGTTCAGCCCGAGGTGAAAGTTGGACAGAGAATCTCACGGTCGCCAGCCGATGTCTTGACATCGAGCTTAAAGGTCTCGCGAGTGCCAGAAGAAGAAGTCTGGTGCATGACGACGTAGAAACCGGCATCGTTATCGATGTTTCGGAGCTCCGAAGCGGCGATGGCTGGATTGTTGGTGTAAGACGTGCTCTGTCTCTACGTTAGTACCAAAATGAGCCAGACTAAGTGGACATTTCACTTACGTTGCCCACCCTCTCTGTCTTGTACAAGTCCTTGGCCACTAAACGATTGTGAGATCTTCCAGTCCAGTAAAGACGACCCTCTGTGCTTACCTCGGGTGAAGAGGGGAAGAAGCTTAGTCTCGTAGTACTTGTCGCCAATCTTACGGTTCTCCGATACGGGAGACGAGTAGTCGTAACTAGTGGCTTTTCGTTGTGTTAGTTGGGTTTTACGCGGGGTAACATGAAAGCCTACCAACAACGGGGCAGGAAAGCCATCCCTAAAGACGAACGTTAACATGGTCATGGTCAAAAGAATATACATTGGCACCACATACGTGGTTTGTTCCTCCAAACATCATGTAGAGCGAAATGGCAGTGACGTGTTGGTACACGAGGTTGCGGTAAAAGATGTTGGCGAAATCCGCTCCAGTGTCGGCAGGGCATCCGCCTGTTAATCGTCAGTTCAGGGTTTCCAAGTCGTGACTTTTTGAAATGTACCTTCAGGACCACCCCAAACATTGTAGCTGCCTCTGTTTTGGATTAGTTTATCGTCCATGGCAGTAGTGCACTGACGGTGCTGTGGCGTGCTCGACATACCCCTGGAACTCCGGCATGAAGTTTGGTTGCGATGCTAATGATCGGTTAGATCAAGAAGACGCCTAACATTATTTATGTGGGCTGCAGGTTTCGTGACTCACGAGATTGGGCCTGGAAGTAGTCATAGTAGTTGACCACGCTCTGCGAAATATTAGCATCGAGAACGCGGACCCTTAGGGTTCGACAAGACTAACGTAGGGGACGTATTCGCCGTTGAACTACACCGTGTTAGGATTCGACCATACTCCAATCATAAAAGATGACAACTTACGTTCGTGCACTCGGACAGGTTGCAGCTCCAGCAAGACGGATAGCTGTCAACGCCAACAGTATCGACGTTACCAGTAGCATTGGAGAAGTCCTTCGACCAAGAGTAGCCCCTCATGTTGGGAGCGTTGTGGAAGACGGGCACATCAATGCCCGAGTCCCTGGCACTGTCTTGCAAAAGCTGCATGTAGTTGGCGATGGGCGGGTTGAGGATCTTCCTGCCAATGTCCTTCCACTGGCCATTGAGTTCGTTTTCGATCTGGAACATGGCGACATTTCCACCGTTCGTCACGAGGTGAGGGGCAATTATCTTCGAGATCTCCTCCCAGTAGGGTGTCCAAGCCTTGGTGTACCTCGGATCATCGTCGCGGAGGCTGCCGTACTCGCCGGTGGTGAGCCACAGGGGGAAGCCGCCGGCGTTGGTCTCGGCGTTGACGTAGGGTCCGGGGCGGATCAAGAGGTAGATGCCGACCTCTTTCGCGATCGTCATGAGGGACACAAAGTCGTGAGCACCGCTGGTGAAGTCAAGCACTCCGGGAGATGCCTCGTGGTAGCCCCTATCACACAAAGTGTTAAAAGCTTGTTACCCAGCTATTCTTTTGTCATGCACAAACCAGCTGTTGTAGATCGAGAAGGCGTTGAAGCTGTCGAGCCAATGGTCAGTACGCCAGTCAGTCGAATCCTGGAATGCCATTTTTTTTCTCACCCTGCTGCCTTCATCTTCTCGAGCAAATCTCTCCATAGCTCGGGGCTGGGCATTGTCAGCTGCATATACCGCACAAGCATTCGACATTGTCACTGACACTGGAAGTCGCCAGTAGTGGAATCTTTACGGTGTCAGTTTCATCTTCGACGTCTTTAGTCTAGGACCTATTCTTACTCTCCGGAGAAGATGAACAGGCGCTCGCCGTTGATCATGTAGCTGTAATGGTCCCTGGAAACAAATCAGGGCTATGCCCCCTCTTTCGCAATCTCCCAAGTCTCACCATTGGACCACCTTGTTCAGGCCATTGTCGTGCAGAGGCCACTCCGTCACGTTCTGCGCCTGAGCGCAGAGTCCGCCAAGGGCCGCGAGAGCAGCTGCGGTCGTAGAAAGCCTCATATTGATGGAAATAGAGAACGTAGCTCGCGTGACCGACCACTCTCATTCCACGGGAGAGCACGCCCAATAGTCTTTATACCGTCTCGCTACCTTTGAATTAAAAAAAAAAGTTCGTCATAACGGCACCGAGAAGTAAACAAAATTTCCCCGGCCGGTTCCCTCGCGATTCGGGGGTGAAGGGGCCGACAGTGAGGGGTGCATGGTCGATCTTCCGCGCGACATCATGGTTCCTGTTAGCCGCGTCAATGAAAATCAGGCCCGTTGGCTGTTGGGGACGGAAGCTCAGCGTCAGGGGTAAAGTAGCGTCGCATCGTCCCACAGATTTGATCTCGCGCTGCACCTGCCATGTCTATCGACAGCGGAGAAAGCAGCATTCAGCCGGGCTCGCCTGGAGTCGCCAACGGAGTTTCTGCTCAAGTCGGTCAATCGGCCGCGACGGTAGATCAAACTGCCGAGGTAGCGCCAGTCTATGGAGGTCAATCGATGCTTGTTTGACTGAGAGGTTGGCGATCCGAAGCTCCGCTGCTCCGCTGGGGTGGCGGCCAGTGCCGGTGGTCAGTGGATAGCTGGGCAGACAGATGACCACTCGGCAATCGAGCCGAATGAGAATCGCGGCGTATTCGGCTTGCAACTGATGTCATTTGCGGGGGAACTGTCGATTGACCATGGAATCTTTTTTTTTTCTTTCGTTTGCACGATGTGACCGTGCTTATCTGGAATATCTGATGTTGGATGGAACAGATGTACGGTTTGGGATCTTCCCCATGACATCGCACGTGTCAATTGCGTCCAGCGTATCTTTGGGAAGTAATACCCGCCACCTCACCACGTGGTGCACCACTCTCGATGCTCCATTTGGTAGAGATCTCAAAGATGATCGGTCACTTTGACGTGGGAGTCTGTGCCGTAGTTTTGGGTCGTGAAGGCTCTATATGGAGCTTTTCGGTACCTGCCTGTGTGGACGAGAAGTCGAGAAAGGCTAGGCCTCAGCAATACACCAGAGTAACCAGCAAAATCAATCTTGCAGCGGCTCAGAGAGAACTTCACCCAGGATGCTGGGAAACCCGGCTTCGACACTCTGTCCGTCTTCGGGGGTGAGATACCTCAGGCATTCCAGCCTAGCGACAAATCTTCCTGTACACTGAGGCGTTGGGTTGTATTCTGTTTCATCTGGCACATGCTTGAAGTTTGCTCTAGATGTTGAAGTTGGTGATTTCTTCGACAACAGCCACGCACTTGAGGTCCTTGCTTCTCGTGGTTCACCTCGGTCCGATTTTTTTGTGACTCCAACGTCGGACTGCTCGAAATGCAGTCCTTCATCATGTCTCGTCAAAGCGTTCGCGATCATAGCTGCCTTCTGAGTTGGGCTGGCCGCTCCCCCAATGGCAAGGCGGTGAGAGTAAAACACCAGACTCAAGGCCAAAACCGAGAACTGGGGGCAATAATCAACGGGCCAACCAAACAAATTCCTGTAAACGGAGGGTAGGGAACCTCGTCCTAGATAAAATGAATTGCGAGTGTTGGGGACGAGGTCAATGTCTGGTCCATGAATTTCGTAGGTTCTGAGTCAGACGGCGGCGGGGTCATGCTCGACAGCAGCCTCAGGAAGGTGTCACCAGCGATGGGCGTCTGCCTGGACCAGGACTGCCGTGCGCCTCGGATCCTCTCCATCCATGCTTTCTGCATCCTCATTCCTCCTCTGTTCTACAGGAACAACTTTCTCAATCAATCAAATAACCACCCACACGTTTGCGAGCCAGCTGCATGCATGCACTGAGACATCCCCAGACGAGCACCCTCTGGCAACGCAGGTGCAAATGTGCCAAGGAAGCGAAAGAGGCCTCATCAGTCCCCCCCAACCCTGATCCCCACTCCACCTACAACGCCCTCCCGTCGCCTAGGGTTACTTTTAGTCGGCGCCTTGAGGCGTCGTTTTGGGGGCGGGATCGCCACATCGCACCGCTGCCTACACAACGGCCCAACCAGGGTCAGCACTACCGACGGGCCAGCCCATCAGCGTTCGCTTCACACCTCTACGCGCTTGGCGGCTCCCTCCTTACCTGCAAAGTTCCGGACAGGGGATATCGTGAATGGGCATTGTTGCCTTGTCGAGCCGTCAAGAACGTCGTCGCATTGGCCTCAGCTCTCCAGGCAGCCTAGCAGGATTGCTTGTTCGCCAAGGCAGCCAGCGTGAGGATGGCCTTCCCGGTGACTCAGTCCCACAGTTGTGGCTGCAAACTGATCCTGTCCAGCTTCAATCCGTGAAGCAGACGGATCCGCCAGAGTGTGTATAAGAGAGGCGTGGAGCCGTCGCTCAATGTGTCAATACCATCGAGGGAACAATCCAAATTTCTTTCATCTTGTACATCCGCTTTCAACATGGCCGTCACCAAGCGACTGGCTTCCGAAACGGCGAAGTCCACCTCTGACGCCTCGTCCTCTGCCAATGCCGGTGGCACCGACAATCCCGATGCCACGTCTGTGAACGGCGATGCCGCTGCCAAAAACACTTGCTGTTGTGGCAAGAAGTCGAAGAAGGCCGCGAAGAAAATTGTCGAAGAAGACGAAGAGGAGAAGGAGAGCGACGAGGACGAGGACGAGGACGAGGACGAATCTGACACTGAATCCGTCGACTCCAACCCAGATGCCGAGATTGGTTCCATCAGCACGGTCAAGAACATTTACCGCTCCAAGAAGGACGACGACGGCAACTGGACCTGGCAAAGCGCGTACCCCGACGACGTCATCAGCCCGGCGGAGAACAAGTCCACGGCCAAGTACGCCGTGCTCGTGCGAAACATCAAGAGCACCGCCGCCCACAAGAAGCTCGAGGCCCATTCGATCGCCATCCAGAGCCCCTGGCTGAAGAAGGCGCTGGGTCACATCCTGGAGGATTACCCTGGTGTCGCCTGTGAGCTCGCAAAGCTTGAGTTTGAGGCACCCTTCCAGCCGTTTGTGCACCGATGGGCCGAGTTCGTTGAGTACAGAAAGAGGGAGGACCTCGATGACCTGACCAAGGAGCACCTTACTGTCCTCCACGACATTCTTGTCTACGAGATTGGGCAGGATATTGCTGCTTTTGAGGACTACATGAAGACCAAGGTCATCACGTTTGAACATCTCTGGATGATCTTTGCTCCCTCAGACATCATCGTGGCCGCCCACCAGGGGCCGCTGTCGGCGTTTGAGATGTACGAGACCGAGTACAAGGAGACGCGGTGCGGCAATGTTCTCGCCATCACTGCCGAATGTGTCGACTACGATGGCAAGACCTTTGGTCGCCACAAGGAACGCATGTCGATTCCTGAGTTTCTCGGGGCTAAGCCCATCACTGGCCTGAATGCGTACCCTCTGAAGTTCCACGAGAAGAAGGAGGCGCTGGTGACCAGCCTCACCCACCGTGGCCTGATCTTCGAGCAGCTTGCCGGCCACCACTACAAGCAGTACGAAGGTGATGCCATCACCTGGGACCGCGAAGGCAACGAGGTCCCCGTCGATGTCTCTGGTCGCATTGTCGTCGACATTAAGAGTTTCAACAGCTACAGCCCCTACCCGTCCCGCTACCTGCGTGACTGGCGGGCCAAGGATCTCGAGGCTCTCCAGGCCTACAAGCGCGAGCACGGTCTTGCTGAGAACGGCAATCTCAGGCTCACGCCTTATCTCTTGCTGATTGCCCGCTCACGGACCAGGGGTTATTCTCTCAAGAGAAAGAAGTGGCTCGACTTCTTCGTTTCGCAGGTTCGCGAAGTCGTCTGGAACACGGACGCCTTTGACAAGCTCGTCCTCGACGAGGACCAGAAGGAACTCATCCTCGCTTTCTCCGAGGCGCAGCTCTCGGGCTCCTCCTTTGACGATGTCATCTCGGGCAAGGGCAAGGGCATCATCTGCCTGCTCTCGGGCCCGCCTGGCGTGGGCAAGACGCTCACGGCCGAGGCTGTCGCCGAGAACCTGCGTGTGCCCCTGCACACCCTCAGCTCGGGCGACCTGGGCTCGCAGCCATGGGAGGTGGAGAACGGCCTGTCGCAGATCCTCGAGCTTGTGGCCCGCTGGGACGCCATTCTTCTGCTCGATGAGTGTGACGTCTTCCTCGAGGCCCGCAGCACACACGATCTCGAGCGGAACAAGGTCGTCTCCATTTTCCTGCGCACCCTCGAGTACTACGAGGGCATTCTCTTCATGACGACCAACCGCGTCGATAACATTGACGCCGCCTTCCAGTCGCGCATTCACGTGTCGCTCGAGTACCCTGACCTCACGGCCGAGTCGCGTCGCGTCATCTGGAGGAACTTTCTTAACGGCTCCAAGATTGATGTGGAGGTCACGGACGCCGAGTTGGACGAGCTCGCGGAGCTGCCACTTAACGGACGGCAGATTAAGAACATTCTCAAGACGGCGCAGCTGCTGGCCGTGCGGAAGAAGTCGGCGCTGCAGAAGGGCTTCATCGACACGGTTCTGTCGATCGAGAAGCGGCGTCCCGGCGTCAAGAAGGAGTAACGTGTTTCTGAATTTCTCTCTTTAACATTATGATCTGATTTCAGAGCGAGCTTGACTACGATAAATACAATACCGTGACCCATCTAAGTCATGCTGCCATGTCTCGAGATCGTTTGCCAATGGCAGTCGTTCGATGGATACCATGCCCTTGGTCTAGTCTAACCTGATTGTTGCATCTATACGCATATCTCGCCTCCCAAGCACATGGTCTACAGCTTCTCCGTCCTCTTCTTCATATTTCTCGCCATGGAGAGGATCATGTTGACGTGACTCGCCAAGGCCACCAAGTTCCCCTGCTCATCCAGAATCGTCACCTCGAGGTCGAACCGCCCGTTGCGAATCTCGCGCGCCATGGTCCTCATGAACAGCCACTCGACGCCCTCCGTGGGCAACCCCCGCTTGATGTCGAGGTTCATACTGAGCGTGGGATACCACCAAATCTCATCGGTGCGAAACGGCGTCTGCGCCTCGTCGGCCGCGGGGCGCCACCCCTCGACGAGGTACGGCATGGCGTCGACAACGTAGGCGAGCACGGCATTGGTCAGGGGCTCGCCGGACGCGAGACGCAGCCAGACGTCCTCCTGGCCGCGGCGCGGGGCCGTCGTCGGGAAGAAACACTGCAGGTTGTTGTTGGAGCGCACGAGGTTGCTGCGGCCGCGGAGGCGCGGCGAGCGCGCCGTCCAGCCCGGGGCCGCGTCCGTCGCGAGCAGGTCGAGGCGCGCGGGCTGCGGCGGCGCCGGCGGCGTGAGCGTCCACGTGGTGTCGAGGGTGAGGCCCTGCTCGCGTGCGAGGCTGGCGTTGGTGAGGTATGAGAGGACGAGCTTGCGGGTGCGCGGCGTGATGAAGGGGGCGACCGGCTGCAGGTCGTTTTGGTAGAGCGTCGCGTGCAGGGTCGAGACGGAGCGGCCGAGCTTGACGTCGTCGAGGATGATGAGGGCGGGACCGGGCTCGGTGCGGTCGATGAACTCAAAGTGGCTCGTGATCGAGTCGGTCTGGCCACGCGGCGCGAGGTGCTCGGCGGCGGCGCGGATGATGGTCGAGGCGACGTAGCCGCCGTTGGGGACGGAGCCGATGCAAAAGTTGGCCGAAAGATTGGCGAGGAAGACGCCGGGGGCCAGCTGTGTGACCTTGCTGGCCTCGGCGTAGGGTGTGATCTCCTTCGACATGGTGTGCAACGTGGGCCGCATGCAGATGCACCAATCGATATGGTGTCAAAGAAAAGTGTCTTGTGAGATTCCAACAAACAGATGTGACGAGACTAGAGTTGTGATGCTGCTGTAGGTGAACAAAAACGGAGCAACATGGCTACCATGTCACCAGGCCGAGGCGACGATGATTTCTCATCAGAATACCCCAGACTTGTCGACGAACGAACTAGGCGCGTCGCGAAACGAACCTCGGCACCGGCTTAGGCCTGACGCGGTCTTGGCACCCATGTGGCGGCGCTGGTCCAACCCACAGGACCCCTCAACCGCCACACTGCCGGGACTCCAGAGTGCCATTCTACAAAGTACCATGATTCTGGGTCGCCAATATCAACGTTCGCGGAGGCTGTCTCCCATGTTCCATTCGGAGGACGAGCCGGGGACACCGTGTTCGGCTCCGGTCCGTCGTGTCCAGCCTGAAATAGTCCGAGGCCGGCATGACGTCACTGCTCTCTCACGCCACAAGCAGCTTCACATCGGCACCTCAACAACAACATGTGACGAACACGAGGAACGTAGCCCCGTCTCACTTCGACACGCTGTAGAAATTTACCCTCAGACTCATAGACGACAATGCCGTCACACCAGCTCACCGCCCTGGCCTCCCTCCGCGTCTCCAAGCACCTCATCCCAGCCCACAACCTGATCCCAAACACCTCCCTCCAGCAAAAGCCCCTCCTCCTCTACCACGGCGCCTTTCCCAGCTCCATCACCGCCGCTGAGATTGAGTCCCACCTCGCGTCAGTCGCTGTCGTCGAGCCCCAGTGGCGCTACACCATGTACACGCGCACCCACTTTCACTCGACGACGCACGAGGTCCTCTGCGTCAGCCGCGGGCGCGCGCGCCTTTGCTTTGGCGGCGAGGCCAACGAGGGCCGTTTCGAGCCTGTTGTCGAGACGGGCGATGTCATTGTCGTTCCCGCGGGGGTCGGACATCGGCTGCTTGAGGATCTGGACGGGGGCTTTGAGATGGTCGGTTCGTATCCCAATGGGCGGCAGTGGGACATGTGCTATGGCGAGGCGGGCGAGGAGAGGCAGGTCGCGGCCATCAAGAGGTTGCCGTGGTTTGAAAAGGACCCGATATATGGAGACCAAGGCCCGGCTCTAGATACGCAAACATGACGGCGATGACGAGGTGCGTTGAGACTTGGATGGGTGTCGTGGGTTGCGCCAGACGAGATTTATCCACATTCCTGACTATCCTGCACAGTGACCTATGCACCGTGAAAAAAGCATCGCGCCTGCGTTGTGTGCTGGTATACCAAGAGACATAATTACAATGGTCCATGAGGGCTTCATGCCGTCCCGGATCGCTCCACCCATCTATCTCGTCATGCACAATTCGCTGGGTGGAACTTACACGTTTTCTCGTGCGCGCTGTTGTCCTTCGATATGATGACTTTGTGGTCGGCAAGGCACTCCCAGCAAAATTCTGCCTCACACAAGGCGTTGGTGCCTGCAGCCCGTCAGTCTCATAAATTCTTCCATTAACTGCCTGTGTATCAAGACGCCGTTGGTCCCGTGCACTGGATGTTGCGACAGGCTCCCCATCTGCGGTAGCAACCCCAACAAAACTCGAAACGACATTTAAGGCCTGCAAACTGTGAGTCGAGCCTGAGGTAGGCACCACACCGCAGCCGCAAGGCGCCAAGCCCACGGGTTGGGACGATGGGGCCGCCGAGAGGGAGGGTATACGTACAAGTCATGTGTGAGCTGGAAGGGCCAAGCTGTCAGCAAACGTATGCTCGATATCGAACCGATGGACTGACCATCCGCTATTCTTCTCAATAGCCCAACTGCATCCAGGGCACTTCTTCGTCGTCCTGTTCATCGTGGCCATGCTTTGCTCATCCTCCTTCTTGCGCCGGGCAGCCGTCTTCCTTGCTCTTTCCGCTGCCTCGGCAGCTTTCCTTCGGGCTTGTTTGTCGCGCTCCACTCGAGCCCGCTCTTCTGCCTCCTGGTCAGCAGCAAGGCGCCCGGCCAGAGCGTGATCCACAGCGTCTTGGGCACGACGGCGAGCCTCCTCCTCGTCGACTGCAGCGTTTTCGACTTCTATGCGCGAACGAAAGTTTTCCGGATCGGCAAGGAGAGAATCAAACTCTTCACAGGTAAGGCCGTCGTGCCACGCAACCTCGTGGGTGAAACAACTCCGACCACTGCAATGGAGGCAGATGACAATCGGCTGCTCAGCGCCTGTTTCATGGATCTGACCGGAGCCACAGCCACCAGCACACCAGATGAAATTATCTGCCTGGTGCATCGCTGCTCGGAGGGCGAGATTCTCGTATCTTTCCTTGTTAGAATAGCCTGTTCAGGAGACTCCCCCACATACCTTGAGAAGGTTGCGTCGTCCGCGTACCGCTGCACGTCGACATACTCAAGCAGCTCGCGGCATTCCGGGCACCGGATATCTTTCCAGTGCCTGCTGTTGAGCTCTGTCCGGATCGCTACTTTCAGGCATTCTAGACAGGCTTCTGGCGGGTGAACGCACGTGGGTGTGATACTGAAGATGGGAAATTTGGCAAGCGCTTTCGGCTCCACGCATATGGGACACTCCTTTTCCTCCGACAAGTTCTTGGCGGGAATGCGCTGACGCGCGATGATGACTCCAGGGTTTTCATCGTCAGAGGCTTCGGCCTGTTGATAGTGCTGGCCGAATCTGAGAAATTTTAGTCATCGTACGTGGCCGAAGGACAACTCATTGAAATATAAATACCTTAACTCCACAGCTTCTTCAGGGGTCACACACGGTCGCGAGCTACATGAAAGAGTCAACTTTTCCTGGAATAGCCGATAAGATATGATCACCTACGTATTTTCACGCTGTTGCGTCCCAGGTTCCACACAAGAGAATGGCGTGCCCATAAAATCATCGAGGATCGATACCGCAATCCGACTATAACCCCGAGGCAGTGTAGGTATTCTCGGTGCTATGGCTGTCGGCAACGCTTGGTCGCGATTGACGGATGTGTCAAGCGGAGAAGAGACATCGAAGTCGGCCATGATATCGTTACTTGGCTGCAGGTATCGAAAGCGTGGTTGCGCCAGCGTTTCTGGCATATCAGTCATGGCCTCGTCGGTGGACAGACCAGCAACGGCCCGCAGATGACGTGGTGGGAGATCAAAGTCGGCTGTAATAGATGGGCTGACACTCGAGTGGAAACCGACTTGTCGCGGGATCCCTGACGTCGTCTCGCCTACCACTGCTGCCGTATTCATGAAGGGCTCGTACGATGGTGCAGGAATCGATGCTGGAAGTCCCTCTGCCTGTGCATGCACAACTTCTGCTGTTTCGGTCAAATTTCGGCGAGCCGTCTCAATCAAGACTGGTATTTCGGTGTAAGGCGGTGGCGGGTCATCCTCTAGAGAAGGTTCGGAACTGCTGGAGTCACTACTAATGACACTGGTGAAGCTGTCTGTGTTGGCCCCTCTGGGAGGCAAGATGACCCTAAGAGGCTGTAAGCCGGGATCATTGCTTAAAGGGCAACCAAGCATGTTCCTGAAAGAGCGAAACATGGCGAGAAAATACCAGGTTGCTTGGATGAAACAAGCTAGAAAAGGTCGAGACGGTGATGAGAGCGGTGCTGACTGCACCCCTAGGTAGCCTTCCAAACCGGAACGCCAGTCGACGATGGAGGAGGCAGCCTGCTTCCAATTGTCTCCGAGTGGCCTGCGTATCCATCAGTACTCTGGGGCTGAGAAGCATAACTATTCAGGCTCGGAGCCTTACACCTTGACTGCCTGGCAGTGCACCTATTAAAGTCCCTAGGTACCTAAGGCTGTTCTGCACGAACAACTGGTCTTGAAGTGTAAAAATAGGGCCGCACCTCGGCTTCGACGGTGAAGCAGCTAAATCGGCCTTTGTCCATCCCTGTGGCGGATACCAGCGGTCATGGAAATCGTCTCAAAGAGAAAGATGTGGACTCTGCTACAATGGTACTGAGGCTCAAATACGAGTGGGGCTCAAGTCAGTCCTGTGATCTGCCCTGGAGCCTCACCAGGGTCTTTTGTCAGTTGAGGCTGCAATAGCGCCCGGTGAGGTCCGATTGAGGCCTTCCTGCCGTGGCATACATGGGAGAGATGCCTCCAGCTGTTGGCCTGTGGCACAACTGGAGAGAGCCTTGCCCAACTGCACTAAAACGCGCCTCAAGCATGCATGCACTAGCCCGAATTGCGCATGATGCCTACCTGGCTGGGTAGGGTAGTGCTGAGGTCCGTCTGACCCGTGCAAAGGACCCTTGGAGCCTCCATTTGCACCCCCTCCACATGCAGAAGGACCTACGGACTTCAGGCTGCTGCCCACACACAGCCCACCATCGACCTCTTCACCTGCCTGGGGAGCTTGCAGGAGGTGGCTTCTTAGTAGCGGGCCTGATCATGGCCTTATTTGATTCCACCGGGTTCTCCTTTCGCACTCACATTTTGTCAAGCTCCACCTGGTCCTTGAGAGGCTTCGTGCTGATACTCACCCACGTCTCCATCTGCCCTACACTTTAGGGCTCATACTGAACGACCATCGTCTTCATATTCACTGCGTTCGATCAGAGCAATAGATAATACATGAGCGCTGCCTTGCATACTCTGCAGAACAGACCATGAAACAGCGTCGCGACAACCATCAGCCAACCGTACCTGACAAAGTGCTCTTGGCGCTGGAGGGAAGCTTCAGGCGACCAGATAGCATGGCCCCGCCCCGCGACGATCATCTTGATCATCCCGAATACCGCAGATCGGGGATTCAAGAAAGCCGCAGCGACAATGCAGATGCTGGCAGTAACCTCGAGGTCGCTCAGCTCACCGTTCCCGACCTTCCCGACGCTCTACTCCCCAGACAAGCACCTCCGCTTCCAGACCGTGGAGTCAGCAGACGGCAGTCACAGCCCTTTGAGGGCCAAAACCATCTTCCAGCTGTCGAGAACTCCGTCACGGCCGAAAATGTAGGCCAGAGAAGTCAATCCAACATCCCGTCGAGCCCTCCAGAGCGCCAGACGAGCGGCGGCTTCGGAGGGCTTTGGCAAGACAACAACAACAACATCGATATCATGATCAAGACGCAAGCAACTATGGCTGCCCACATTAAATCCTTGACTGCGAGGGTTGAGATGGCCGAGGAGAGGCAGTCACGGGCTGAACATGCCCTAGAGGAACGCATCAGAGCAAGGGACGACCTGAATGAGAAGCTCAGGAAGATTGAGAATTTCACAGAGAATCTGGAAGAGACGAAGAAGGAGAACGAGGCCTTGAAAGAACAACTCCTGGACGCTCAGTCACATATTTTTAGTCTACAGCCGTATCGGAAAGATGTGACTCCTGAGGAGGTCAGACGTGTAAGTCATCCAACCTCAGTGCAAGGCCACCAAGCTGACGTCGACCCTGGAGCAATACACCAATCTTGTGGATGGCATCGGTGACTGGGTTGCCAAGTTCATGTTCCCCTGGCTCGATCGCCATCAAGAAAGTCTGGAAATGATATCGAATGGGCTACGTAAACGGCCCGGGGATGCGACCAGGATCAAGCGCGCACTTTCCAAGAATGCTGACCTCTTCCACGCAACCAAGTACCCTGACACAGATGAAGATGTGGTGATATCTCTTATCTTGCGGCACCTTAACGATCACATTTTCCAAAAAACACTTTACAATCTCATTCCGGACAATATCAGTCTGCTCCAGGCCATCGAACGAGCCATGCAATCTGCTGAGCCAAAGCGAGGTGGGTCTATCCGCTGGGCCATTCGCGACCGATTTCTGACAGCCACAGATCTTTTTGCTACTCGCACCTGGATTGCCGAAGCGTACACAGCTCTCATAAACATGGACAGATTTCGATTGATGCGCCAAGAGAGAGAGAAAGAGATCGCACTTGACCTGGTCGAGCTCCTGAGGATCTTTTGCAGTCGTGATCAGATGGATGCTTTCTGTGCGGGATTCGTCCATGAATGCGTCCGCCCCGCGATGAAGTTGTATGAAAAGATCCTGATTTCGACGCACGTCTTTTATCTGGACCCTACCCCATACGCAGCCTGGGTACATGACAGCCCCGGCGACGTAGAGCTGTCTCCCCGCTTTTGGGAACACCTGGCTGAGCACAAGCTGGAGTGTAAAAATGTTTTACAGAATCGCAAAACATTCGACCCTCGGAAGTTAAATCCTGAACCGACAGAGAGGGAGCTCTGTCAGAATCTTGAAGTGGTATGCATGGTAGCACCACCGCTGTACATGCGTCAGATTGGCAGACAGGATACTGTTCGAGAACCTGATTTGGTGCGGAAACAGCAGATGCTTGTCGCTTGGGGATCAGAAGAGAAGCGGATCAAGTTCAAGAAATGCTCCGACCAGACGTTGATCAGCGCCATCTGCGCAGCCAACGAGCGTGAAGCTTGGGCTGCATTTCGGTGGACATAGAGAGTGACTGAAATCCTATTACCGAAGCAATAAAGCACATGCATGATGGGGCTCGTATCGAATGATCGTTCGTCCAGGCGCTTGCTGCCACCTCTTCTACATTAGGACTGATGAGTGACCGAGGTACAGTTGCCGGCAGACCGCAGCAGCAGCCATATGATGTAGATGGGGGCTGGCAACGCCATTTTGCTCTTCGCAGACCGTCTTGGCTCAAGAACGCCTCGGCGCCTAGCGTCACATCAAAATCCTGGCAACCATGTGTAGGCAGACACTGGCGGGGTTCACTGTAGACCCATCGGCGTGGGGGATGCAATCCGCCCACCAACAGGCCGCTTGAACAAGACCCCCTGCATGCAGTCTGACCAACCTCACCCCCTCCTTCCATACCTAGTAGCTACCTAGGTCACCTACCTAAGGTACCTGTAGGTAAGGTAAGAACGGTATCTAATGCTGCCCTTTGCTGGAAACCACAAGACAGGCCACCAACAGCGGCGAGGCACACTTACTAGATTGAAATGGAAGAAGCGCGTTTATAAGGCTAGAGCCGGGCCTGGTCCCGCAACCTTTCCGCAGTCCGCTGTTGGGTTTACATCAAATCTCTTGATTCCAGACTCGTCTCGCCTCCTCCAAAATAAGCCCCCACCCCCCCCCCCAAAAGCCAAATCGACAAACTACACAGCACAGCCTTTGAGGCCGCTCAGGCGCACTTCGAGAAAGCACCTTGAAAGGTGCCGGATAGGTTTTGCCTCGCCAGCTCATCATAAGAGTGATCTTTGTCACCGACTTCATCACTGACACAGGCGCAGCCTACTTTACAGAAACTGGCGAAGCGACTGACGCTACATATAGCTGGATCACCGGCAAAGGGATATAACGGCAGTGAAGAAAGTTGCTGCAATGGATTTCGAGAAGCTTGCTATTAGCGAGCGCAAGATCATCGTCGGCATCGACTTTGGCACCACTTACTCCGGTGTTGCTTGGGCGGAAACACAACGTCCCGATCGCCGGACCACCATCACTTCATGGCCCGTCAGCAAGACCATCCGAGAGGGCGAGTCCTCTGATAAGGTACCGACAAAACTGCGGTACACGAAGGGGGATGTCCAGTGGGGATTCTCGATCCCCGTCACCGCACCGCAGAATGAGGTCGTGGAGTGGTTTAAGCTGTGAGTACCTTACCTTGAACACAGATTGCTCCAGCTGTGAGATCGGTGCGCTGATGAGTTAGTGACATCGACCCGACGTTGCAAGATATGGGAAATACTGTGGCGAAGGAAGCCCGTGCCGGCCGCAGTGTCGATGAGCTTGTCACTGATTTCATCTCGGCCCTGGGCGAGCATCTTCGCTACACGCTGCAAGCAAAGCTAGGCGGGCACATTGTCAGCACTATTCCGCTGGAGGTAAAGATCAGAATCCAGCGGCTGCGCATGCTTTGCTAACGAGACAGTTTTGCGTCACTGTTCCAGCCATCTGGTCCGACCTGGCAAAGGACAAGACAAGACAGGCTTGCCAGAAAGCTCCTGGTCTGGTCGCCACGCGATCACCAATTCACCTGGTCTCCGAACCAGAAGCTGCTGCCATATATGCACTGCATGGCCTTGATCCACATGGCCTCCAGGTAGGCGATACGATTGTCGTCGTGGATGCTGGTGGAGGCACGGTGGATCTGATTTCATACACGATCACCAGACTGAAGCCTATTTTGGAGGTCCAAGAAGCTGCGCCTGGATCTGGAGCGCTTTGCGGATCGACGTTCCTGAACTTGCGCTTCAGGAAATTCCTCACATCAAAATTAGGCAGCGAAGAAGGTTTCGATGACGAGGTTCTTGCAGAAGCCTTGGATGTGTTTGAGAAGAAGGTAGCAGCTCTCCCCTTCCCCGCAGCCGCTATCGACACTAACAAGAGCAGATCAAACGTCAGTTCACCATGCAAGCTGGTCCCGGCGACACATTCATCGTCCCCGTTGGCGGCCTTGCCAATAACAAGGAACTCGGTATTAGCCGCGGCCGCTTTTCGCTGAAGGTGGCCGACCTGCAGACCATCTTCGAGCCGGTCATCCTCGAGTGCATCAAGCTCGTCAGCGCCCAAATCGCCGCCTCGGGTGTTCCCATCAGCGCAGTCCTTCTTGTCGGCGGCTTCGGCGCCTCCAACTACCTCAAGGAGCGCATCCGCAACGCCATCGATCGCAAGATTCAGATCCTTCAGCCCCCGAACGCCTGGCAAGCTGTCGTTCAAGGTGCTGTTATGAAGGGCCTCGCCCAGGCCTCTCCCAGCCAGCTCACGCAAGTGCGCATCCAAAACCGCAGAGCCCGCAAGCACTACGGCACGCAGTGGCGCACGCGGTACGAAGAGAGACAGCACGGTCACCTCCGCGACAAGCGTCATTGGTGCGGCCTCGACGGTTGCTACAAAGTCTACACGATGGAGTACATGGTTCGAAGGGGCGATGCCGTGTCCGAGACGGACGCATACTACGTCTCGTTTGTGTGGACGGGCCTTGTGAGCCAGGGGCGCATCAAGAAGGTCAAAATGGACATCTACGCCGACGGCACGTCCTCCGTTGCGCCAGTTGCGCGCAACGACAACACGAAGCTGCTCTGCCATGTCGAGGCCGACGTAAGCCACATCCCCGAGTCGCAACTCGATCGCCGGCAAGGCAATGACGGCGAGGCATACTACGAGCTTGAGTGCAAGATTGAGGCCAGGTTCCACTCGGCATCAACTGAGTACACTCTGTTGTACAACAGTAAGTGATCTTGTCGAAGACGAGTGGATGATTTCGAACTAACGCCCCCAGACCAGCGATACAACACCGTCACTGCAGAGTATGTATAGCTTGCGCCGAAGAACGGGAGTGGTGGTACGGGAGGAGGTTCGCGAGGGAGTTTGTGGAGTTTTGTATAGCTACCTGGGCTTTCCCCCTTAGACAAATGATACTATGAGGCTTGCATCTGATGACATTGCGTCTCTTTCAACCTATCCCCCCTTGCACTCATGTTCGACAGGAGAGGCAGAAGCCCCGTCCACCGGCTCTGTATTCCGAGTGCGAGGAGAGGGCTCCACGCCGGAACCCCACCACCGTCCGCCGAGTGCCCGCCACAAATGCCTCAACCATGACTCTTTTCTCTCCACAACAGCCCACACGAAAGAGGCCAACAGGCTGCTTCTGCAGTCATAATTTGTGTGGAAATGCCGGCACTGCACGGAGAGATGGCCGAGTGGTCTAAGGCGCTAGTTTCAGGTACTAGTCAATTTATTGGCGTGGGTTCGAATCCCACTCTCTTCAACACCGAAGACCAAATATGGTCTCATTCTTTTTGCTTTGTACGCCAGGCGCCAGTCGACCGAATATTTTCCCTCCTTAGACTCCAAAATTTCGGATTGGCATGTGAATGACTGCGCGCCCCGCTGGTCTTGGTCTTGCTCCTGCTAGTAGGCCTACGCAAGAAAGGCATCTGAGGGAAAGTATTGAAGTGGTCATCATTTATCAAGTGGGTATCGTTTTGAGGCATCGAACGCGAGGAGACAGTGAATGTTCCCATATATACATTTAGCTGGTCTACTCTGAGTATCTTCGTGGAAAGTAACCTCTCTTTCACCGTCTTCTCAATCGCTACGTTATGCTACAATCACGCCGCCGTCAACTCGGCAACGCGCTTCTCCAGCTCAGGCACCTGTCGCAAAAGCACGTCAAGCTCCTCCTTCTCGTCCTCCAGCTTCAGCCTGCGCTCCGGATCGAGCTTGGTGAAGACGTAGTTGCCCTGTCCGTCGAACTGCAGAATGCGCGAGTGGTATTTCCACAGGCTCTTGCGGTGGCTGACCGTCATGAGGGTGATGCCGAGGCTCTTGGCCGTGTCGTACATGACCTTTTCCGTGTCGAGCGTCACGCTGCTCGTGCACTCGTCCAGGATGGCGTACTTGGGCTTGTGGTAGAACAGACGCGCCATGGCGACGCGCTGCTGCAGGCCGCCGGAGAGGACGTCGCGCCATTCAGCCTCGGCGTCCCACCCGCCGTCATACAGCGCTGGCAGATGCTCCAGTCCGAGGATGGCGAGGATGGCATCGAGATCCGAATCCGTGACACCACGCGCGCGGACTTGGCGAAGAGAGTCGGGGTACGTGATTTGCTGGCGGAGAGAGCCGCGAGAGAGGTAAGGACGTTGGGGGATATAGAAGATGTGGGCGAAAGGCGGCTTGCGGACAGTGCCACCGTAGACGGGCCAAAGCCCGCCGAGAATGCGGAAGAGGGATGATTTGCCGCAACCGTTGGGGCCGACGACAAGCAGGTGGTCGCCGGGCTTGAGGGAGAAGGAAAGCGCCTTGATCAGAACGTCGCCGTTGGGCGAGATGATGGGGCTGTTGCCATTAGCTAGGTCATACTGGGGTCATCTGGTACGACTTACACATCCTTGAACTCAATGTCTTCGCTCTCAATGACGGTGCCTCGCCCCTTAAGAACAGCTTCGTTGCCTTCGGTGCCAGAGCTCGAAACCAGCTTCTTTTCAAAGTGGCCAGAGCGAATATCGTTCATGACCTCGAGCAAGGAGTCGACACGCGACGTGTAGCCGGCCAGCTCCATGACCTCGCGGTAGGAGAACATGACACGACCAAAAGCATCCGAAGCAGACAACAGCATTCTCCGGTTTGTTACGAAGCTTTCGGTGCGATCACCCATGCTCATGGCAACGTGGCCAGGCATCTTCACGAAGACCGGCGCACTGCACAAGAGCAGACCAAGAGCACCCCAGAAGTACTTGATGACGAAGTCTTCCATGAAACCATGGTAGAAGCGACGGCGCAGGATGTAGTTGACGTGCTTGATGAGCGTAAAGTAGCCCTTATCGAGGGTATCCTTCTCGGCTTCGTGGCCATTGTAAAGGGCCACCTCCTCTGCGTGGTCGATCAGACGCGAGTGCTGGAAGCGGAATTCGCCCTCAAGACGGGCCTCGTCAGCGACAAATTTGCCAAAGGGCGGTGTAAGCGCGCGCATAATGTTTGCTGACAACTGCACGAGGAGCGACATGAAGACAACACCCTCACCACCGACACTGTTGGATAATGAGTAGGTGTAGATGGTCTGCAAAGGCGTTAGCGAGGTTTCATGGTTCGTGGCGTGACACCCACCATGTCAAGCAGAGGCTTCGCCAAGTTGCTGTAGACCTCAGCCAGGCTGTTCGAAAACTTGGCCACATCGACGGCGATGAGCTGGTCGGCGTTCTTTATCCGGTCGTCCAGCGCCGAAATGCCATAAAAGGTCAACTGGGACAGGTACTTGTCGTGGATGTGCTGGGTCAGGCGCGTGCGGTACTTGAGGGACAGCTCGGCCTGATGGTAGGAGAGCATAGAGTTGGTGAAAGTCGCCGGCACCGCAATCAGCATCCACCAGACGATACGCATCAGGAATTCGCGCCCGTTGCCCTTGACCAGGCTCTTGACAATCTGGCCGTCCATGGCGGCGACCTTCAGACTGATGAGGGTCCTGATGACGAGGAAGAACGAGTGGCTGATCAGCAGCCGCGTCTCTTTGCTTTTCCACCCTGGTATGACAATCTTGAGGAGGCGCAACAGTGAGCGGAAGAACTCGCGGTTCAGCTCGACCTTCTTCTTCTTGGCCGGCTCATCGGTCTCGCCCGTGGATGTCGTGACACCGCTGCGGGCAGCGCGTTGAGAAGACTCGCGCTGGGAAGCGGCCTTTTGCTCGGAAATGGCATGGCGAATGCGATTTGCTAGGGCGACGAAAAGCGTGATCCAAACGGCGCGGGAGATGCGAGAGCGATTGGACAGGTAGAGAGATGTGAGGTTGGCGACGACGGATCGGATGGTGCGGTCGCTGGGCGGCGTCAGCACCGACAGTTTGGACTGCGCGGCCATGGTGCGTTGCAGGTGCCGGTATGTCAATAGGGTATTGTTTGTGTGTTACTGGTTCGAGCTGATTCGGTTCGTCGGTCGATGGAGTGTACGTCACTTGACCATTGCCGGGGCGCAGGTCGATTGCGTTGTCAGACTATTCAAAGTTGTGAAGGCATCGGGTAGCGACTGGTTGATGCTATTGAAGGAGCGACACAAGCAGCGGCGGCGGTGATAGGTGTCTTCGGGAGAGGTGGGCGGGATAGGGAGACATCCCATGATCACAGGGACAGGCATGCAGTCAAGTCCACGGTTCCAGCGACGATGGTCCTCGGCCGTGGACGTCGACAGGCACAGGCGCGCCCCACAACAGCATGCTGTCGCCCTCCTGCCGTGACCATTCCCGAGCATGTGATTGACCTGTTCCTTCCCATCTGATCCTGGGCGCACCGCCACGGGTACATTACTCATCCGGGGTAATCAGCCACACCGCGGGGCAAAATTTGTTCCTCGTCTGTTGCCTTTCGACGCTTCTGCGGCTATCACTACTTAAAGTCTACAACGCGGACAGCGCATTCACGACTCCCACGACCCCCACGAGCCCTACCGCCATCATGTCCGACGACGAGAATATCTCCGTCTACGATGAAATCGAGATCGAAGACATGACCTTCGACGAGGACCTTCAGGTCTACACCTACCCATGCCCCTGTGGCGATAAATTTGCAATCGCGCTTGACGATCTGCGCGACGATGAGGACATTGCTGTGTGCCCCAGTTGCAGCCTCATGATTCGTGTCATCTTTGACAAGGTTGGTGAACTGTCCGCAGCGCCAAACCCTGGTGTCTGACTTCTTGCAGGATGACCTTCCCAAAGATCCGGAAGCCGACCCGGAACCTCCTGTTCTGGAGAACGCCGCCCAGATCCCTGTCGTCGCATGAACAGTGCCTTATAAACATGAGATACCGAGAGAGGATAAATATGAGCATAGCTTGGCGGATGCAAGAAGAGCTGGTAAACTCCGATCGGGGCACGAAAGTGCTGTTGCGACAGCGACGGCCGCAGCCAAGGCCTCCGGGCTTTGGGGGCCCCTTCGCCTTGCTGCCACTCGTCGAGGTGCCTGCATGAGACTCTCAATTTCGGGACCTCAAAACTCGGAAGCAGAGGTTGGAGGCTTTGCTCGCGCAGCGCCGGAGGCTGGGCCTTCCCCGTTCTCCGAGGACGACGGGGTTTTGGTCTGACTCAACATGGCGGCACTACAAGAACGCCATGGGCATTGAGATATTGGTCGGGACCAATTCTGGGGGGGCGTGTCACCGAACACTTGGGATTTGCGCCATGCTGGTCCTCGAGGTCTGACAGTCCGCCATTCGGTGCCAATACAGACTGGCCACTCCGTGAAGGCGCGTCGTCATGTCAAAGACCCCGCCTCATCGATTTGCGGCCGGCTACGCTTCAATATCGGTTAGCATCGTACTGCTGGGAAGCCAAAGAATCTGGCGTACACACTGCACAGCACCTCATTATAACTTCTGCTGGTAATGCAACATTGATATCTCACCACTTCGGTGAAGGATGGATCGTCCGCGTCGACGAGTGCTCGGGCTAAAGCTTTAATTGGCATGATGATCCAATGCATCAGCGCTCGTCTAGTGTCAGCTCCAAGAAAGAGCGATTTTGAACGCACCTGCGTGTTTCGAAACCCAAAGTCAACCCAGTGCGTCCACTGCCGTAGATTTACAGTGCTCGGTCAACCTCCAAATTTTTCAGCATCGCTCCCGCCCAATTTCAATTTCAACCCCAGGAGGTTCCATCTTTGTGAGGAAGTGTTCCCTTGATGTCTGTCATCGCGCCAGACCCCAAATTGTTGGCTTTTCACGGCCATTACAGCAAGCTTGTAGCAGCTCCAGTTTTCCGACACATGGCCAGGGGTTACGTCTATGATGTTTTCGGTGGGTAAATCTCCTAAGTTAGGGCACTACTCGACCTCACTCCAAGAGGAAGTGAGTCTTTCATCCGCATCTACCTGAGGGACCCACGTCTTGAGAGGCCTCGGGACTTGTCCGTATCTGATGTCGTCTCGTCGACCTTGGGAAGGCGTAAACAATGGGCCAAGGCTGTGCAACAAAGGAACCTCAGATTTTCTCGCTGTTCCACCCTTCACTGACCCTGCGATAGCATGCAGATCCACAGGTACACGCAATGATCATGCTACTTCTTGCAGTCTGTTGAATTCTATCAGAAAACACTCATGGAATACCCTCCCCTGGTGAATAGCAAGAGAGGATATTTACTAGAAGCTTTGTAACAAGATTCGGTCTAGTTTCTTCCAACGGGCAAACAACGTGCTTGCTGGATGTGAAACGCAGACTTCGCAAAGTCATAATGACAACAATTGCCAAGCCTAGGCGGTGTGTCCGAAGGAGCTAAGTCTCAACCCCAAGGGGGTTCGTGAAGTCAATTTGGTTGTCGACTCAATAAGACAGCGAGATAGGTGAGTGCGGCCTCGTTTGCCCATTTTTTTGGCACTGATCATTCGTAGGGGGGCTGTCGAGAGAGCTGAAGAACACAATCACGAGTCCACTACTCTCGTTTGATCCTCCCAGTGCTGTGGCACACATATTGAGAATAGATAATGGTCACGAAGTTTCGACTAATGTTTTTTTTTCGCGTAGCCACCTCGTTCAAGCCGAGATCATGAGCAGCAGAAGGAGACCGCTTGCTATCGAGGTCGTTTTTCGCAACTGTCGTCATGCGGTGCCTCACGAGGCCCACTTTCTGCGCCCACGCAAGTCCTCGCATGGGATACCAGCGTTTTCACGAGACACACCTGACGCCCTGTCGGTACTATCGTTAGTGCCACGTTCTATACCAATTTCCAGCTCTATGCTATCGTTTTCGATGGTATGTTCCGTAATGAAGATATACGAACACACGCAATGGCCGAAGTTTATACCATGATGGCTTCTCAGGCACAGCAAATATCCGGGCGAGCGAGACTCCAACGTACCTTAGTCAGGGATCACCAGGCCAAGGTTCAGGTCCAGATCAGTATCTGGGGAAGCGAGCTGGAGGAAATGAGGGGGAGTCTAACTTGATGGATCGACCCGTTTCAGACATTGTGTGTTTGGAGATGATGGCTTACACTGCCAAAGAGCTGAATGCTCATGTCTGGGCACATTATCGATTGTGGCTTCGGGAAATAGGCCTCAGTGCTCTGAAGTTGGGGGGCCTGAACCAAAGACAAGGCGTATGATGGAAGTGCCGCCAAGTCACAGAAAGACTAATACCCGACGGGTAAAACGTCCGGTGTTGCGTTGTATGCCCCATGGATCACTGACTCGGATCTCGAGCCATCATTTCGTTCTCGCAAAGGCAGACACTGTAATGCTGTTCCTCTATGGATTGATGTTGAAGGGCGCCTTGATCAAGATAAACTAAATGCCTGCCTCGACGAATGTCTCTCGTCCCACTTGGTGAGTGATTGACGTGAACATGCTGCTCGGCATGTCCGAATCATGAGATCTACCTACTGCACCATTGTAGATGGAGGCGCCGACGGTGGCGAAAGAAGTTGGCTCGCATGGTTCATCGAAGAAGCTTAATAAACAAGCCGGGGCACTCATTGGCAGGGTGATCTTGAGCGAAGGCAGGTTGCAGGCAGAGCACATTCCAATGCTCGGACAGGAGGGTGGGTGGGCAACGTGGGGATGTGAGAAATGACGAAGCCGTCGGGTGTTTTGACGTGTTCGACGGTGAATAAAAGCGAGGAATAGAGCGCCACGTGCCGGGGTCGATGCGGGTAGGATCCCGTCTGGTATTTGCTGTGAGGATGGCTTTGGAATGCCAGGTACCTGGCTTCTGCTTTGACTGGCATTTTACCTGATCTCAATCAAGATGAAGAGAGCGATGCATAGCACACAACCTTCGGTGAAAGAAGCGTTTCGTTCAAGCTGTGCTTTTTCCAGCTGTGATTTGCCTCCCAAACAGGAGATTGGTCCCTTGAAAGATCTCCAAGACCGAGGGTACATCGCACATGGTCTCCGACGAGTGACATCACGACTCCAACATGCAACAACACTGGAGAAGACTCCCCCTTCGGTGCAACATTCCCTCGAGCATCTGCTAATGATTCGCTCAAGCCGCATCTCAAGCGGGGACGCCATTGCTGAAAGAAGCCACCCTTGTCGATCGGTATCAATCCGACAGCCTGAGGGTGCGCCACCCTTCGGCAGCTCGCACCTCACTGAGTGCCTGTGCTTGAGCTGAATTGCCTTCGGGCCAGGACGACAGCGTTTCTCCAACAGGTCACATGCTGCGGGGATCCATCATCTATCTTGGACACGACTCGTCAAGTCCCGTCGGTTTCGACCCACGGCACCATCTACTCAGACCTTGGCCACCCATTGATGCCCATCGGTCACTCCAGCTCAAACCTAGCACCTTGTCCCGGCCACCTTTCTTGGCCTCTTTCTAGATTGTCTCTTAGCGTTAGTCCCCCGCCACACGCTGCCAGCAATCATTGAAGCTTCTGCTTGCCCCCGCAACGCTTCCCCAAACCCCAGACGCCCCTGGTTTCGAGGGAGGCGGAGAAGAGCTTGGGGTGGCCCCTCTTTCTTCTTTGCTTCGACTACCTGCTCCACCAGACTTACTGTACGGCAATCCTGCACTGCTGGATCCGGCGGGCGTATTGACCAACTTGGGAACGTGCCAAATGATGCGCCTGCTCCCCGGCTTTCTCTAGACCAGGTTGCCCCAGAGCACCAACCCCAAACCACCGAGAAAGTGACCGGTCGCGCCGCGTGGTCTATCCCCGAGCCACGTTAAATAGCACGTCGCTTCCCCCCTCTCGTGTCTCTCGTCTCCATCCCACTCCCGTTCCAGAGACGTGGTTCACAGATACAGTTGCCGATCTTACCCCCTCTCAGCCAGATTTGTCCCATCTGTTCCGTCCTGAACAGACCGCGCACCATGGGCGTCAAGGAATTCTTCAAACGCAGGAGCCTGCGAGCGAAGAACGATGTGCGCACCAACGCCGCCGAGATGACTCTTCGGGAGTCTCTCTTTCCCATCGTTCTCGTGACAACTCTATTCTTCCTCTGGGGCTTCTCTTACAGTATGTTTCCGTGCAGACTATGGATGTGATTTTGCATCGAAGCCACCTGCTAACACGCACTCAACAGGTCTTCTTGATATCCTCAACAAGCATTTCCAAAACGTTCTTCACATCAATCGTGCCAGATCTGCCGGCCTTCAAGCTGCCTACTTCGGTGCTTACCCGCTAGCCTCGCTTGGCCACGCTGCTTGGATCCTCAGGCACTGGGGTTACAAAGCCACATTCGTCTGGGGCCTCTTCCTGTACGGTCTAGGATCTATCATCGCCATCCCATGCATCATCAATGAGTCGTTCGGTGGTTTCTGCGCTGCCATCTTCATCATCGGCAACGGTCTCGGTTCCCTAGAGACCGCCGCGAACCCTTACATCGCCGTGTGTGGTCCTCCAAGGTACTCCGAGGTCCGGTTGAACGTTTCTCAGGCCTTTAACGGCATTGGCACTGTTGTCTCGCCTCTCATCGGTGCCAGGGTCTTCTTCGGCTTTGACGACGAGAAAGCCCTCGAAAACGTCCAATGGGTCTACCTCGCCATTGCAGCCTTCGTCTGGGGTCTTGCTATCGTCTTCTGGCTCGCGCATATCCCAGAAGTCACCGATGCAGACATGGCGTACCAGGCCCAGGAAACTCACGCCGGATTCGACGAAAAGCCTTTCATCAAGCAATACCGCCTCTTCCACGCCGCTTTCGCGCAATTCTGCTACACGGGAGCACAAGTGGCTATCGCCTCTTTCTTTATAAATTGTACGTCGCTCCCCCGCTCTGGCTGACCGTGTTCTCGATGTTCTGTTGCATCTTGAAAGCCTTGCCCTTTCACTCCTAGCACCAGGGTCTAATCTTATACACTACAGATGTCCGAGAGACAGGCGCTGCCTCAACAGACTCCCGAGCATCGAACTTGTTCGCCGGCGCCCAGGGCACCTTCGCGGCGGGACGATTCATTGGTGCCGGTATCATGCACTTTGTGAAGCCCCGTAAGGTGTTCCTGGTGTTCCTCTCGTGCTGCTCTATTTTCCTCATTCCTGCTGCCATCAAGACTGGCACCCCTGGCATGGCCATGCTTTATCTTGTTTTGTTCTTCGAGTCGATTTGCTTCCCGACCATCGTGGCTCTCGGCATGCGGGGTCTCGGACGCCACAGCAAGCGGGGTTCCGGATTTATCGTGGCTGGTGTGTCGGGTGGCGCCTGCGTGCCGCCGCTCATGGGCGCCGTCGCCGATATGCACGGTAAAGGCGGCAACAACATGGGCGTCGCCATGACCGTGCCTCTCGCCTTTATGGTTGCCGCGACATCCTATGCCATTGCTGTCAACTTTGTGCCGCGCTACCGCAATGTCGCCGACGCCTTCACAGCTACTGAGGTTGGCGTGCACAACACGTCTGTCGACGAGGAGAAGGTTCGCGCTCAATCGATCGAGGAGACACAGGTGCGCAATGCCGCCCCTACTCTGTCGTAGAGGGAATTGATTTCCACGACAACGTGCAAGCTTCGTAGCCGTGAATTAGAATGAAGAGACATTATTTTGATGCAGTCAACCCCGCTAGATTATGGTGATCGGACTGGAATCAGTGTACCAGTGAAGTCAGACGCATCTAACATCATGCGCCACCTTGTAATCGACCACAGCCACCTGAAGCGAAGCTTAGCGAAAGCATTCAAACAATCCTTCTGTGATTCGTGAGCAAGATATAAGATTCAATAACCTTGCCTTGATCGACGGCGGGTGTGACACCCATTACCTGTCAGCTCGTCGCCCTCCCCAATGTGATAACCGGGGGCCATGCACACACTCGGCATGCATGACCGAGTCAAAAACGCAAAACATACAACACCAGGGATTCGCTGGTGGTCACCCACCCAACTACTAGTCCGGCCCTTATTGGTTTATCGCTGGGAGAGCGGACGGGATCCCGAGTTTTCCAATAGGTATGGTCGTATGTGCTGGTCGAGGAGCCCGAGACCGATCATGAGGCTGTGTTGTGGGTTCTGCTAGTATACTCGGCACCTGAGGACGGTTGGCACGAACATTTCAGACCGGTGCCGGTTCTGCTTACGTTGTAATGCCAGTTGGAATGCCGAGTGGAGGCATAGACCTGGTTCACTAGCTCACGGGCTCTTGTTTAATATTGTCTCGAGCCTGGCCTAAAGTCTGGTACATCTGTTAGAACTTTTGCAAGGGATCGCGTGATCAAAGATTTTGGTAAACCATCGAGCAGTACTCTTCAAGGCCGGCTACCAATCATTACATAAAATGGCATTTAGGGGTCCCCATGGCCTCTTTCTGGACGATGAATGATCATTCTCGAGTTTTGCAGTAATATGGTGACTGGCGTGACTGGTGATAAACCTTGAAGGATTCAAGATGAGTATTTTTCAACGTGTTGTTCGGCTTGGTATTGAATGAAGCTGAGAAGCTATATTAAACGTCTTTACTGACAAACTGCAGCTTCAAGACCTTTGGACTTGTGTCGTGTTTCAGGAAGCCGGTGAACATAGTCAACTTTCCAGGCTCCCAAAGGGCACATCGCGTACAAGATTGCATCATGCCCTGAGTCAAATCAACTGGCATCCTATTCAGTGGAACCTGGGAGTCCCCTAGCTTCAGTCAGTCGCTTGAGGTCATTTGAACCGATGTCACAAGGTCGCTATAGCATAGCTAGAGCTGTTGTGTGTCGCGTTATATATTATAGGAACTTGTTCCCTATGTAGAGACTGGATATGTGTGTCCGGTGTCACCCGCTCACTGGTATCTCCCTTTCACCAACCCTCCAAGCATTCCTAACTCCCGCCCCAAGAATTGAATCGCACGCTGGTCTTATCATCATTGTGTGCAAAAGTCTTAGGTCTTGAGGATATCAGCTGCGACGACAATGCCGGCCGCAATCTTCGAAACCCATTCCTGGGCAACATCAAAGTTGCCATCCTCGGCATACTGAATGCCCTCAGTGGCACCAGCAAAAGTGACAGCAGCATATCCGGTGTCCAAACCAGGGGCCGTAACGACATGCCTGTAGAACTCGCGGTTGGGCAGACCACCCTGTGAAACAAAGCCGCGCTGGAAGTGGATGTACTTGTGGTTGACAACATCCTTCAGGTTTTGATCGTTGGTTGTGACAGCCAGCTCCTCGAGAGCCTTGGCCTCACCTGCCCTCTTTTTGAAGACCTCAATTGCGTCCTCAAGCTCGGAGAAATCGAGGTCGGCGTCATTGTCAGCAGCAAATTCAACGAGGTCATCGAGGTAGGCTTGAAGCTCAACTCCATAGTTGACAACGTCGAGAGGCAGAATCTCATCGTCGAGGAGGTGGTACGCAAGGAGAGCAAGGTACTGGCCCTGGCTAGCATGCACGTGGAAGCCGGCTAAACGTTTGTGAGCACGTTATTACGTTGATAGTTTAGGGTGACTTACGGTCTCCTAGGGTAGCCATCCAATGGTAGGTGTCGTAGCTAAGATTCATGTCAGCTATCAATGCTCGTCGTTCAACTGAGACAGACTTACTTGGAGTGATACGGCCAGATTGGGTCGGTGGGACCTCCACCTGACCCAACGTCCAGGGAGCTGATACCACGGTGAAGGAAGGCGGTATAGTCAGAGCCTGATCCCAGTGTAAGCCGAGATATCTTCTACGGCCATATATAGGCAACTGGCACTCACCGGAGCCGAGGACACCAACAACACCACCGGAAGCCTCCTGCCATGAATCGTACAGAGATTGGTTGAAGCCTCCAAAATTAGGGTGAATCACTTTCTTCATAATTTCGGTGCCAATCGTGTGCAACCTGTGTTTGTTAGCTGATGCCTTGGGCTGGATATGGGCTCGACCGTTGGCTTACTCAGGAGTGGCTGAAAGATCCGGGCGAGGGCCCGATACCTGTAAAGGTCAATTGTATTCTTCCCACTTGATGATTTCCAAGTGCTTACAGCAACATCAATATTGAGGTAGGCAATCAGGGTTTCAGTAAGCTCATTGATGTGCTCCTCGACGTACTCGACACTTCCGATGAGGCCTGCAAGAGTCAGTCATGTGCTTGTAGAGATCACCCTTACAGTACTCACCCCATTCCTCGGCATCCCAACTTCCCAGTACCAGGTTGCGCTTGGGCTTCCAACCAGAGTCAATCAGCTTCTTGATGACCTTGCTAAACTCGATGAGGATGGCAGAGCCAGAGTTTGGATCGCCGTTTCCTCCGATCATCCATGTGTCTCTGTGGTTGCCAATGAATAAGGTCTCTTTAGCAGGGGTTCCATCGTGGTTGGTGCCGTTGATGCGACCAATAACATTTTGGATCGGGCGAATGACATCCTCGCTGACCTAACGTCGGCTTGCGTTAGAATGATGTACGGCTGCAGATAGCGACGAATGCTTACATTGTCAAGCTCAAGGGTAACGCCGGGCGCAGGGCCGGTGAAGTACTCTGCGTCAAGGCCGCCGATCCAGTTGGTACGGTTGACCTGCTCGCCAGAAATGCCGTGGCCGTTGAGAGCCTTGAGCAAAGGTTCGGCAGCGGAGTAGGAGATAGGGACTGAAGAAATCTTGGCGATGACCTTGATCTGTTAGCAGATACTCGTCCCTCTGACCGTGTCACTCACGTCAGAGACATCGGCACGCGGGGCGTCCTCGTGCGATGGGTAGCCAGGGGTAGTTGGATCTCTATATCAGGGTCAGACGAGGAACTTTGATTCGAAAGGACCTTCATACCCAGGATGGGTGCTGTCATGAACAAAGTCAGTCAACGTTTCATCGGGGAAGAAAGGGTCATGGCATACCTGAGAAACAGTGTCGAACCCTTTTGACCTTGGTGCGGGTTCCTTGCAGGACCCTCTGCATGTTGTCAGTACGCGGATCGGCCTGATACCGTCATTGTCATGCGACTCAGGCGAGCCGCAACACTTGGAACGCACCTGGATACGCCTTGTAGCCGTTTGCAACAGTCACTTCGCCATCATCACCAGGGTCGAGGTAAATCTACTCAATTGTTAGTGGATATTGTTGTGCAAAAGAAGTTCTTGGACCGTGGACGTACTACGGCAGCCACGGCACCGGCGTCTTGCGCGTTCTTGACCTTCAAGCCACGGAAGAGGCCTCCATAGCGGATCAATGCGATCTTGCCCTTTACATCGACACCCAACTTAGCAAGAGCCTCAAAGTCAGCGATGGAACCGCGACTACCATCGAGTCAGCCCACTTGTACGACGTTTCATCTGTGCAGAGCTATTGCGCCGCTTACCCAGCGTAGACGTATTCAGCCTTGGCATGGCCAGTCGGTGCGTACCCAAGGAAGGTCTGCTGGCTGATGGCATCCCAGCCGGTGACCTCGTCGTCTTCAATAACATCCTCCTTAAGGTTGACTTCTGAGACATTGCCTTCGGCGTCGGTGAAGTTCAGCGCGGCACTGACAGGGTACCGAAGAAAGACGTGATATTCGTTCAGGTGGCTCTCAAACCCGTTGGATGCCCACTTGTCACGCGTCCACTCGGCAGCCTCCTTGCCGAAGCCGCTGTTCAGATGTTAGCATGGATAGTGCTCGTACAATTATTCGGTCCTCCTGTGCATACGCAAGCTTGTTTTGTCGGCCGTAGTATTCGGACCACTCGTCGATGGTCACATTGTCAAAAGAGTTAGCGATTAGCGTCTCCTGCTCTGTCAACACAGGAGGCCAGACGTCGTTGCGCCGAAGAATAGGTTTGCGGTGAGTATGCCGGGCTTCGATGTTGAAGTCACGCTGGCACGCGGAAGCACCGGCCGCAAACGCCAGAACTGCGGACAACTGCTGGGTGCGCATGATCACGATGCCTGGCAGTGACAATGGGAAAGAACTGGAGGGGATTGTGACGGATGGTCTGCCAGTGGGCGGCGGAGAAGGATCGGTAAGCCTTTATGCACGCCAGACGTACGACAGGTATTGTTAGCATTGCTCCTCTCATGATGCCATCGGCCCAGCCGGGCGGCGTCGGCTTGATGACCGGCTCAGGAAACTTCAACGCAGCGGCGCAACTGATTGGCAATCGTTCAATACAATCAATCACCCACGCTCTGGTGCCTGTAAAGGCGCTGACTTGTGCTCACCGCGACAACAAAGATCGTCATCCCGAACGCTGCGGGGTAGCTTCCCTTCGGAGCTCCAAACACACCACTTGTCGAGCTTGGGATTGGCTTATGCGGTGTCGTCATACCTCACCAAGACCTAGGCACTTGACTCAAACACACCGGTTCAGGAAGCTCGTTCATGCCGACGGCGTCGGGCTTCTGCGGGTGGCTGCGTGAGAGAGGTCGATCGGGGCATTTCACCTGCCCGATTTGTGATAGAGCTGTGGCCTGTTGGGCGGGGTCAGAGTCAGCCAAGGACGTGAACATGCAACCCAAGCTCCATAACCTGTCAATACAGCTCTAGCACCTGCAGCCGGCCTCTCCGCCAAGTTATGACGGAAGGCTGACAGGCAGTGGAATTGTTCCGAGAGATCAGACAAGCAGTTACTGAGATGGATTGTCAAACAGCGTAAACATTGACCACCAATTATGTAGAGCAAACTATATCCAGCTGTGCGCTGTTTAACATGCGTTTGCGGTTATTCTGTTATGCTCGCGATGTAGAGCAGAGTGAAAGATCTTTGAACTACTCGACCGAGGCTCAGCATTCGCGTCGCTGACATCGAACATGCAGCTTCCTGTTCGTCTCAGCATCCTGGGTGAGCAGGTTGTTCTGTCATCGCTGCATGGCACCACCAGCTCGCCTTAGTTGGTCGATTCCACCCCTGTCGATCTTTGTACGACAACCACGAGGTCTTAGAAGACAGGACGCAGCCCTTGCTCTCCGTCTTGGGCCTGCGAGCTGGAAAGCATTCTCACGCAGCGCAGCGTAGACGCAGTCCTGCATGCTAGAACAAGCTGGCCATGTAAATCAGCTCGCCGATCCGCCACGCTTCTGCAGGTGTTACGATCCTAAGAATCAGAAAAAAGAGCTAGCATTTCATACCTATTGCTGTCATGACTGATGAAAACACTATTCGAGATCAAAATATCGAATGCTTTGCCACGCTGGGCTTGAGGAATCCCTCGCCAAGGTATTGAAAGTCAGAAATCCCGCTGGAGGAAGGCTTTTCTAACAACCCATCGCCGTCTAGTTTGGTCGGAGTCTTGAGGAAAACCTCTTGCGATTTCCACAAGGCCATAGCCTCGCCTCGCGTACCAGGCTTGAGTGGATACCTAATACAAGTGACAGTAAGAAACCACAAAACGGCGCCTCGCCGAACGAACACGACTGACCTTGGGAGTATTACCTCCGAAGAAGGCTCCGGCTATATCGGAGCGCATCTAATCTTCAAACTCAACGGAAGCCAATACCAGTGTTTTGGCTTTGAAGTCCTGCACTGCCAGATTCTCGATATAGGCCACGGCTGTCCGTCTGATACCACTGCCTTGTAGTGCTGCAGAGACATACAAGCTGTTGATCCACTAAGTCCCTTCTAGGTCGTTATTGAACTTAATTGACCATTCAGAATGTTTGTAAGCATCGATTGAAATATGTCCGAGTGGCAAGAATGGCGACAGTGATGCTGTCCCATGAAAAGATGTGATCTTGTCAATCAGTAGGGAATTTTCTTAGGCCGAGCTGCTGCGCCGATTTCGGGACCCAAGTCTCACGACTCACAAGCTCGTACTGCTGAGTTTGTGTGGAGGAAGAATTCTTTGCGAAGGTAACCTGTGGGCAAAACCTAGCTTGTTAGTATAAATCCAACGACGGCAAAGAACGGCATCGCTTACAATCCAGTAGCGGCCTTTCGCTCCTCTCCTCTGGTCTTCTGTCCAACTTTGCCTCACATCTTTCGACTGCCATCCGCATACCAGGCGTTGCTGATAGAGCCGTTCGATATGGTCCTCGGACTCTGAATCCCACAGGGTTAATTTAATTGAAGACCCGGCCCTTGTGTTTTGTGACCAACTTCGCCAGCCGTGAGCGTTACGGAGTTGCTCCGAGTGAATATGTCTTTCACGGCCGGGCGATATCAGCGTTTGCAACTAGAATATATGCAACCATGTTCGCTCAGTAATATTCTGTATGTGAGTGGGACGCCGTCAGGCATATCGCGTCACCGAATCATACCGTGTCTCAATTCTAACGAGTGGGCCAACACGGCGATGACGTGCCCGCGACCAAGCTGCCAACGGATATGTGGCCCCTATATTCGACGGTCTCCTCCGCCAGAGTATCACTTGGTACGTAAAAAAAAGCTGATATGAAAGCTGATGCGGTGAAGTATGGCGAGATGCATCGTGTTGGGCGGGGTCGCCTTGATGAGAGTCTCTTTGCTCAGGCAAGATTAATTGTTGCCAAATCAATACCGACCGGTAATAAACCTGCCCCGAGACACAGCTGCGACGTTTCGAGCTATTCTTTCTGGCTGTCTCGTCCGGCCTCGGACGTGGACAGTGTTCCACAGCCTTGACGTACTAGGCTCCACGCTTGATGAATCCAGGCATCTCGGTGCTCATGCCCTTCTGACAAGAGCACCAAGCTACACAAGCAGGGAACACAAGATCACCAGAAGGATACACCAGAAGCGAGGGTTTTTCAGGGTTTTATGGAAAGCGTCTAGATGCGAAAAAAAAAATCTCAATCTGGATATCTCATGTCATGCCCGCACGCAACACAGAATGCAACGACGGTTGGTCTCGCCCCCGCCAGATACAAATGAAAAAACGGTGTCCGAAGGGGAAACTTCACCGCCAAGGTGTTGAAGAGACCCGCTCGTGGCCTTTTTCTCCTCCGAAGAGGAGAGAAAGGAAGAAGAATTAAACGCCATTCCATGCCCCTAATCACCCCCCGTCTTTGGTTCAGAAATGAAACGCCTCTTTTGAATGCTCTAGATGTTGTGATGCGTGCTCGCTGAAACGCTGTTTCACGACTAGTGGTCGTTGAAGTCCTCGTCTCTGTTGTTTTGTTAGCACGAAGCTCGCCGCAACGATGGGATGTGGGGGAAATGTGCTTACCTGCCCGGATACATGATGTCCTGGATGATGACAGCGCGGGTGTGGCTGTAGAGAACCATGCAGTACGTCAGGAACAGCACGATGCTGAGACCGGTACCGACAGACTTGACCGCGTCGTTCCCAAGGGCGTTGGCGATGGAGATGGTGGCCAGGACGAAACCAGTATTGGGGAAGACCATGGCCCACCAGCCAAGATGGAAGTACACGGGCGGCGCCTGGACGACGGCGGCGACGGCAATGCCCCACCACCAGGCGGCGAGAGCCCAGAGGAAGATAGCCGACATGAGCGCCATGGTGCGGATGAGGCCGGCGTCGATGAGGAATCCGTCGCCATCGGGGTCAAAGTTGTCGGGAAGGCCCTGGGCCATGCCAATGAGGGCGAGGGCCGTGAACGAGGGCGGGCCGACACACATGAATAGACCGGGTCGGTGCTCGCGGTTGGGTAGACCAGCTTGCATCAGACGGCCAACCATGTGGGAGTACATGAGGAGAGCGACAGACATGCCAAGGCCCTGGCAAGTCAGACCGGCAACGATGATTGGCACAGCTGAGATATCGGGCTGGGTGTCGGCGATAACGGAGGCTATGGTGCCAGACAGCATGACCGGAAAGATAGGTAGAATCCATGTAGGCATCATGGTCTGCAGGCCGAAGCTGTGGGCGGAGAAGACAAAACTCTGTTTTGGCAATATGTTAGTAACGTAAAGTTGCAGAAATCAGGCGCTGGGAGAGACAAACGTATTGGAAGATGGCGAGAGAGATGGTCATAATCACATAGGCCCAGAAGGCTACCTGAATACCCCAGATGAGACGGTCATCGTCGAGGGGAATGGCGTAGCGTTGCGTGCTCGTGATGAGAGTGGCGCACGAGAGGAAAAAAGTCGGGAAAAAGAAACCCTCTCGCTCGTGGGTTAATGATTTTGTAAAGTCACCAGGGAACAGGAAGAATCGGGCCAGAAGCATCGTTGTGACACCGGTGAAGAGAATGATGTTGATGATGTAAACCGCGAGACCAATTTGCCTGAGGCCAGTGAATTGAAAGGGCTGCGCAAATATGAGAAGTGAAAGACCGCCGGTACTCATGACAAGCGTGTACCATGCCCAGGTGAAGTGGTGAAGGCGCTTCTTCAGTCCGTACCTCGGCCGATTGGGGTCATTGATGTCGATGCCGCCGTGATCATCGTGGCCGTGTGCAGCGGGAGCGGGCGGGCCAGCGCCCTTCTCGACCACCGGTGTGACGTTCTTGTACTCAGGCTGCATGTTGCGCTTGAGGCTGTCGATGTCGACCTCGAGACGGGGGGAGCCCGGGCGGTTCATTTTGTAGTCGTACGAATTCCTGCGCGTCGATGATCCTGATTCGGTCCAAGCTGAGCCCTGAGGTTGGCCCCGATTCATGGCGGTGTTCTAGAACGATGGAAGCGGCTGCCAAGTTTGTGGCAGTCGATTGTTTGTTGATCGCTCACGCAGTCCAATGTGAGATGCCAAGTTGATCAAGATGTAGCCAAGGACGAATCCAGTCGTGGGTGGGTGTGATGGTTGTATAAGCCAAGCAAGCCAAGAGAAACAAACCAATGCAGCCAAGCTTGTCGGAATGGAACACAAAGAAAGGAAGAAAGAGAAAAGGAGATACCGCTATACAGGAAGTTCAACTCTCGTAGATCTACATCGAGGCTTGGAGGGTCCTTGGCTGGTATGATATACGATTGACAACAGTCCAAAGGGGGTCCAGTATTACGTGGGGACAGACTTTGCTGCCTCCCGCTGGCTCCATTGTTGAGCTGGGCCATGAAGTGT